GTCTCTTTTTTGTTCGAGATATCCAGCCAATGCTTTTTGACATTCCTCAAGACTGACTTTGAGAGCTGGTAACATTTTGAGCATTTCATTGTCATAACAGAATCTAATAACATTTGGTGTGGCGACTGCCTTTTGCATAATTTTAACCCAGTTCTTGTCGATGTGACTAAACTTCTTGTCCTCATGAGGAAGTTGGCGCTTGATGTCACCACTGGCAAAGACTGGTTCGAGATAAAGCCATTGAGATTGAACTTGTCTCCAAGCTTGAATATTTTCAGTGACTGATGTCAGCTTTTGCATCCAACCAGAGGCAAGTTCTCTGAATGGTTCAAGGTATTTCGATCCCATAATACCTCCCAAGTTCATTTGAGCCTCTTCTAATTGCTCCATTAATTCTTGGGTTTCTGTACCCTTCAATATGATTGGACCACGATGCTTATACTCTGCAAAAGAGAGCTCTCTATCTTTCCATTCTTCTGTGAGCTTTTTAAGCTTTTCTTCAATTTCTAATTCTTTACGAGCTGAATTACAAACATCTTCCACTTCTTCCTTACATTGTAATAAGTTAGCTTCGAGGATGTCCTTCAACTTAAATACCTCATCTTCTTTCTTAAACTTCTTCTTTGCCAAGTCCTCAATTTTCTCCCAGTGTCTTGCTCTCATAGCTGGATGTTTGAGTGACTCAAGCAAAGGTTGTAGCTCAAGGAAGTCTTCTATGGTTTTTTTCAAGTTTTCATAGGCTTCAATTCCCTTTGCTGCTTTCTTAAGAGAAGAACACTTGGTAGCAAACTTGTTAACTTCATCTGTAATAGCAGGGAAGTCAAGTTCTGACCATAGCAGCTCTCCATAACTTCCAACCTGCTTCTTAACTTTGATATATAAATCATACAAAGTGTCATACAACTTTAACATTTTCTTCATCTTGGTGAGTTCTGGATACTCCTGCTGAGGAAGTCCGAATAGCTTTTCTCCTTCTTTATACACCTCATATTTTCGCTCTCTTTCAGTAAACAATCTTTGGAACTTGTTCAATCGTTCTCTGGCCTCTTCTGGAGATATATCTGGAACCATTGGACCATTGGTTTGGAAATCTGCCCAAAATTGTGCAACATCTTGTTTGAAAATCTTTACCTCTGAAATAAGCTGAGTTTTAAAGCCATTTTGCACTTTTGAAACTGTTTCGTTAACCTTGCTTGCAAGTTTTGTTAACTTTTCCCATTTTGCTGTGAGGTCATGTGCTTCATCAAATTCTTCTTTTGGAACATTGACGTCATACTTTTTAAGTATTGAATATCTATCTAAAATCTTATTGAAGTGATATTCAATCATGGCCTCTCTCGATCTAACATCTTTTACTGTATCCATCACAAATCTTAAATCTTCAAGCGTGGTGATTTCGGGATGTAAGCTCTTTGTTGATTCATCAAAAAGCGTCAAATAATAATTGAGCTCTTCAGTAGCACTTTCATGTAAGTTGTTGGCATATTGTACCTTCCATTGTGTCACAAGTTGGAGCAAAGAATTTCTCAAGCTTTCTGCATCCAAAGTAAAAGGACCTGCAACGCTATTAGTTTGCATCGCATTAATTTGGCCATCTAAGACTGTATATTTGTTCAACTCCTTCTCGAAATCGTCAAGTGTTGGCTTCTTGTCAACACATCGGTCAACAAACTTCTTATATGCAACTTGTTTGTCTTCCTTCCAAAGATATCCATAAGTTTCGAATTTCGAAATAAAACTACCAATCTCCTTGGATAAGGCGTTTGCACTACCACTTAGAACCATTACGGTTTTAACAATCTCTCGGTCTTTGGAAATTTGTTTGTAAAAGTGAACATCTTGTTTGCACTTCCAAGGTTGAATGGCCTTAGTTGTTCCAAGAACTGACTGAATTAATCTGTCGAATGATTCTTGAATTTCGTTCAAGCTTGGTTTGAGAACAATTTCAGGAATGTTCAATTCTAAATTAATCTTGAAGAATGGATCACTGTGAGTATCTCGTTTTGTTCTCATTCTGAAGTTATGCAAAGAAGAAATCACTGATCGTGTGAGAGTTTCCAACAAAGTGGCGTGATAATGATCCTTGAGACCGACGATCAACTCGTCAGAAAGGACTTGCTTTGCTTCCTCGAACGGGAAGCTTAAAATCACTTCTACAATGTCATCCACTGCTCTTTCAATTTCTAAACTCTTGTTGTACAGTTGCTCTGAAATTTCTTTTGAGTGCTTGTCTTGTAAATCCACAATTTGATCAAGTGTGTGGTCGTTACTCTCTGGAATGTTGAAGAATGAGCAATTAGAAATGTCATCCAAATTCTTTTGGATTCTTCCATCAATGATGTCATTGATCTTCAATATGACATCCTCCAACTTTTCTAACGTCCTATTGATTCTCTTTAGATATACAGAAATGTTCATGGAAGTCCAAGAAAGAGTAGTCACGCCAGGTTCAATTCTTTTCTCTAACTCTTCAATGTGAGGTGCCAACAAAGGTTTTACATCATCTTTTACCATTGATAGTATCCTTAATCTCTCCTTTAGAACGAAAGAAAGCTCGTTGTAGTAGCCCTTGTATTTTTGCTCTTGAATCAATACAGTCTTAGCAGAATCTGGAATTTCAATTCCCAGTCTCATCAGCCACTTGCTCTCTCTGATGAGTTGGATGATTTCAATGTCAAAATTGACAAAAAGTCTGTCATCCAAACGAATTAAAAGTGTTGCCAATAAACCATCTTTTGCCTTTTCTGCATACTTCTTCCAGGCATCCAACCAGCTCGTTTCAAATTTAATAAGTCCCATTAATACCTTGTTATAAGTCTTAATAATTTTCTTAGATTCTTTGCTCTGCATGATTGTTGGAATTTGTTGGAACTTGGACATGGGCTCTTCAATTCTCCTCATTAATTGTCTGCACCATATCACTTTACCAGCTACTGGAGGAGCATTTCTAACTAAATTGGGTTTTGTCTTGTACTTTTCATATAACTTTTGGATATTTTCAAGTTGGAATCCATAGTTATGGAAAATAACAGTGTACTTATTTTCAAGCTCTGTTTGCAACGTTTCTCTCTTTAAAATAGTTTTAAACTTCTTCAACACTTCAAGAGCCTGTTCACTACTGGAAATATTTTCGAACCATGTATTGATGAACACTTGCAAGTATTGTTCAAGATGAACAACTTTCTTGTTGAAAGTCATGTACTCCTTATCGAACGCGTTTCTTTGATAGTCCAAAAGGTTTGCTGACTTTCTCTTCAATTCATCGACATAACCAAAAAATTGAGTAATAAGTTCATCCATTCCTTCAATGTTATTACTTCTAAGAGAATGGAATTGATCAATAGTTAAAAACAATTCAATAAGTGTGTCAATTCTTCTGCAGAAGAGTCTTAATTTACCAAAAATTTTCAACTCATCAAAGTCGAACTCTCTTCCTTTTTGTTGTTGAAGTTTGGCCTTCTCAGCAAAGTAGCAACCCTCATACTCTTCTTTTAACCTAATACAGGTTTTCAAACTAGTCAATAGCTCGTTTGTATCTTGATCCCACAAACGGCCATTTTTCTCAATATTGTATTTACAGTTTTGGATAATTTGGAGACTGATCTTGACCAAAAGTTTCTCCATCTTTTCTTTAGAACTATAATATTTAGCAATATTATACATCATGCTAATATTCTTGATTAAACTGGGGAGTATTTCGATTACATGTGAAGGAGGAGAGTTGTAAAGTGGATCAATGTACTTTTCAAGAGATGTGAGATATTTAACATTATCTTTGGCCTCATTGATTGCATCAGTTAGAGCAATATCACAATCTATCCACTCCTGAGGTGCTTGATATAATTTCAAAGCAGAAATAATTGCTTTGTATTCCTCTCTTTTCAATTGTTCCATCACACTATTTAGTCGAAGGAATCTGTTTTTCCAGTACTCAATTTCAGCTGTAGGACCTAGTTCATTATCCGTGGGTTTATTGTCGTCGATTACTCTCTGTATTTCCTGTACCCACATTTTCACCAAATTCTCATAATAACTCATCAAAGCGATGTTTTCTTTCGCTTCCTTGATGGCTGTGGGAGTGTTGGCAATGAGTTTATCTGTGGCTGGTCTAGTTAATGTTATAGTTGGCGATTTTGATGAAAGAGCCTCTCCTAGTTTATCCGAAAGTCTTTTAGTTGCATTCAACAACTCTTTGGTTTGTTCGGATGAAGATTTTCCCCAATTCATATCATCAGCACTGAACACAGGAATAAATACCTGGTCAATCACTGTGTGCAAATTGTCAATTACATTTCCATCGAGAACACCAGAAATGAGAACATCAACAAGTTGTGCTTCCTTCGAAGGAACCGGTTGATTTCCTCTTCTGATGAAATATAAAACTTTCTGAGTCTTGTGCGGAAGGTCCTGAGTGGACTTTAGCGAGAGTTGTGGTTCATTGTTTTTATCTGGCGGATTTTGAGAGAATAAAATGACTGGTGTTGCGGCATCCCCCTTCAGGAATGATTCCAGAATGTTCTCATTGTTGTCGAGAAGTTGTTGGATTTGGAGGGTCTTGACTTGAGGAAATGCCTCTTCGATTCTCTCAGAAATATATTTCGATCTGGCGTCCCTGATGACCATGATGGAATATTTTTTGTTGTAGTTTTATTTTGTATTCAATTTGTAAAAAAAACGCGGGAAAAATTTTGATCGAACTTGTTCGATAATGGTCATTCGACATGCGAAAACTTAATTGAATGATTCACCAATTCCAACAACTCTCTCACGACTGACTTGCGGCAGTATCTTCAGTTACCAAAAACATGGTGATATCATTAATTTTATCATTTTGTCGGGTAAGGCCCTCAGGAACCTGCATGCTCGAATCTCTTCTTCTTGAATTGGGACCTTTCCTCAAAAGTGAGTTTCAAAAACATCTCTCCATCACAAGTTCCGACTTGGAGCTGTAAATTTCAAAACCGTTACAAGTGTGAGCCCTCACTCCAGAGAAAGAAAATATGAGCACCACCCACAGTGAGAGAGGTGAAGGTGGTGTGGGAGGTCATTCGTTCCTCTCGGACGATGAAGATGAGGATCTCTTGCTCGATGAAATTGATGGAGAGAATCTTAATCACCACCACACTACTCATGAGAATCAGAATCATTCCAATGACCATGAAGCATTGAACATGATGAGGATGACTCAGTCCAACAAGTTTAGCAATCATCGGAATCATCGCTCGCTCAACGCATCATCTCTCACCGATCAGAATTCCATCTCATCTAAACGAAAAATCCATAATAACAAAAGCACCAATTCCTCTGTAAATCTTTCTTCGTCGTTAAATGCTTCCCGAAACACCATCCCTTCCATTCATTCACTTCCACATCGATTTTCTGTTGAAAGCCCAAGTATATCATTTGCAAAAGGAGAAAGAACCTACTCCTACCTAGACAGACACAGGATATCCACACCAGGTCCAATCTATGAAGTAACGAATTGTAATAACTTTGTTGCCAAGAATCTAACGCCCAACAGCTATTCATTTCCAAAAGGAAAACGTTTTGTTGAAGAGGAATTGAAGATTGCAAAACAAGCTCAAAATCCAAGTCCCACAGCGTACAATGCAAAACTCAACTTTTCCTCAAAACAACAGAGCGATCCATCTTATTCTTTTGGCACTCGCACTCCTGTGGTGGAATTTCGTTCAGACTCACCTGGTCCAATCTACTTACCACAACCAAGTTCACCTAAAATATCCAAAGTTCCCACCACATTTGGAGCTGGTGAACGAACTTTAAGGTTAATTGAAAACAGAGCTTCACCATCTCCAGGTGCCTACGATCCAGTGCTGACTGAACCCAAAAAAAGCATCACTTTTACCTCATCAAAGAAAGAGGGTATGTTAGACACGTTGATTTCATGACATGCTTGTTATTGATTTTTTTATTGATCTACTTTACTTTTTATTTACTCCATCATAGACTTTACTTTTTTTGGAGACAAACTAAGCCATCACAAAGATGTATGTATGCATTCTTCATTTCTTTTTTTGTAACAGAATGATCATGATGCTTTAACTACGAACAGGCCTATCGAACGCCAGGTCCCATTTATGATCCATCCTTCAGGGCAACCCTGTCATCCTCTCCTTCTTTTTCGTTCGGTACGAAAAGTCCACTCCCCTCAGAACGCCCTTCCATGGATGGCCCTGGATTTTTGAAACCTGAAAAATACAGTACAGCTCCATCAATAACTATTTCTGGAAAAGAGAAAGAAGTGGATCCCACCATAATTCACGCTCCCCGACTCAGATACGTCAATGAAGTTTTTTGTCAAGAAAATTATGGAAGGGAATCTCCTGGTCCTAAATATAACATCTCAGGAAGCTTTCTCATTCCTTCCAAAAGAAAACCAGTCACAGATCATTTAAGCATGATGAAGAGCGAAAAGAAAAAAGGAACATCATCAGGAAAACCGCCTTATTTAGGGTATAGCATCTCCAAAACAGCTGCTATAGACACAGACAGCCCTGGTAAGTTTTTTAATGGCAGACAGCATAACATGCTAACATTTCTTCATCTTCTCAGGTCCAATATATGCCCCAAATGATGATCTGACAACAAAAGTCAGGAGACCCTCATCCATTATCATGTCGCCTCCCAAGAAGGTAAAACGAAAACAAGCCAAATCTCCTCCTTTGTTGAATCCAAAAGTTGATGCTCTCTCAACGATACCCAAAGTGACAGCTCCAAGATTTGTGAAAAGCAGCATGGATTGCAGAGTTTCTAACATGTTCACCACTTCCAGCGAATCGCCCGGTCCTGTCTATAAGGTAGATTGGGATAGTCTGTCTAAGAGTGTGTCTAAATCCTACAGAGGTAAATTTGGAGGCTTGTCATAATCAAATTAAATGCATATCTCGATTTATTTCTTTGCTTTTTTTCTTCTGGTACGAACTTGAACGACTTCTTCCTCTTGCTCTGGTTCTTCTTCCGCCTCACTCGTTGCTTGCTCTTCTTCTTCAGGTTCCGATACAACTTCTTCAGGAGTTTCTTCACCAGAGTCCCATTCGTCTTCATCTTTCTTTTTTCTCTTTGTAGCCTTTTCTTTGTTGTTGAGGCTTTTTTGCCAGGTTGTCTCTTTCTGCCTTTCTTTGAAGTAACGTCAACATGCAAGCCATCTTGCATGTGCCCTTTGATTATTTCCTTTGCCCATTTATAGATCTCGGTAACAGTACCTTCTTCAAATACTGGACTAGAGAGTACTTGGCGAAGTTTTGGTAAGGTTGTCTTGAAGTCAAAAAGAATTGAATTTTTGACAGAAGAAATGGTCTTCTTCTGGAATGATTTTGGATCAGTCAAATAATCTTCCATCTTTGCATTGTTCAAGTTATATCTAATTTTCAATGTATTCTTGAACTGAATTAAGAAGCAAAGAGATGTAGCTAATGCGATATTCTTATGAATCAATTTCAAATTCTTGTCATCCTTCTTGATTTGAGTCTTCAACTCTTCACAATAACTATCACCAATGGTATCTAATTTTTCTTGTATGGTACAAACCATTCCTGCAACTTCAGCAAGTGTCTTGTACTGTATAAAAGTCAATGCTTCAATCATAAAGCTCACTTGGTTAAGTAACGCAAGATTGTCAGCTGATGTTTCTAACAAGTTGAAAATAGATTTCACCACATCACACATGATATTTTTCTTGGTTTCTGCTGGAAAATCTCCTACAAATGAATATGCACCCTTGAAGACACTATGGGTTTCGTCATTGGATGAGGCAGCTGCAGAGACACCTCTCACTACCACTGTTCCCTCATTAATTTTTTGAAGATGAGAATACGATAAGAGAAATCCATGTCTTTGTTCACCAATAAAGGCCTTAGCGAATCTGTCATATAAATACAGATTGAGAGTGTGAGCTTTTTCTCTAATTTCAATGTTTGGGTCGCACTCCATAGCAATGATAAACTTCATAATTCTAGAAGGAATTGTCAGCCCTTGTTGCACTGTGAGGTCTAAAACTTCTAAAGTAGCTAATCGGATGACATCAGTTGGATCATCCAGCAACGCGATGATGGAATCTATGTAGCTGGACATAAGAGTTGATGTCACACTAAGAAAATGTAAAATCTTATTACATAACTCAAGTCTCTGCAATTACTTACCCTGCATCTACATTATCTTGATTGCCTGCTGCACTCAACTTCGATTCTTCTGCCAACAAAAAGTCTTTAAACATGAGCACCACTTGAATTACAAGCTCCTTATTTGGGCTGTTAAGACATTCTGATATGATCTTTTGGCTCTGTTTCAATAGGAAAAGCTTTGGTTGTCGAATGAGAAGGAATCCAATAGACCTTGCAGCTTTTTGTTTTAGTAAATTAGTACCTTGTGACATCCATCCAATAATTATACTATATATAGTTGTCGCAACGCTACCTGGTTTGAGATTTGGATGAATTACATTTTCTGGAATATCCGTAATTGTATCAACATCATGATACCTGCAAAATAAAGCTGCTGCATAAATCAATCTAGCTGTTGTTGCATCATTTTGCAAATTGGTCTCATTCACTGCCATGAGATGTACAATTCTTGTAAGTATTTTATAAATTTCTTGAGAGTTCTTGGTTCTTCTCAAAAATGCACAAAGACAACCAATACAAGCATCAATTGTTTCTGGTTTGATTCCTTGTGAAGAAAAAATAGTTTGAAGAAGTTCTTTTTGTAGCTTGGTGCAATAAGTTGGTTCAGGCTTATTGATGTAAGGACAAATCTTTTCTATCATTGAAACAGCATGGAAAATTACTGGTCCTGGATATCCTGAATTTGCATACACTAAAAAGAGTTAAGATGTTAATGAATAAGAATATCCATAAAAATACATACCGGACACAGTCTTAAAGTGAGGTAAAAGCAAAGAATAATCCGCTAAACAAATTAGATGTAGAGCAGCCATACATGTTGCAATATTTGATCTGTTTGGGACGTCTAGATTTAGTGGTTCTCCTGCAAGTTTAATAATATGTTGCAGTAGAGGCTCAATAATCATGGAGAGAGACTTTTTAATCTTTTCATGTTCTTTCGAATCTGAAGACATCTGATAATAAAGGTTAACAGAAAAGAACTAAAGATTGTTTTTCACGTACCTTAATGATTTGATAGAGCCAATGATCCTTATATTGCTTGAAATCAATGTTTTGCTTTCCAATCACATCAACAATTTGCAAGCCGCTAATTTTTAGTTTTTCCGAAGTGTTTTTGTCAAACCAAAGTTTTGTGAATGTTTTCAAAACTAGTTCTTTGATGTTATCCTCTTCTTTGTTTTGATGGCTCAATCTCGTTGCCAAGGTCTTACAAATTTCAGTAATAGTTCCATCATCTGTGATATGAGTACAAATATCTCCAAGAATTGTTATACTTCTCTTTCTAACGCTTTTAGCCTTATCGACTTTGACTCTATCAAGTATGATCCTAATGTAAAAGTCTTCAAATCTCTTTAACGTGATCATGGCATTTCCAATAAGGTCAATGACACATTCTCGTACACTTGGAAATTCGTCAAGAGTTCTCTCTCTTATTCCCATCTGTACATAGTTTTTCATTAGAACGGATGAATCAATATTGATAACTGTCTGAAGAGCCTTAACTGCATCAGCTCTAACTTTTGCTTTCTCATCTTTGAGCTCTGAAATAATTTGTCCAAATACAAAGTCAAACTTGTTAATCACACTTGAGGTTCTGTTACAAATGACGTTTAAGTATAAGTCCTTTGCGTGTGACGCTTGAATACTCCTAATAATACTTAGCATACATCCGAGTATTGTATGATACTTACGAGTTTGAAATGTCTGAATCGTCTCTACTCAAAAGTGACTTGTAGAAAGGAGCTTTCTTTTCAATCTCACGCTCGTCATAAAACCATTGGCATACAATAAATTGTTTTGCAAAGGCTAACATTGGCTCGCCCTTTTCTTGAGTACACAAATATGTAAATAATGATAGTTTCATCTTATCCACTTCATCTAGCTGGAATAAGTTCTTAAACTCATTTTGTAGTTTTTGGGTTGGGCTTTCAGTAAATGATTTTGGTTTTTGAGGAGTAGTAAAAGGATGATCCTCTTGAGATTTCTTCTCAGCTTCATCGTCTTCAACACAACCCATTGTTAGCATGTACTCCTTCATAAATTCGGAATTTTTGAATTCTAATTCTTTAGTACGGGCTGCAATCTTTCCCAAAATTTTGAGAGCCAACTGACGGAACTTGTCTGCTACATCTTTTTGGGACAAGTACTTGTTGCACAATACATTCGCCAGAGCTTGCAAGAGTAAATCAGCTCCAGGCCATGATGGTAATGGCAGAACAACCAATAAATCCTCAACAAAATGTTCAATAATTAAACGGTTGTCACCGTCTACAGATTCTGACTTTGTACATCTCTCCATGAAATATTCAGAAAACGTAGTTGCACAACGAACTGCTTGTTCATAAGATTCTAGAATGCTATCTTCTGACTCTGGTGTGTCATCTTTCATAATGTCATCATCTTCTCCCTCATTATCTGAAGTATTTTCGTCTGTATTCTCGTCCCCAAAGACAAGCTTTCGTGCAATCGAAGTTTCCTTATTTTTGACATCTGTGCATGAATGAATAAGTTGCAACATGAGAGAAGTGAACATTTGTATGTAGGTTGAATTCTCAGCGATTCTAAACCTTCTATCTGTTTTCTTGTGAGCAGGAAGCCTCAATAAGGAAACAGTAATTTCGCCTAAAATTTGATCTCTGTGTTCCGCATACGAAGAAAATATCTAAAGTAATGACATATAGTTACCTTTGATTTTGTTAAGAAAATTACCTTACATACCTTTGTAATTACTCCTAGCAATGACAGCTGAATCTCGTCAATACCATTCACAAAAAATGTGGAAACAGCAATATCAGAAATTGTTAAAATAAACTCATCTTTTAGCTTTTGTTTTCGCAGCATCTTATCCAGTCTTTTGAAAATTTTGCACACATGAATAATTTCAGAGTTGCAACTAAACTTTTTGTTTGACTTCTTTTTCAGTATATCCTCAGATTCAACGATGGGATATATGTACTTTCTCAAGATAGTTTTGGAAAAGTCTAAAATTGTGTCAAAACATTCTTCTAAAAGAACTTCCTTGGAAAGGCCTTTTCCTGCCATAACTGTGAGTTCAAGGATGGCACATCTACATGAAATATTTAAAGATTCTCGATCTTGTTTTAAGGAACTAATAAGCTCTTCTTTTGTAGTTTCCGTTACTGCTTTCAACATTTCTAATCCAATTTTAACTTGAGACTCAAGCACATTCAGTAACTTGGTTAATTTCTCTGTTGGAACATCTTTGAGATAATTGTTCTTTTGTCCTAGTTCAACCTCAACCTCAACGTCTTTTAGAAGCTTTTCTTGGACCAGTTCATCTTCGCTTTCTCTAAAGTCGCTCCATGCAAACAGCTCATCGAGAGCACCAATAATGTTCTCATTATCGTCCAATTTAGGTGCCAAGTCTGCTTTAATGACTGTCTTTAAAGAGGGCTGAGCGGATTTCGTTGGTTGTGGCTTTTGGTCAGCCTTTTCATCTTTGAGTGGAGGCTCTTCCTCAAAGTTCAATTCAACCTCTTCTCGCAACAATATTTAAATGTAAGTTCTGAAATTCATCATTTAGAAGTTAAAACATACTCTTGTATTTTCTGGCTGGTCGTTTTTGTCTGACCTTGATTGGTGTAGTGTTGGACGTTACTTTGGGAGGCTCCTTTAGTCAACCGAATTATGTGCTGAATCATTAAATTCGTAAAAGGCCATAAACTTACCTTTTGAGAGGTGTTTTTCTTTTGGTTTTCCATTGAAACAGGTGCAGGGTTGATAATGATATTTTCTTTGTTTTCTTGATATTTTAGTAAAGCATTTAAAAGTGTTGAATTGTTTCCTGCGTTAAGATTTTTCTGGTCAAGCAAGGCTCCATTTTGGTTGAGGATGCTGGGAGTTTCGATGGTGAATGAAGTGTGTGGTGAATGTCTTGTTGTACTTACATTTCTTCGTTGCTTTTCGGGTTGTTTGACAATATTTGATGAAGGCCTTCAACAAGGTTTGAATCATCACAATTCAACCACTTCATAACGTCTTCGTTGTGATGTGGGCACTGAAGTAAATTGTAAGTGTACAAATCCTTTGACTGGTCCATTGTTTTAAAAACAGGTTGTTCTTTAAACATCAAAGGAGGCATCTCGTTCACAATGGAAAATTGAGCACAGAAAGCAGGAAGAAAAGGATCCACAACGTTCGGAATGAATCTGTGGGACGATCCATTGGATGAGTTTTGATCCTGGTTAGCCATCAATGATGTGGTTGATGATGATCGGAGTGTTTCAACATGTTGATGAATGTTTTGCTGATGGGGAGAATGGCTATGCGCTTGGGACATTTTTTTGTTCTTTTGAATTTTCGAATTTGCTGATGGCGCCAATTTTAACGAAATAATCGGCTTGGCGTTGATTAGAAAATTGTTCCGACACTTTTTGGAGAAGCTTGTTTTTTGAATCAGATAATTTGTAATAACAGTACACATATATTCTCATGTTTCTCACAGAATACAACAAGTAGCACAACAACCTGTATATTCTCTACACAAGGATGTTTCTCAGAATAAAAAACCAAAAATCTACTTTTTGCTGTGCCATCACCATTTCTCAATATCGAGCTCAATAAATAACACCCTTTCCAAAGATGAGAATCAACGCTACTGCCAAGATGGTCAATAAGATGAGTCCCATCACAATCCACATCATTCTCGATTGAGACTTTCTCAACTTGTTACTTTCTTTGAGGCTCTCTACTCCGCGTTCAACATTGTCCTTGGAGGTAATCACATTGGAATGAATGGTATCTAGCATTGGATCCTGTTCATCCACCAGTGAGGCAAACTCTGAGAGCAACCACAAAGAAGAAGACCACATGGACGTGTTTGCATTTGTTCAATTTTGAGTGCGTAGTGGTGACGAAAAGAAGATCATTGAGATTCATAATGAAAAGACAAGTAGAGATTCATAATGAAAAGACAAGTAGAGGTATATGAAGCAGTAATAATGATTCAACAATAACATGAGATGGAATAATCATATTACATCCACTTACCTGTAACCAAATGATGCAATTCATAATACTCGCTTTGGTATTGCTTCAAATCCTCGTACTCTTCCATGGCTATTTTCATCTCAACATTTAGGGTACTTTCTTGCCAAGACACCAAAGTTCCTTCTTCTTTGAGTTGTAACTCTTGAAGAGGTTGTTGTTGTGATACTTGAGGTGAATGTTTGCCACTACCGCGTTGGAGGAGTGGATGTTCTTCAGCGTTGCCCACATAATCCATCTCTTCTTCTTCATCAAAATGAGAATGATGTTGGTGATTGTTGGAAATTAATGCATATTGCTCTTGTTTTTGTTTGGTTTGTTGTGTAATCCTAGAAGGAATGAACAAGATGGCGTTCATAAAGATGATGTGGTGATAGTGTTTCAAATGGTCATATCAAGATCCATAGGAGGAGGATGTTTTTTGATCGATTCCAGTTAGAGAAATTCACCGAAATGAGCCAACACCGGAGACACGACAATCATGTACGTACATGCATGAATGAATGAATTAGGCATATGTACATTCAAAAGCACACGTATCAACTTACCATTCCTTATCACGACGAATAACATCCTTCAATACAGAGATCGTTTTAGCCAAATCGTTCTTCACTCGATTGTATTTGATGGCATTTTCTTGTTGTGCATTGCCTCCAACGCTTGCATTTTGTTGTTCGCTTGAAGTACCTCCTGTCATTTCGATCAAAATTTTCGATTCAGAAGCAAGTTTAGAACCAATTCGATTGGACATCTTTTTCAATTCGTTGGCTTCGCTTGTACACCATTGTCTTAATGCTCGAATCTTCTTTTGAGTGTCATTTGCTGTCGAATTGAAAACTCCTCCATTATTATTTAATTGTTGTCCATTTGAAATTGATGGAATTTCAACTTGTTGAGCTCTTTGATTGGATAATTGTTTGTATTGTTCGACTTGTTTGGAAAGCGTTGTAACTCGACCAACAAATTCATCAACGGAATCAGAAGAATTCATGGAACGAGTTTGGTTGGATAGAGGTGACAAATCATTGTTGTTATTGATATTTGTTGTCTCTTGTTTTGTTCCAACAATTAATTGGCGAAGAGTATTTTGATTTTTTGTTCGTTGTTGATTATGAACTGGCGGTACATTGCCCCACGACAGACTTGAAGACATTTTGATGATGATTTAATAATAATTTGAGCTCCGATCAAATTGAATGTATCGATGATGTTGTAACAATGAGTCACCAGTGACGCAAGTCAATTTTTGAAGCAGAGGTCTTGCGAATGAGCAGTTGGCACAAAACAGAGATTCCTCTCGACTTCAGTGACTCTAATTTTTTTAATGGATTTTGTCTTGACAGGGTTTGAAAGCTGATTGACCCAAAATGTTGACCTCCCTGACTGAGTACCTTTTGTGCACGAAGAACAATGGAATTGACTAGTGGACGAATCGCAAGGATTCAAATTCCCTTTATTAAGGCAGGTTATTTGATGTTACCCAAAATCGCTCTAAAGGTAGCTGGCGTGTTGTTGAAGGTTGGTGTGGGAGGGTGTTATTGAAAGATGGTTAAGGAATCTACAAACGAATGCTAGATGTGAACAAACGAGCCCATGAATAATCAATGAACTCCTTAGTATAACCAACACCAACAAGGACTGGTTCCTTGTCATAAATGTAGGTGTTTGCAACACGCTTGACATCATCAACCGTGATAGCATCAATTCTTGCAAACATTTCTGCAGCAGATGGTCTTCGGTTGAACAAAAGAGTTTGTCTACCAACTTCCTCCAAAACATTCTTCAAGGTACCATCGTATTGAGACAAAACTGAAAGCTTGAGCAAGTTCTTTGCACGTTCCAATTCAGCGGTTGTGACCTTATAGCAGAGACGAGTCATTTGACGTAAAATTTCAACCATCAAATAATCGGTATCTTCGCCTCCATCATTCACAAATTTAACACCGAACAATGATGTATCAGAATAACCATGGAGGAAAGGAAGAACTTGTTGTGCCCATCCTTGTTCACCAATATATTGAGCCATGTTAGAAGCAGCATATTTGCCTGGTGCGCCCTGTGAAATATCAAAAGCACCCAAAATAAATTGAATCAAGTTAATGACAACCATATCACCACTTGCAAGACCTGGTCCTTGGAATCCGATAGCACCTTGCAAACCATTGACTTCATCGGTTTCAACTCTGACATCTGAGCCGATATATTCTGGAGTAATTTGGTATTCAGCGAGTGGGCGTGGTGTTCTTGTTGCACTTTGTAAATGTCCAAAGTTTTGTTCAGCAAGTTTGACAAGCTTATCATGGTCGACATTACCAGTACCAACCAAAACCATTCTTTCGGCAGTGTAGAAATCCTTTTGGTATTGAATCATTTGTTGACGAGAAAGCTTCTTAATGTTTTCTACTGGACCCAAAATACTCAAGCCGAGACCAGAGTCAGGGAAAGCTGTTCTATGCAATTCGTCATAGACACACTCCTCGACGCTTTGGCTGACATCTTCGGATTCGAGTAGAATCACGCTTCTCTCTGCATCAATTTCCTTTTCATCCAATTTGCTATCAAGCAAAATTTCAGACAATGAGTTAACGCTTCTATCAACATTATTCTTTAAACATTGTATAGTGAATGCTGTATATTCGCGAGATGTGTGGGCGTTCAAGAGAGAACCTGTTCTTTCGTGTTCAGCTTCAATATCAACTTTTGATCTCTTGTTGGTTCCCTTGAAGTACATGTGTTCTAAGAAGTGAGCAACACCATTGTTGAGTACGTTTTCTTGTCTGGAACCAGCACCAATGAATACACCGACGGCCGACGTTTCTCCAACTTTTGGTTCAGTTACAACTCTAAAGCCATTATCAAGAACGGTAACACGTGTAGCAGCTGCCTTTGTTAATTCTTTTGGAAGATGATATGATGGAGTGTAGAGGGATTGATCCAAAACGGACTCAACAGCCGAAGTGGCGTATCCTCTTCGTTGATGATGGAGAAGAGACTTGATGAGGGTTTTGTTGGATGAAGTGAGTTTGGACAGCATTTTTTTTTGACCAATTTAGAGTTTTACAATACGGATTTTTTTTGCTGATAAAATTGACTGGTGAGGAATGTTGTTGGTTGGTGGTTGGTGTTATTTGAATTTGACAATAAACAGGTTTATTTCTTCTTCTTCTTTGGGGCTTCATCATCACTAGAGTCGGAATCTGATGAGTCGCTGCTGCTACTATTCTTTCCATTGTTGCTTTCTTGTTCAGACTCAGAGGATTCTTCTTCTTTTCTCTTTCTCTTCTTTTCATCTTCATCATCTTCTTGAACTGGTTCAACTTTCTTTGGAGTTGATTTCTTCAAGTCAATCTTCTTGCTCTTAGATTCTTGTTGTTGATTTCCTCCAACACTCTTTGGTTTGATTTGATCCAAAACTTCTTGTCTCTCACTCTTCTTACCAAGAGCAGCATTAATTGCTGGCTTTTGCAAAAAGAACCATTTGTTTGCAGAAACATCGCGATAATTATTCAACCAAATATCAGGAGTAGTTTCATTAGGTTGGCCGAACTTGTCCAACTTTCCTTGTTGAATCAGCTCCTTCTTCAATTTGGAAACAGGGCCCAAACCCCAACGTCTTGGATAAGTGTTACGATCCATAATAACTCTCTTTGTCTTACAAACAACTCCATATTCCATACTTTGAATTTGAATTGAGGTCATAACTGCATATGCAATACCAATAGCTTCGCCCTTGGTGGTGACGAGAACAACTTCTTCACCAGTTTCAATTGAATCGTCAAAACGTAAAACACCAGGAATCATTAATTGAGCACCAAAGCAAATTGAGTTAACAGCACTGTCCTTAACAATAATACGCTTATACTTGACTAACAAAATTTCCAAAGGTTTTACAATACGTCTCAAATAACTCTCATCTCCGTTGGTCTTGTAAAGATATTGAGCATCCAAAACGTCATGCATGGTATAGAGGAAATCTTTTTCACTCAAAGCTCCACTCTTCACACGACGCAATTCAAACATTGAACCTCCAGTTCCCAATAATAAACCTAAATGATCGCACAAAGTTCTGATATAGGTACCTGCTTGGCACTTGACCCAGAAAACAGCCATATTACTCTTTGGATCAAATTCAAAAAGTTTAACATCATAAATAGATCTAATACGCAATTGTCTCTTAACAGCAGATACTTCTGGTGGCATTTGGAAAACGGCTCCAGTCAATGTCTTCAAAGCTTCCTCAACAGCCCTCACTCCTCCTTGTACTTCTCCGTTTAATTTCAAAATAGAAACGTATTCTTTACCAGCACCTTGTTGTGATTTAACTAAACGAGTGGCACGGTTCAAACATACGATTAAACATCCGGTAACTTTTGGATCCAATGTACCACTGTGGCCTGTCTTTTCAACTTCAAGAATCTTCTTTACCCAAGCAACAATTTCGTGAGAAGAAGGGTTGGCTGGTTTATCCAAATTAATGACACCATATTTGAGATATTCATCAAGTTTTCTCTTTGTTGGTGTGTTACCAGCTGGAATGGGTGTATAGTGTCCGGTTCTAGCATTTAACTCATCAAAATTCTTCAACAAGAGAGGGAATTCACTAGAGTCAGTCTTTTTCACTTCCAAATTGGTTGGAAGTTGTGATTGTTCCTCTGATGATGATTTGGTTTTTGATGATGAGGAGGAGGATGATTTATCTTTTTTGCCCATGATGATATTTTATTCGGGAGGAAGATGTTCAATATTTTTTTGATGAACGGATTGAATATTTTTCGCTGTGGTTGTTCAACAAAAAGGTGGAGCATTGGTTCAATTCGATCGAACAGAGCTCTCCTATTCAGAATGGGTTGTTCTATCATGCATTGGAGTATGAAAAGTGTGTTGCTGCTGCAATGAGCACTGGATCAACAAGTCGAAAAAGTGATCATCTTTTACTCTTGTCTCTACATCTTATTTTATGCATGTTCATTCAGATAATCTACAAAGCCAGTCACAATCTTTTGCTTGGTATCTGGAGGGTGCATTTGGGACATTTTAATAAATTGAGTTCGGAGCTTTCTCAACTGTTGCATGGAGACCGAGAGACCAGGCATTTTCAAATGATGTTTGTTTTGTTGTTCTTTTGTTAGGCCATAACTGGCAGGAATTGGAATTTCATCTCCTGGCATGTGAAGAGATTTTGAGTCCATAATAAGTGTCACAATCTCATTTGTAATCTTATCTAATTCATACATTAATGTATTTTCGCTCAAATGAATGGGTAATGTGGCAGTATTTGGTTTGATAGTTTTCTTTGGTCGTAACATTTCTTCCTCAATTTGTTCCACAGGTGTTGCTTGGTCAGGTGTTAAACTAAACAGTGGGCAGTCCCATCTCGATTTCTCGCTTGGCACTTCCATTCTTTGGGCCATTCCCATCAAAAATGTTTCAGAATATTTGTTTGACAACTTTTCCTTATTCCACAAAAATGTATGATTTGGCAAGGTGTTGAGAACATCACAGTACACGACACAATGTGGAGTTCTCAATGATCTTGCAATACAATATAATTCATATCTAAAGCCCTTAATATAATTCAAAGAGTCCACAATCACAACATCATCTTTGGTGAGAGCTCGTTCAACAGCAGCCTTCACCTTTCCTCTTGTTTGTTTCTCGTTAAAGGAATCTTTGTAAGCGACATGAATGTCCTCCACAAGATCTTCATCAGAAATCACAATGACGCTTCCTTTCACATCGGAAACTTTTTTAAAGTGTTCCGCAATTTCTTTTGCTCGTGTGCTCTTTCCACTGCATGGAATACCAACCATCATGATGAGAGGCATTTTGATGTTATTATTAGTATTATTATAATTATTATTAAAATATGATGAATGATTATTTAATTTCAATAATTAATAATTTCAGAAGTTATGATAATGCTGGAATATTTCAATATATGATGTGTGAACCGTTGATACCAAATGTTGAAGAGTGCAATTCGTGTTCGGAATCATAAAAGGAACCAAACACTTGGCCAAGACAATTTTTTTATGTTGTTTCATATAATTTGAAATTGCATTCTTAAGAAGATCGACTCCAAGCGATCCACCACACACTCGCAGTCTCTCCGAATTCATACCTTTGGGCCGAGAACATGAATGCAATGGTTGTTACAATCCGCTACATATATTTCTCCTGTCAATTCATTCAGACAAATGCCATGAGGCTCATTGAATTGATTCATACCATGACCTAGATTACCGAACAATGACAAGACTTGCCCCGTTCGAATGTCGCACATCACAAGTCTGTGATTTCCTCCATCGACAATTAGCACATTGTTCTTATTGGAAGGATCCACTAACAAACCTCTAGGTTTGAGAATTTTAACAGAATTGTTCATACTTAATTCTTGTTCTTGACGAGATGGAAACTCGGCAATGAATTCTCCTTCTTTAGTAAGAACTTGAATTCTATTTCCTCGCTTCTCTGAAATGATCAAGTACTTATTCTTGTAAATAGTAATGCCCCAAGGTCTTTTAAATTTTTGCACATTGGATGCATTCGTATCATTGTTCGAAGATGATAAATCGTCCAAAGATAAGGTCAAAGACGCATCCCGAGAGAAAGATATTGTAGAGTCATTCATGTGAACGTATAAAGAGCTTCCTCCAATAGTTCTTAAAAAAGATCCATCCACAGAATTCAAAACAATGATTCGATGATTTCCATGATCGCACACATAAATCTCATAATTATTGGAGAGGTTTCGAATGGCTTTCTCGACAGCAATTCCTCTTGGATACTTGAATAACTTGTGTGACTCCGAAGGAGAGTACATCTGCTTTCCAGAGATCCAAACCAACATGTGGTCGTAGTTGGTGGCAGTTTTTCGATCCTTACTCAAGATGGTTGGTATGTGGTGGTTCATTGTTGAAAGGTTTGACGCCGAGACAGGAGAAACATGAGGTATGACGATATTATACTTGTACACGAGATTGTCTGAGGCAGAAACTACAATAGATAGATACTGAGTAATGTTTGGATCGACAGCTAAATTTCTGGGGGCAGAGGGCATGGAAAAGACATATTTGTGTTGTTTTGAAAATAAATCAAATAGGTGAATTTGTTGTTGACCCCATTCGCTCACCACAATGCATGAGTGAAGATATGAAATGGCCACATCGGTTGGACATTTGAGAGGAACCTTCGAAAAGGCTCCTTTTGACGCATTTCCAATAAATTCCACTGATTCATAGTTAAAGCGTCCATCCTTAATGGACAATAAGGAGAGTGGCTGTTTCATGGATATGAGGGTTTGTTTTTTTTCTTCTTCCATTGAATCTGGAACATTGGAATGTTCATTCATACACATGGGTTCAATTTTAACAATGTGAGAGAGTTGTTCAATTTGTTCGCAAGCAGCTTTCACACTTTGTGGATCAATGTCAATTTTCATATCGTACAATTGTCTAGTAGATTCGTATGGAAATTCTTTTTTCATTCGTTCACACAATGCATATATAGAGCTAACACGTGACAATTTTTTCTCAATCAAATCAAAACCACTCATTTCCTCTAAATGGTCAAATTCTGAAAGAAGGTCAGTGATTTGTTTTTTCAGATTCTTGATGGAATGAACGACGTTTTTTTGCTCCTCACAAACTTCCTCGATGTTGTTTTTGATAATTCTCGAGTGTTCATCCAACTTCTTTTTCAATTCATCCACCACCGATTGAACCTTATTTGAGAGTTTCAGTTGCATTTCATCAATTCGGGTGATGGTCTTTTCTAAGTCAGATTCTGATGTTTGAAATTCATCCTCCCAATGTTCAATTTCTTGCTTAATCACTTGTAAATTCTCTTGAATTTCTTGACGTTCTCTCGACTCCACCTCTTGAATTAAATCAAACATGTGTCCGGTATGTGACTTGACCAAGGCACAAACTGAACAAATGAGTTTCTCACAAGTTCTACAGTAGGTGTTGATGGGAATGTGGTGCTCGTTGCACATTGGAAATCCAAAGTAGTGTCTTGGACTGATCATTGAATATTGGTTCTCTGGCCAATGATGGCGATGATGAGGAGGAGTGTTGGGGATGGTGTTATTATTATTATGGAGATGAGGATGGCTCTGGAACAAGCGAGGAGGGATGGAATAAGAAATAGAGGGTGAGAATGAAAGATATTGATCATTGAACAACGAGTGATGGTTGTTGTTGTTGTTGTTGTGGCTTGGAATGTTCTGAGAAGAACCATCTTCTGTGGAGTGGGAAGAAAACGAGCAACCGCAGTTAGAACCATTGTTGGAAAAAAACGAGTGTACCATCCATCCATTGTGGTTATTGCTGAGGTTCGTGTTGAACGAGGAGTTTGTTTCGGAGGCAGAATGAATGACCTCTATTTGGTTCGTAGTGGACTTGTTGTGGAGAGAAGTAACGCCATGATGAGGATGGCTTTTGGCATGTCTCACACCATGGTAAGAGCAAAAGTAATAATCGCAACAAGAAGAAGAAGGATGAGGAGAGGAGGATGCGTCTTTGCTGCTTGACGAATGATGGAGGTTGTTGTGGTTGTTGTTGTTATTGGGTGCAGTCATCCTCAAAGAGGCCTCAAGCTTACAATCTTCACAAAAACAAGTAGCAACTTCAGTGAAGCCTTCTTCCGAACATTGGAAACAAGTATATACTGAATCGGAAGATGTCTGCAATTCTGAATGATAAGTGTCGTGTGCTAGTTCCGGGGAAGACAAGTCGAAGGAATGTTCCGTTGTTGAAGCAGTCAAAACTTTCATTTCACGTGTATATTGTCGTTTTTTTCTTGTGTTAAATTAGAATACGGGATTATCCTATACTGACGGATGAATCTGTCGGTCTGGCAACTGTCATCGAGAAATTGCCATGTCCCTAAAAAGATTTTTGGCAAGTGTCGTTCAGCTTTTTTCTTTTTTTGAACATGCATTTCACGCAATCAGAGTTCAATATAAGGTAAACACAAATGGAGATTACGTTGGTTGAGATTCTTCTTGGTGCACCATCATTAAGGCAATGAATGAATGGGTTGGTTTATTGTGAGTTGGTTTCTTGGTTTCTATTCAGCAAATAGAAATCAATTCTTCTTTTCGATTCTAAATAGAGTTTCCTTTTAATGCTCAGAATAAATTTCACTCTTCGGAAGATCAAAAAAAAAATATCGAGATACGACCTTCGTTTTTGATCCTCATCTAAACTTGTTGAACACACAACCATCATCATCATGATGAATAATTCAAATTATTACGACCCATCCAATAGTTACGGTTACGGACAAACAACTCCAATTTCTTACGGACAACCTCCTCTTTATGCCAATAACAGCAACAATACCCGTATGAACAGTAGCGTCGTGTATGGCGTACAACCACAACCAAACAATAATAATAACAACAATCCGATGGTTGGATCAAATACCAATACTACCACTCAAAGACCTCAATCTTCCAATACAAATAACAGTAATACCAATAATAACAACAACTCTTCAAGACAAAACAATCCAATGAGAAGCTCAACAACCTCCACTCCACCCTCCTCCAATCAAAGACCACCAGTGCCACATTATCAACCACCTCCACCACCACCTCACAATTTTCCCCCACAAACTAATCTGCCAACTACCTCTGTTATACTTCCACCTGGTAGTTCATACAGCCAGCCTGTGTTGATTATTCCATCCACAACAGCAACAACAACAACTCAACAGCCACCAACATCAACTCCCTATACTCAACCATTATCCTCTCAACAACAGAATGAGGCTATTCATATGCTTGTTCAAACAGTTCAACAACATTTGGAACAAACGAAGCAATGGAAATTGGCAATCGATGAACAAATTCAATATATGGATCTGAAATTGTCTGCAATCTTGGATTTTGTCAAGAAACAAGATCCATCTGCCGTGAGAGAATTGGAGAATTATGAAAGATTGAAAAACAAGAACTCAACTGCAAATCAAACCAACCTCAACACCACTACTACTACTGGCAACAACAATAACTCGAATAACATTTCACCAATGACAAACCAGCCACCACAACAAAATTCACAATCGATGAACATAAACCAAAATTTGAATTCCAACTTGAATGCGTCGATCAACAATGGATATTCAGCCTACACTGGCTTTTCAAACCTATCAAGCTACCAGAACTCAGGCTCTATTCCACTTGGTGGCCAATCTCAGTATCAACCCTCTCAATCAATCGTCTCTCCACAACGTGACATCACGGTAAATAAGGACACAGAAAAGAATAAGGGGTTCTCTATGGAAAGTAACAATGTCATGAATCCACCTTCTTCTTATATGAGATCGACCACTAATTTTAATCCATCTTCTTACACTGAATATAATCAATATCCAAAAACATCTTCCCAAAGTTACTCTCAACCAACCCAAAATATGCAACAAATCAATAACTTGGATCAAGAATTGGACGAGCTCGATAGAGAATTATCACGACCTACTTTCTCTCAAAACAAGGAACCAAACAAAGATTTTGAAAGTGATGTTCAGGTTATTTGTAACTTGGGATTTTCTGAGGATACGGCAAGAAATGCAATGCTAAGATGTGGAAATCGAGCTTCTGCCATTAATTATTTGTTGGACATTAACACTCAACACTAAACTTGTATCTTTTTCTATTGAACGAACACAACAACCGAAAGCAAACCTCACTTCCTTAGTGTCTGATTAAGGTATTGAGCTCATCATGTAAAAGGATAATTTCTTTTTCATTCATGTTCAATTTAAGGAATTACTTTAATTTGGAAACCTGTTAAGAACAAAGCTTCTTACAGAAATTTAATCTGAAAATCACATCTGATTTAAAATAGGTCAACACTGATCGATCTGTTGCTGTGTGATACCATCACCATGTCTTCTCCAACCGGCTCTCTTGGCCCCTCTTCTTTATCGACTTCTTCCAATGTCTCTCTCAAACTCACACCTTTTCTAAAGACCTTCCTCACCGTCATTTATTGGGAACCTATTATATTCGAAATGTTATTTGGTTTGGTAGCCATGCTGTTTTCCAATAGTCGTTTTGTGCTTGGATGCCTCATGCCTCAACCTTTAGTTGAATTATTGCTTGTAGGAGGATCAGCGACTACCACAACTTCTACGACCACCAACATTGCTGACATGACCTTAACAACAAATAATGATTTAAGAAATTTGGTCTTCTTTCAAATTCGATTCTCTGGCCTGTTACTGTTTGCTTTTGGATGCATTCACCATTTGATTTTGAGGCATTGCTACAAGGAATTGGCATTGTCGAACTTGGCTTACATGGTTGAAAGTGTTTCACTCTTCCATTGGACCATCCTTGGATTATGTATTGGTGACCTCCTGAACATTGGACTTGTTTGGAATTTTATTCTTAAAGATGCCCTCCCAAACGCTTTCATGTTGGTGGGAGGTGATATACTAGGAGCCAAAGCAAGCTTGTGGCCCATTCTTCAAGTTGTTGTTCTTACTGTACTCTCCTCTGTATTTTGCATCCTGCGAATTTGTTTTTTATTTACTTATTCAGGTAAAATGTTTGGCATTCGTAGTGGGTTACCCTTAGAAAGTTCTCAGCAACACATTAGAAGAGTGCATGTGGAGTAACAGGTTGCATGAACAGAAATTGGAATAATAAAGACAACATGTTCTACTCTCTGCCACTGAAATATTACAGAAAGTTTTGAAACAATAATAATTTATTCGATGGAATACAACTGATATTAAAACATCTCTGTGGCTGTGAGTTTGCTACCGCCAGTAACTCCTTCAATCAAGTGCTTGAGGCGAGTCTCTGCTGAACGAGTGGTTGAGATAATTTCATCTCGGTTAAATCTATCGACAGGTGTATTTTCGAGAATGTCACTAAGCTTTTCTGTAACTCTTTCCAAATCTTCTTGAAGGTATTCGAATAAATTCTTTTCTTGACCTTCTTCAAGATAATATCCGTACACATAGGTGTATTTAAGATTACCTCTACATTCAATAAGAGTGTTGACAGCTTTTTGAATGTATTCTACGTCTACCCACGAGCTGTACTTATTCATCTGAGTCAATTCTCTCATCTTTTCTTCAGTCTTTTCACGCAATTGTCGCTCAAACTTTTGAGACTTGTCATGGTTGGCATATCTGGTGAAATAGTGCATGTATTTCTCAAGAGCAGCACGAGCTGATTCTCTTTCATCTTCATGCAATTTCTTCTTCAAGTCTTCTGGCTTGTACTTGTTGCATTTGTAGTAACCACCAGTTTCACTTCCGTGGGTGGACCAATCATCCATGCAAACCCAACAGAATTCATGCTATTTGGCATTGTGGTTCTTTTGAACACATTTCCACCATTTGAAGAAAACTTACCTTACACTGGGAACAGGTCATGTGGTTACATCCTCCGTTCTTTTCAATTGATCTGTTACATTTTGGACAGTCCTATAAGTAGGGAATAAATATTGATGAGTACGAAGGAGATCATTCCGATTATGTATTGCGAAATAGGGCATAAATATATTGATGAGTACAAAGGTATGTATAAGAAGGCAATCGATATGCGATGTATGAATAGATCGATCAATCAAATAATAACAATAATTAATATTATAAAATCCACAAAGGCAGTCACAAAATATTCAATACATTATGATGACAGGATAAAAGTAAAACAGGACATTATGTCAATTCGTATTACATACCTTTGTGTTGGCTGTCAACCAAGTTGCCGTTTCCGATTCGTCTTGTTCCTTCTTTTTCCAGGCTTTCAACTGTGCACATGTTGCTGGAACGTGAGCCTCACATGAACATTTGAAACAAAACTTTTGGTTACAATGGCCACACTGAACAGCATCGACAGTAGTCTCAGGACAAAAGACAGCTCTACCACAATTTGGAGTTGGGCACCACTTGATTCTAGGATTGTCCTCAACAAAACTTCTCACCAAATATTTGGAATAAATTTTGTAGCTTTCGGGAGGGACCAATTCTTTCACTAAAGCTTCAATAATCAAGGTTGTACATCCTCTCTCTAAGCAGCTTGCTGTCAAGCAAGCATTTCCATTATTGATGGCTGTGATTAAGTGCTGCCTCCAACAGTCCTGGCAAAAATAGTGTTTGCAAGCCATAGCCAACATATTTGAACCATCATAGGTATCAAAACAAACACTACATTCATATTCTTTTCCGGGAACGCCCTGATAAATTTTGAAATCGTTCACATTGATGTTTGCTTTCTTTATCACGCGTTCCTTATTTTCGAAAAAGTCATTCCAAAGTTTTTCCTTGTTCCAGTCGTAACTTCTCAAAAGAATACCGCAGGCGCCCACAGGAACACCAAGAACGTTCGAAACTTCATTCACTAATTCTTGTTGTTGTTGAATTAATTGATCGGGATCGAGAGTGATAAATTGAATTTCCTTCATTGTGATTGGATTTTCCTCCAGTGCAGGAGATGTTGGTGTCAAAATTTCAACTTCTTCCTCTTCTTGGAATGGTTCATCCTTTCCTTCTTCTAATTGCGCAAGTAATTCCTCTCTGGTTACACCCATTTCTTGTAACTCTTCTTCGGTCAACAATTCAATTTCCTCTCGGGTCAAGGTGGTATCACCATCCATAATGTCAATATCATCGTTCATATTAGACATCTTTTATAAAAAAAGCAGTGAAGAATTTGTTGTTGTTGATGTAAAAGAAGACAAAATTGTTGTGATCAAAATTTAAGTCGCTCTTTGAGAGAGAAACAACAAGACGGTATTTTTGATTTTTTTTTAGAATTTTATTATGTTCACACCGATTTTACAATACAAAGAACTATCATCATTAATTGAATGAACTGTTTGTGCTGGTTGAGTCCTTCTTTTCGTCCTTAAGTTGACTTCTTCTAATCCATTCTTTGGATAGCTTTAAAGAGTTGATTGAGTCAGCTCCAAACGAAAAGTTGGGAGTTAATGGTAATGTGGAGTTGTTTTCGTTCAGTCCTCCGTCTAGAATGGTAACTGAGGTCTTGCTTGAAAACAAGCCTTGAGGAGGAATGTCGCTGATTCCAGACTCATTTGTGATATCTTTTCCATCGTGATTGGTTGAGATTGTTGTGATTAGATTCTCGTTATCTTCATCAAATTGTAAAGATCCGTCTCCAACAAACATCAATGGTTCAGAAGCTTGATCCATCGATAAATTGAAATGATTTGTTTTCTTGTTGGCTTGATCGTTGGTGACAGGTTTTTGAAGGGCCTTAATTTTAATTCCTTCCTTAGCTCCAAAAGAAAATTCCTTGGGTATTGTAATTTGGTTTCTCCATTTCTCTCCTGTTCTAAAAACTTTCTCTAGTTCAGATTTCTTTTCTCTAGCCTGTCTCTGACGTTTTAAAAACTCTTCAAAACCTAATGGATCACCAGAGCTTTTGGGAGAAGGCAACTTCAATCGTTGGGTGTTAGGAGAAAATGTGCATCCTTCCATCTCTTTACTTTCGACCTCCATCTTTCCTTTGAGAAGTTTCTGACGTCTTCTCATTTCCCATATCATGGTTCTATCCTCAATGTTCTTTCCTTTTACATGGATTTTGTTGATGGTTTTAGCAACATCTGGTGTAAAGGTGCACCCTTCGAGTTCTTTTTCCATCAGTTCTTTCTTTTTCTCTTCAATTTTCTTTTGAGTGTTTGATGTTTTTTTGTACATTTCGTACAATCTCTGTTCAAACCCTATATGTTGTTTGCTCAGTTCAATTTCTTCCGATTTCTTGTTAATTTGAGGTCTAAAAGTATAATGAGATTCGTCTAAAAGACGTGGAGAGGTCGGAGGTTTGGAGGATGGCGAAAACAATCTTTCCTTTGATGTGGTCGGTAATCGGGATGCAATTTCTAACGAAAGAGAATTGAGTTCAGGTTTGTGCGAAAGATCTTTGCTTGCTTCATTTGGGCTCCTTGGTGAGCTGTAATTGTACATGCCTTCATAGTTTCTTCTTTCAATTTCTTGTTGCTGTCTTAGGTCGTCCATTTTGAAACTCATTTCAAGGAATCGGTCGTGAGAGTTATTACTTCTGAGAAGCTCTGCTGCATGAGAATTGATTTTGTCTGACATGTTCTCATTACCTGAATGGCTGTTCGTATTCTCCTCCTGTTCCAAAGTCATTCTTCTTCTCGCCTTAATGTAATTCACCAACCTTAAAGTTCTTGGATTCAACGTGCTCCTTGAGATGATAATATTCCATAATTATGAATTAAAGAGAATATAGTAATCAGGGTTCTCAACTAACATGATCATTACATACTTCTGTGTTTCGTCTTCGTGATCATCAAGGCCCTGCATTCTGTAGAGGTCGAATATTTTTTATTTTTTAACGGCTTTATTGTTGCAGCACCATCTTTTCCTCGCTTTCTTTCTGTTCTCTCCATCCATTTTGAACCAGCCGATCAAAGCTGCCAAATATTTTCTCCTTATCAGGAATATCGAGGTTAGTTAGAATGGCATTAATTTTCGTCATACTTTTGGGCAGTTTCGGAATGGGGTTTTCTTTTGTCAAATCCTCGCTGGAAGTACAATGAGCAAAAATACAACAATTTTCATCCTTCAATTTACATCCTTGCACAAATGTTTTATACCAAAACTCTAGTTCTTTCACGTGATTGATGTTAGAAGGGTTATATACAATTAGGCATGCGGAAACATCTTTCATGATGGCAGGCCAACAATTTTCAAAATTTCGATCGCCCGAAACATCCCACAATTCGACAGAAACTTTTTCCATGGATGGCATCTCTCTCTCGCACTCACAAATTCTCAGTCCCATCGTTGGCCTATATTCATTTGAAAACTCTTTGTATCCGCTTAGAAAATTGCAAATAGCACTTTTCCCACTCTTCTTTGGGCCAACAACCAGAACCTTTATTGATTGCTCAGAGGTCATTATTTTTTTGGAGAATGTTATTTGAACTACAAAAGGCGGGCTTGGTGTTCGATCAAAATGTTGACATTTTTGTTTTGGGATTAGATGAAAATGAAATGTAAGGGGATCTTGTAATGAGAGAACAGCTTCGTCGATTCTTTTCATCATAAAACAAGGATTGAAACCATGAGCACCTAACACGTGTTAGAAAACAAAAAATTAAAAATAAAAATGAGCACATCTTTTTCATCGCCATCGGCTTGCCCGAATTCCACCATCACCACTCGTCTACGAAGGACACCAACATCTCGCAACATCACCACAACCCTACTATTTATTTCCATCTTGATCATTGTATTTTTCATTGTTCAGTCACATCAAAATGTAGTGGAAAAAACGAAAAAAAGCCAAGATTCGGAACAAGTAGAAGAAGAAAGCATCAAGAAGGAACCTAAAGTCATCATATTGAACGCAAATGATGACGAAAATGCTCTCGATGATATACCCGAAGACTTACGAGACCGACTTAAACTGGTTTTGGGTCAAATCAAAAATCAATTTGGGCAATCCAAAGACGATCAGTCTGCAACAACTTCGAAGAGTGCAGCTTCGAATGTTGAGACAAAACCTGCCACAACATCAAAGGCAACATTTGATGAGATTAACTTCAATTTTGTTGCGGAAGATTACAATACTATTAGCTATGATGAAATCACAAAACCACTCGACTATTCTTCATTCTTAGAGCCAAATGAATTAGTACCATATAAAAGAAAACAGGAAGTTAGGATCACCTACCGTAGAAAGCTCATGTCAAAAAGAATTGATGCAGAGAAAAAAAAGAGTGGCCAAGAACCAACAAACAATGAAGAAAGCTTGACCTCCAAATTATTAGAGGCAAAATCAATATTAAATCCCGATCTTGAGAGGTACAACAAAGAAGAAGTAGCAAAAGCAATTCATATTTATGAGAATGTATTAACTGAAGACAAATCTAATGCCGTTGCAATGTATAATTTAGCTACTGTGTATAAGGTATGTTCTAATTATTTTTACTCTAATTATGTGACATTTATTCACTGTTCAAATTCATCAAAAGACCGATAAATTCGGATTTAGAAATTTCACCAAGAGCAAAATGTATTATGTTCTCTCTGCTGCTCTAGGAAATTCAATGGCTCAATTTGAGACAGCCTTGCTCTACAGCAACAATTTAATTACAGAGAAAGATATTTCAAATGTAAAGCAACTTTTGATCGATTTGTATGGACAACCTGCTGAAATGAAGAAAAAGTACAGCATCATTTTCAACAACTTACCACAAAAATTGGATAACACTGAATCAATAGCTCTGTTGTATTTATTTTACAGCTCTTTAGATGGAACCACTGGGGCGAATATTGCGCTCGGTTATAGACATTTATTTGGACATGGTGTTCCAAAGTCATGTAAAACTGCAGCATTCTATTATGTAAAGGCAGCAGAAGATGTTGCAGCTGAATTCGAAGATAGTAAGATGCCATTAATTGATCATGTTCGATTGAATGATGAAATTGCAATTCACAACAAACAGTCTCAAGAAGATATTATGGACTATTACCAATATTCAGCAAGCAAAGGATCGTCCTCTTCAATGCTCGTTGTTGGTTATGCGAACTTGTATGGAATTAGAGGAGTGGAACAAAACGTGGAAGCTGCACGAAGACTTTTCGAGCAAGCAGCTGAGGCTGGAGAATATGAAGCATATGGTGCCTTAGGTAATATGTTTTGGAAAGGAGATGGAGTGATAAGAAATAACGAAACAGCTTACAAATACTTCAAGAAGGGAGCAGATAAAAAAGATCCATCCTCTTTGAATGGACTTGGAAAAATGTATTTGGAGGGAGCTATTGACCAGGAAGGAAATGTCATCATTGAACAAGATTATGAGAAGGCAGCTGGTTATTTTAACAAGAGTGCTGCCCTTGGCAACTCTGAAGCTCACTACAACATTGGTATACTCTTCATGGAAGGAAAGGGAGTCAGAAGATCATACAAGCAAGCTTTTCAACATTTTGCGATTGCAGCACAACATGGACAGGTGCTTGCAAAATACCAACTCGGTAATATGCACCTGTATGGACTGGGAACGAACCCTAATTGTGATGTTGCTGTGAAATTCTACAAATCAGTTGTAGAGAAAGCTTCGTGGACATCCGTTATGGAAACAGCATTTGAAAACTATGTAAATGGAGAAGATCAACATACTGCCCTGTTACTTTATATGCAAGCTGCAGAGTTAGGAATTGAAGTTGGCCAAGCAAATTTGGCTTTCATGTATGATAGAGGATATGGTCTTGAAGAAATTATTAAGGATTTGACTGAGGAAAAGCAAGAATTGTTAAAGTTCAAGGGAGCCATTAAGTGGCACCAACATGCTGCCGAGCAAGGAAATGTGGATGCATATGTTAAAGTGGGAGATTATTACTATTATGGATCTTCGGCATTGACTTCTTCGTCCTCTGCTGAGAATTTGGAACAATCATACGAAAAAAGTCTATACTTTTACAGAAGGGCAAAAGATCTCAACAATGCTCAAGCCATGTTCAACTTGGGATATATGCATGAACATGGAAAGGGTTTGCCACAAGATTTCCATTTGGCAAAACGACACTACGATATGGCTGCAGAAGCTGATCCAGTGGCTTATGTTCCAGTATTGATGGCTCTTGGCAAACTTTATGTGCACTGGGGATTTTCTCTTGCCAAAGATTACATTTCTAATTTATTTACCATTAATGGTCAAGACGACTCATCTCTGGACGATGACGATGATTATCCTGCTTCATTTTCAGAGTTATTCAAGGGTTGGATCGCCAGTTATGAGGACTATCTGTTCGCTCTATTAATTGGAGGATTTTTGTTACTGATATTTGTGAGGTATATTGTCACCATTCAAGCTCAAACTCCCACCAGGAGAGGAGTAAGAACAGCGACACAGGCCAATGATCAGCATCAAGTGGAAGAAGGCGCTGAGGAGCAGCATCACCACCACCACGAATAAAGTTTGCGCCAAAATTTGATTTCTTGCCACTACAAAATAAAGAAAAATGCAACAACAACAACGAGGCTCATACAACAACGAAGACATGTTCGTTGGTCATACATCGCTGACCAATCTGAATATACTTCTTCAAAATATATTTCTTCCGTTTTTATCGGATTCCACCTCACATGATGAAGACACTCAAAAGTACAATGAAACTCTTCAAACAGTACATTCGCTCAACTCTGACTTTATATCTCATCTCAAGAAGTTCAGTGGTCAGGTTGGGCATACTGTAAAGCAACTATCAGGAGAGGTTATCATTGATCTTCCGGATGTTCATCTTGATGATGACCCTAAAACTGCAGCAGAGGATGAGCATGTAAGTAGATGAGAGGATATTTGATTGCTAATTCATTATGTTGTGTTAGATTGTTGCGAAATTGGAGGCTTGTCTCAGCAATTGGACTCAATCAATCAATGCTCTCTTGGAAAAAGTTGTAAATCAAGAGAGAGAAGGAGAGGTAAGTTAGCAGTCAAAGCAACAAAAAATATCAATAATATTCTTCATCAACTATTTTCAGGGTCCTTTGTCGGAAATTGAATACTGGAGGACAAGGCATGCCTCTCTGGGAACGATTTGGGAATCTTTGAACAGTAAAACTGTAAAGAATGCAATTGAAGTTTTGAGAATTTATGATGCTCAGCTATTACCCGGTTTTGATGATCAATTTCAAGAATTGACGAAACTTTATATGGAAGCCAAGGAAAATGTGAAGTTTTTACAAACACTCGAAAGACATTTCAAGAATATTTCTCAAGCAAGAGGATCATTAACACCAATTTCCGATACGCTTCCATCTATGATGAATGCAATTCGAATGGTTTGGGTCATCAGCCGATACTATAATACCGATAAGAGAATGATTCCATTGATGGAACTAATTGCAAAAGAAATTTGCACAAAAGTTGCTCAATATATCAATCTAGAAAGTAGTTTAGATGTAAATAATTTATTTAACAATCCTTTGAAACTAAGTGAAAAACTTCTTGAAGGTGCTGAAGTTCTACAAAAATGGAAGACGGTATGTGATAGTTGGTGTTATTTTTCTCGACTTACAATTTGGTTGGTTCATGGTTTGATAGACCTACTTTCAAGTGAGAGAAAAAATTGAAAATACAAGCAAAGATGAACGTTGGCACTTTGAAAAAGACTCTCTCTTTGAAGAATCAGATTACATGTCTGAAAGATGTTACGAGTTGAAAGAGCTTGCCCTATTTATTGCTAGATATAAGACCTTTTTAGGTCCAGAGCTAAGAAGTAAGTACTCATGTCTCATGCAAGTTTGGCTCTTAATAATTCTTGATAGATATCACTGGTGAAAGTGGCATTGATGAGATTTTAGAGAGACTCAAAGATTTAATTCTACCATTCCAGCAAATATCTCATTTAATTTTTAATAGAGCATATCAATTGAAGTGGATTGAAGTTTTCAAACAATTCAAAGAAAATAGTGAGGAGATTAAAAATCAAACAAATCTATTTATTGACAAGAGTTTCAAGAAGCTTAGATCTGCTGAGGGAGCATTTAGATTGTTGCAAGATGTAAAAAAAATCAATAGTCAGGACAAAGATTCTATCAACCAGAAAATGATGCTCAAATCGATAGATATTCTTGAACGATACGGAGAGGAAGTTGACAATATTTATCAAATATTCACGAATGAAAAGAAGAATCCTCCAAGAACAAAAAACATGCCACCTGTTTCTGGTGCTATTTATTGGTCTCATTCTTTATTTGAGAGAATTAGAAAACCTATTGCCCTGTTTTATGAAGCCCCAGACATGCTAAATACTGATGAAGGAAAGAAAATATCTTCCAAGGCAACCAGTATTGCAAAAGAAATCAAAGAGTTTGAAGAGTCAAAATTTAAAGAATGGAAAGCAACTGTTACCGAAGATACAATCAAGTATCTGAAAGGAAACATCCTTGCTAGGGAAGGAAACAAAATTATTGTAAATTTTCATCCTAAACTTTTGTTATTAATTCAAGAAACGAGATATTTGGACAAGCTGGGAAAGAAAGTTCCTGATATTGCTTTGAATGTTACTCTACAGGAAGAAAAATATCACAAATATATTGAGAACTTGAAAAGTATGATTGATAACTTCATCACTGCTAAAGACTCATTGGACTCTGCAGAAGAAAAAGTGTTGACTCCGCTGATAACTCGGTTGAAAAAGATTCTCGAGCCAGGATTTTCAGTACTAAATTGGAATTCTTTGGGTATTGATGAGTTCATCAAAAGATGTAATTCTGAAATTTCAGATTTCCAGTCTATTGTTCAAAAGATGCAAAGAAATGCATCAGTGATTCGATCGCTCATTCAACAGCTAAAAAGTCCATTTTTGACAAAACCTGAAATTAGAACTGAAGAGACCATGATGTCTCTTGCGGAGCTTGTAGAGACCATAGAAAAATCTGTTGAACAAAAGAGTGCAAGTCTTGCAAAGAAATACAAAACCATTGGACAAACACTCTTAAAAATTGAAGGAGATCTCATTAATAGCAATGTAATTGAAAGTGAGAGCAAGTCTGCTACAGGTAGAGAAAAGATTCTTCAAGGTTATTATACTCACTGGGAAAAGCGTATTTTTAAAGCACTAGTTAAAAATGTGTCTTCCAGCATTGATGAGCTGATGGATCTACTTTATTTGAGCAAGAAGAAAAAGAATCAGCCATTAGTCACAAAACGTCAAATACCCTTGATCAAAGTGAGCGTTTCTCTTTATCACAAGTCCATCACTATTAGTCCTGGCCTAGATGACATTTCAGATATGTTAGACAGAGTTGTAAATTGCTCGGTAAATGCTACCAAACAGTTTGTAAGATGGTATAGCGGAACATGTCACGAAATCACGAATATTGAGGTGAAAACCGAGAAAGATGATCAAATAGATCCACAGGCCATCATTGCGAATCATTTCTCATTCTTTAATGACATTTTGCAAATTCCTGTCATTACAAAAAAGATGCTGTTGTTGAATAATGGTATTCAAAAGACATTAACTTCCATTCAGCGTTATGTAAATAATTATTCTAAATATCAAGAATATTGGAAAACTCCAAAAGAATTGGCAATGGAAAAGTTTGGAAGCAAGGATCCATCTTGGGACAGCTATTACAAAAAATTAGAAGACTATCACAAGTTGCATGAAGATATTCAATCTCACTCAAAACAGGTTAAGGACTTGGATTTCATTAGAATTGACTCCACATCATTTGTGAAATCATTTACTGAGGAGTTGAGAAAATGGATTGAAGCTATGGCAAAGTTATTGAATACAAATATTAAGCCAAAACTACTTGCACTGAATGAAAGAATTGACAAATATAAAGAAGGGCTCGGTCAAGAAATCGTGGAGCTTGACGACTTACGAAAAGTATTGTCAGTGATGGATGAAGCTAGATCAAACTCGGTAGACATTGAAAGAGATTACATGGAGGTTGAAGATATTTATCATACCATGCTATCATATTCGGTAAAGATACCTGCAGATGAACTAGATTTAGTTTATTCATTGAGAATGAAATGGAATGCTCTGTTATCTTCAGCCAAAGAGATGGAACAACAGCTTGTTCCACAGAAAGAGAAATTTACATCAGAAACTCGCAATAGAGTGGAACAATTTAAGATTGAAGTTTCTCAACTTAAAGAAGAATTCGAGAATGGACCAGGTAATCCAAACGTACAGCTTGAAGATGGACTTGCCCAAATGGAAGTATTGAAAGAAAAACTTGAGGAAAAGAGGAAGATAAGAGATTATCTTGTTCAATCAGAAAAGTTATTCGATCTTCCAATAACGCCGTATCCTGATTTTGTTCAATTAGAAAAGAAAATATCAAAGATTGGAAAGATTTTCGATATTTTCGGAGACTGGCAAAAGAAAGTATCGAAATGGTCTCGTACTCTTTGGGTGGAAGCTCCTATTGAAGAAATGACAAAAGAAACTGCAAGATTCTCCCAAATATTGATCAGCAAGAAAGAATTCCCTCAGGAACTTCAGGAATTGCATGCTCATAAAACCTTTAAAAGCAAAGTGAAGCATTTCCAAAAAACCATTGAGCTACTGTCTTGCCTAAAGAGCGAGGCATTGAGAGAAAGACATTGGGAACAATTAATGCAGGCAACAGGTAAAAACTTTGATATTAACCCATCGACATTTACCTTGAAGAATTTGATTGACATGAATCTATATGAATACGAAAATAGTATCAACGAAATCACTGAATCTGCCAACAAAGAACTTGATGTCGAAAATACAATCAAAAAGGTTGCTGAGGTATGGAGAAACAAAAAGTTTGAACTTAAAAAACATGTTAGAGATAATGAAGATAGAGGGTTTGTTCTTACGGCCGTTGACACTATTAAGGAGCAGCTAGAAGAGGACACAGCAAACTTGGCTGCAATCTCGGGAACTCAGCATTCTGTTCCATTTGCTGCAGAGTTGAGCAAGTGGGAAGGAAATTTATCCAAGATTGATGAAGTAACTTCATTATGGATAGATGTCCAAAGAACATGGATGTATCTTGAAATCATCTTTATTGGGTCTGAGGACATCAAAGATCAGCTACCCGAACAGGCTAAAGCATTTAAAAAGATCGATGGTGAATGGGCAAAGATTATGGCTGAAACAGCAAAGAATAGAACTGTCCTTGAAAATTGTTGCCAGGGTGATAACAGATTAGCAATTTTATCTAGTCTACAGGTTAGGCTGAATGAATGCCAAAAGGGATTGAATAACTATCTTCAATCAAAAAGAAACGCCTTTCCTCGATTTTTCTTCATTTCTGATGATGAATTATTAAGCATCTTGGGTAGTTCTGATTTGAATGCTATTCAAAAACACATTGGTAATCTATTCGAAAATGTTGGAAGTTTAATTTTTAAGCCAAATACCAACCTGGTTGTAGGTATGAGATCTAAAGAAGGAGAGGAATTCAATTTTGATAAACCTGTACGAGCAGAAGGGTTTATCGAAAAATGGCTAACTGCAGTCCAAAACGAAATGAGAAAAACACTTAAAATTATCATGAAAAAAGCTGTATACAATTATCCTTCAAGAGATAGAATTGAATGGGTAAAAGAAAATCTTGGAATGATTGGCTTGTGTGGCTGTCAAATTTGGTGGACATGGGAGGTGGAGGACGCTTTTAGAAGAGTCAAGAACGGAGAAAAAATGGCAGTCAAATCGCTTGCAGTTCAACTCACTAAACAATTGAACAATTTGGTTGATGAAGTGAGAACTCCTCTCCAATCTCAGATTAGAAAAAAGATCACAACTATGATTATTATTGATGTGCATGCAAGAGATATCGTCGATAGACTGGTCAGAGACAGTATTCTTGATGAAAGAGAGTTTGACTGGGAAAGTCAGCTTAGATTTTACTGGGACAAATCTGCCAATGACGTCAAAATCAGACAATGTACAGGAGAATTCGTTTATGGTTATGAATACATGGGCCTAAATGGCAGACTTGTTATTACTCCATTGACCGATAGATGTTTCATGACCTTGACTCAAGCTCTTACGTTCAACCTTGGTGGATCCCCATCAGGACCTGCAGGTACTGGTAAAACTGAAAGTGTGAAAGACTTGGCAAAGAGTATGGCACTTATTTGTATTGTATTTAACTGTGGTGAGGGCCTTGATTATAAGGCTATGTATATGAACTTTTGTGGCTTGTGCCAGACAGGAGCATGGGGATGCTTTGATGAATTTAACAGAATTGAGTTACCTGTACTTTCTGTTGTTTCCACTCAAATTAGAGAAATTCAAAGCGCTCTCAAGTCGAAAAAGGAAGAGTTTAGATTCGAGGAAGTTGATATTAAGCTCGATAGTAAGATTGGTATTTTCATTACGATGAATCCTGGTTATGCAGGGCGAGTTGAGCTTCCTGATAATCTTAAAGCTTTATTTAGACCATGTGTGATGGTGGTTCCAGACTTGGAAATTATTTGTGAAATTATGTTATTCTCTGAAGGATTTAATACTGCTAGAGTTTTGGCAAGAAAAATGACCAAACTATATGAATTAGCAAAAGGCCAACTCTCAAAGCAGCATCATTACGACTGGGGCTTACGTCCATTAAAGTCTGTGTTGGTTGTTGCAGGTAGATTGAAGAGAGAAAACCCAGAAAAGAGAGAAGACGAGTTATTGATGAGAGCTTTACACGACATGAACGCTCCCAAGTTCGTTTATGAAGACACGCCACTCTTTGAGGATTTGTTGAATGACCTATTTGTTAACATTGCATATGAAAGAGTTACCTATCCTAAACTCTACAAAGCAGTCGAGGAAAGTCTTGTTGAGAAGGATCTCAAACTTTTGGAAGACGGATCACAAGTTGACAAAGTTATTCAAATTTATGAAACTCTCGAAACTCGTCACTCTGTTATGATTGTTGGAGAGACTCAAGGTGGAAAGACTGTCGCTTTCAATACTCTTTGTAGTGCATTGAAAAAAGCATTCAACTTTACCGTTAAACAGTTGGTTATGAATCCAAAGGCACAAAGTATTGCTGAATTACATGGTGTGTTAGACAAAGACACAAGAGATTGGACATATGGTTTATTATCCTACTACTTTAAAGAGCTCAACCAACCTTCCGAAAAAGCTCATGCTGAACGAAGATACCTTGTGTTTGATGGAGATGTTGATGCTGAGTGGGTAGAAAATATGAACTCTGTTATGGACGATAATAAGGTATTGACATTACCAAACGGCGAAAGAATAAGTTTATTGTATCCATTGTGTTCACTTCTTTTTGAAGTGGGCAACCTGAGAGTAGCTTCTCCAGCAACAGTTAGTCGTTGTGGTATGGTCTATGTGGATCCAAAGAATTTAGGCTTTGAACCTTTTATTTGGACATGGTTGAATCATAAATTGAAGAAAGATCATCCAGAAAAAGTTGAGGTATTACAACGATTGTTTGAAAAATATGAGAAAAGTTGTATTGAATATGTCTTGAAGGGTATTGACTTGGATGGATCTTTCACAGAAAGAATCAAAACCTCTATTGTTATGAATTCAGTTTCATTTGTTTCGCAACATTGTAATATTTTAGATTATATTTTTGCTGATCCTGAACAGAACACTGACGACGAAAGAGAGCTTGAATGTCTTTTCATATTTGCTCTAGTTTGGTCGGTAGGAGCTGTAATTGTTGACTCAGATAGAAAGAGATTTGACGATTTTGTTAAGAAGATTACAAAATGGAAACCGGTAGACAATGGCGAATCACTCACAGATCACTTTGTTGGTGCAGGATGTTGTCCATCCAGATTAACCTTGTATGAATACTTCTTTGATGTCAAGAGTCACCAATGGAAGCCATGGAAATTGATTGTTCCAGTATATCAACCACCAATTAATGGACGTTTTTCAAGTATTATCGTTCCTACCATTGATACTGTTCGCTACACTAGTTTCCTTCAAACATTTGTTACATTGGGCAAGCCAGTGTTGTTTGTTGGCTCATCAGGAACTGCAAAGACTGTCATGATCAAGAACTTTGTGAAAGACGTTACAGAAAAGAATGAAAAGCTTACCAGCCTCTCAATCAACTTCTCAAGCAGAACTTCCAGCTTAGATTTACAAAGAACAATTGAAGACAACATTGAGAAGCGTGTTGGAGATAATTACGGACCTTTACAACAAAAGAAGATGATCGTTGTTATTGATGATATGAATATGCCAAACTTTGACAAGTACGGTACCCAACAACCAATCGCCTTATTGAAATTGATGTTAGAAAAACATGGTTTCTATGAACGCAAAACGCAAAATCTAGCGTTTATGAAATTACTAGATATGCAATATGTTGCAGCTATGCAACCTACATTTGGTACTAATGCCATTGATCCTAGAATCCTTTCGAAGTTCAACATTCTTAATGTTTCATTTCCATCTGATTACTCTATTGAACATATTTATAACTCTATTTTGTCTCATCATCTCAGTAACTTTAATCCAGAAATTCAAAACATTGGTCCAAAGATTACTGCTTGCACCATCAAACTCTACAAGAACTTAGTTTCAAGTCTTCCTCCTACTCCTGCGAAGTTCCACTATTTATTTAACTTGCGAGACTTGAGTAGAATTTATGAAGGATTGTGCTTATCCACAATTGACAAACAAAATGATATCGCAAAATTTGTTAGGTTATGGAGAAATGAGTGTTTGAGAGTTTTCCACGATAGATTAATTTCAGCTGCCGACAAAAATCTTACTATTTCGGCAATTGAAGATGAAGTGAAAACATCATTTGGATCTGTTGCGGAATCAGTGCTGAAGAACCCAATTGTATTTGGAGACTTCCTGGACTTCCAGGACCCAAACAATGCAAGACTGTATGAAGATCTTGTCGACTATGACAAGATAAAACCTGTGATTGAAGATGCAATTAATATTTACAATGAACGACCTGGTGTTAAAAAGCTTGATCTTGTAATGTTTGAAGATGCTCTCGAACACTTGACAAGACTATTAAGAATTGTTAGAATGGACAGAGGAAACGCCTTGCTTATTGGTGTAGGAGGGTCTGGAAAGCAGAGTTTAAGTCGACTTGCATCGTTCGTAGCTGGTTATGAGCTGTTTGAAATTAAATTGACAAGAGGATACAACGAAACACAGTTTAGGGATGACTTGAAGACGCTTTACAAAAAGCTAGGTGTAGAGGACAAAAAGGTTTTGTTCCTTTTTACGGATGCTCACGTTGTAGAAGAAGGATTCCTCGAATTTATCAATAATATGTTATCATCTGGTGTTGTTCCTGCCCTATTCGAAGACAATGAAAAAGAAGAACTATATTCAAGCGTTGCCAAGGAGATCAAATCTACCAATATCATTCCAAGCAAAGAAAATATGTGGAATTACTTTATTAACAAGTGTAGAAATAATTTACATATTGTACTTGCGATGACACCTACCGGAAGTACTTTGAGAGTACGTTGTCGAAATTTCCCTAGTTTAGTTAGCAGTACTACCATTGATTGGTTTACCTCTTGGCCTGCACAAGCCTTAAAAGAGGTCGCCAATCAGTTTTTGTCAGACGACTCTGTTCCACAAGATTTATTAGATGGCATTAATGAACATATGATATTTGTCCATCAAAGCGTAGAAAGATATAGTTCCAGATTTGCCCTCGAATATAGAAGATACAATTATGTCACACCAAAGAATTACTTGGACTATATTAATACGTATAAACGTCTTCTGGCTGAAAATAGGAACAAAATTGACGAAATGATTAAAAGATTGGAAGGAGGTCTAAAGAAACTGAGAGAAGGCAAAGACGAGGTGGAAGAAAGAAAGAAAGAGCTTTCTGAGGCCTCTGCAATTTTAGAGAAAAAATCTATAGAAAATCAACAGTTACTTCAAGTGATTTCGGAGAGATTGGCAGAAGCGTCTGAGCAAAGTAAGCTGCAACAGGAACGTGAAGAAGAAATCAAGAAGGAGTTGGAAAATATTCAAAAGCAGAAGATCGAAGAAGAAGAAAAGCTTGCAGTTGCAGAACCTGCAGTTAGAGCAGCAGAAGAATCCTTAAAGAAGCTTGACAGAAATGCGATTACAGAACTTAAGGCATTTGCAAGCCCTGCACAAGTCATTCAAGATGTTGGTGCTTGTATTTATATTCTACTCGAAGATGAAACTCCTTCTCAAATTACATGGGTGAACGTAAAGTCCATCATGACTGAAGCGTTCTTCAATAGACTTGTTACATATGACAAAGGAAGACTTACTTCTAACAAGATCAATCGTATCGAACAAATATACAAAAAGAATGGCGATTCAATGAAACCAGAGGAAATTGGTAAAGTTTCAAGTACTCTTGCAGAAATTGTCAAGTGGGTCAATTCCATGCGAGAATATTATCAAGCTATGAAAGTGGTTAAACCTATTAGAAAGAAAAAGGAAGAAGCTGAAAAGAAGTTGGCATCCTTTACCGAGCAACTTGCTTCAATCAAGTCTAAATTGGAACAACTCAAGCAAGACATTGCAGAATACAAGGTTAAATACCAGAATGGTCAAGAAGAAGAGAAGAATTTAATGGAGAAGAAGCAAAACATGGAAGCTAAACTCATTGCAGCCAATAAGCTTATTGAAGGACTTGGTTCTGAAAGAGAAAGATGGGCTCAGCAAATTCATGAATTATCTGAAAAGAAGAACAGACTCATTGGTGATTGCTTGATATGTTCTGCCTTTTTGAGCTACACTGGTGCCTTCACAGTCGATTTTAGGAAAGAAATGATGCAAGAATGGCTAAATGAAGTCAAAGAAACAAACATTCCCATCACTTTCCCATTTGACATTGAGGACATCTTAACAGACGACGTGCAAAAGAGTCAATGGGCTTATGAAGGTTTACCTTCCGACAAAATTTCAACACAAAATGGTATCTTAACCACCCATGCATCTCGTTTTCCAATTTGTATTGATCCCCAATTACAAGCTGTTAAATGGATCAAGAACAAAGAAAAGAATATCAAGATTTGTTCATTTAGCGACTCCGATTTCATGAGAAAGATTGAAAATGCTATGAAATATGGTGAAACCATTCTATTTGAGAATGTGGATGAAGAAATTGATCCAATGATCGATCCTGTGCTCGATATGGAGATTCGAGGAAAGAAGAGAATTGTGAGAATTGGAAGCGATGAAATTGATGTAGATCCAAAATTCAAACTTTATATGTGTACTAGACTATCTAATCCTCACTACACTCCAGAAATTGCTAGCAAGACCACCATTATTAATTACAGTGTCACAGAAGAAGGTCTTGAAGAACAATTACTGAATATTGTTGTGAATCATGAAAGACCAGAATTAGAAGAAGCAAGAAGGGACTTGGTACAAACAATGAGTGAAAGCAAGGCTCTATTGCAACAATTAGAGGCTAAGATATTGAAAGAACTTAACTCTTCGAGTGATGGTACTTTGATTGATAATGTGGAGTTGATCAAAACATTAGAAGAAACTAGAAACAAAGTCCGTGAAATTAATACTAAGATTATTCAAACGAAACAAAACGAGAAGGATAACTTCAAAGCCAGACAAGGTTATAGGCCAGCAGCTAAGAGAGGAACCATTCTCTACTTTGTTCTTTCAAGTCTGTCGAACATCAACTCCATGTATGAATATTCATTGTCTTCATTCTCGCAAGATGTGTTTGAAACATCGCTCTCAAGAAGTCAACCTTCAAGAATGTTAGAAGGAAGATTGGACAATATTATTGACTATTTGACCAAGTCTGCCTATAGTTATACCTGTGCTGGCTTATTTGGTGTTCACAAGCTATCTTTCTCTTTACAGATTGTACTCAAGATTATGCAGAGTGAAGAAAGACTTGATCCTCTCGAATTTAACTTTTTCCTTAAAGGAGATATCTCTATGGGTCTTGAGAAACCAAATCCTTTCCCTGAATGGATTGCCGAGGGAGGATGGAAAGATTTACTTAAACTTTCAAAGATTTCTGAATCGCTGCAAGGACTGGCGGATGATGTTGTCAATAATCCAAAATGGAAGGAATGGTATGATGCTCCTGAACCTGAAAAACTGCCACTTCCATCAGAAAAGTTCCAATCGGCAAGCTCTTTCCAAAGAATGTGTATTCTTCGTTGCCTAAGGCCTGACAGAATTGTTGTTGCTGCAACAAGCTTTATTGCAGAGGAGATGAAGAGTGAATACTTTGTTAAACCTCCAGTTCTGACATTTGACAATATTTTCAACCAAAGTTCGAAGCTTTCACCAATTGTTTGTATGATCAGTCCTGGATATGATCCTGCAAATGACATTATTAAGCTCTCCAATGAGTTAGACAAGCGTGTCAAGTACATTTCTTTGGGTGAGGGTCAAGGTGAAAAGGCCTTAGCTCTATTAGAGAAGGGTATTTCTAAAGGAATGTGGGTGCTTTTACAAAATTGTCACCTATTAGTTGATTGGATGAAAAATGTGGAGCACGTTCTTGAGAAACTCGATAAGGACAAAGTACATGACGAGTTTAGACTTTGGCTCACCACTGAAGTTACTCCAAAATTCCCAATTGGTATTCTTCAAAGATCTCTCAAAGTGGTGACGGAACCTCCGAATTCATTGCAACTTAACATGAAATCAACATTCTCTAACATTTCCAATGCTGAGCTAGATGAATGCACACACAAGGCATTCAGACCATTGGTCTATGTCCTTTCCTATTTCCATGCTGTAATTCAAGAACGAAGAAAATACGGAAAGATTGGTTGGAATATTCCTTACGACTTTAACAAGTCTGACTTTGATGTCAGTTTTAGTCTTATCAAAACTTATCTCAATAAGGCAGCCATGTACAATGATCCTATTCCATGGGATAGCTTAAAATACCTTGTTGGTGAAGCCATGTACGGAGGAAGAGTTACAGATAAATTCGACAGAAGAATTCTTACAACCTATCTCAATGAGTACATGGGAGACTTTTTATTTGATGCTTTCCAACCATTTAGATTCTACAGTGATGATGAAATTACTTATGAATTGCCACCTATGGAAAGAGAAAAGACGATAGGAAAACAGAATGTGATTGTACCACTTGGAGTTGAGGACTTTATGGAATTTATTGAAAAGAATATCAAGTTGACCAACTCTCCATGTGTATTTGGATTGCACCAAAATGCAGAAATTGGATATCTCACTAATTCTACGAGTAATTTGTGGTCTGATCTGATTTCACTTCAAGTGGGCGCTCATAGTGGTGGATCTAAGAGTGAAGGAGAAGAATATATCAAATCAGCTTTAAGTATAATTCCTGAGCCATTCGATCGAGAAGAAGTTCAAGCAAAGATACTTCAAAAGTCATCCAAGCTCACACCAATTCATGTTGTTCTCTTACAAGAAATTGATCGCTGGAACACTCTCGTTGGAGTCATGAAAAGATCATTAATTGATTTACAAAAAGCTTTGGCTGGAGAAATTGGTATGAGTGAAGAATTGGAACATTTGAACAATGCCATTAACATTGGTGTTGTACCCAAGTTGTGGAAAGATTATGCTCCTCAAACCAAACTCAATCTATCCTCTTGGTTAGAATATTTCAAAGAAAGACATAAGCAATATGTGGAATGGATTCGAACAGGTGAAGATCCAATTGTTATTTGGTTGAGTGGTTTGCATGAACCAGTGTCATACATTACCGCACTTGTTCAAATGACATGTAAAAAGTACAAGTGGCCTCTCGACAGAACCACTGTCACAACACGAGTGACTGAATTCTCCCATTACATAGACATTAAGACCAAGCCAGTAGATGGATGCTATGTGAGAGGATTATTCCTTGAGGGAGCTGCGTGGGATCCAAAAGCTCATTGCTTGAGAACTCAAAAGCCAAAACAACTCAGAGAAGAGTTGCCAGTACTTGAAATTATTCCAACAGAAAATTCCAAGGTTAAAGTACAAAATACTTTCCACGCTCCAGTTTATTATACCTCTGATCGAAATGATGCAGGAAATAAGGGCCTCGTATTCGAAGCAAATTTACAAACAGAAGAGCATGAAAGCATTTGGTCATTGCAAGGTGTTTGTATCACTTTAACTTAAATAACATTAAATTATTGTTTTGTTTCAACAAATCGATGGAATTTGAATCTGTGTAATAGTTCCATTAAGGCTAGAAGTTGTTTCGCTCAAGTCCATTCAAGTAGAGTTCTTGAACTTTAGAAAAAGGACGCAAAAGTTAGTGTTAGTGTTTATTCACAATACATTTGTTTGCATTGTTGTTCCTTTTAAGAAGAAGCGCCAAATGCTTCAACGCAGAATCCTTGACACTCAAACCTCTGTACAAGGGTCTAATTTTTGCAAGCTCCAACACAGAGTTTGACAGCACAGAAGCAACCGACTCTTCCAAATATTCAACCACTCCTAAATTAGGCCACTCTCGTTGTCGAACGGGCAATTTATCAGGGAGTGGAAGATTCAAATATTTCCAAGGAGTTTGCATAAATTTAATTCTTCCCTCACTCGAATAAGTCCTAAAGAGCTTTCCCTTATATTCAATCGAGTGGACACTCTTTCCCCACATGATAATTCCAATACTCAACAAAATTGGGCAAAATCCCTTATATTCAAATTTGTAAGCAATTTCATCATCGTATTCTTCTTCACGAAGGGCGTCCACTCCCTTAAGGACCAAATCATTGACTTCTCTTGGAAGATCAGAGGGAAAGTTTTCTTCATGTTTGGTGTACTTTTCTGGATTGGAAAGGAACTTTTCCAACGCTGCACCATCATTCATACAATAAATTCTTTGAGAGTAGAGACATCGATAAACATGTGATCGATCAGCAATTGTGTCACAAAGAATACCTTCTTCCACAAATTTCACAGGACAATGGGTTTTAAATTTTGATAAATGTTCTGTGAAGAAGGAATTGCAAAGTCCCACATCATGAATAGGCGCTGCAAGTTCCATACTTGTTTTCAATTGGAATAAATATTGTTTTGAGAGAGTACTTGTCACAGCTCTCTGAATATTAGACACAAGTAACCATTCAGGTAACATTGGAAGACGACATGTGGTAAATGGTCGTTCAATTTCGAATAGAGTTTCAATTTGTCGTTCTTCTTGAGTGAACATCTCCCTATTGCAGTTCGAACACAGTTTGAATCTTTGTACTTCATTCAAATAGGTCAATACTTACTTGTCATTATGTAAAAAAAAGACCTTGTCAATAACTTCGCCCCTGAGTGATAATTCTTTCACGTCTTCGAATGAAAGATAAATGCCATCCATGACATAACCTTTCACTTGACAATCAAAATGTTGGACTCTCAATTTTAACAACTCTACAAGATCTTCCAATTCTTCTTTCGATCGAACCTCTCCTTCAATGGATCTTAATCGGTGACCCAACATGGTATCGTACTGCTTGAAAGTATTTACAATTTCGTTCATATTAATATATACACAACCAAGATTTTCTGCAACCTTCTTTGCAACACTTTGGCGTTTCTCTTGATCCGTTCCGAGGATTAAAATCTTGGGTCGGAACGTATGGTCATCCACAGATTGTTCCATGTAGAATTTTCTGTTTTTCAAAAACATGTCTCGAGATTTTTCAGTTCGGAAGAAGAAGACCCTATTGTTGACAACCACTGGGAATGAAAGTTCTGGTTTTGGAGGCTCAGGTTGTTTTTTCTTACTTTCCTCTTCTCCATTCTCTTGCTCTTCTTGAGTAACATCCTCACCTCGGTTGTCTTCATTTTCTTCTTTCTCTGTTGGTTGTTCTTCATTTTCCTCCATCTCGTCTTGATTGTTGTTTGTTGGCTCCTGTGGTCTGGTTGTCACTTGAGGTGACTCTTCTGGAATTTTTACAATATAGTCATCTTCTGCATGACGTAAAGTGAGAAAATGTTGTTGAATCTTTGGAAATTCTTCACTTTGAATAATTCTTTCTACCTTGTCAAAATAAGAGAATCCTAACTTCTTTTTACCCTCATTAATCAAATTAATTGCAATTTCATGAGTGCATGGTGCTACAAAATCAAACAAAGGTTTTCTATCCATAAATAATTTGATAAAATCTTCAAGAGTCTTTTGGAACAATCTCTCTGGTTTTGTAGAGTCTATATCGCGGACGACAAATCGTTTTCCTTGATATCTAGAAATAATTTCTTCAATCTTTTCTACGGAATCTGTGTATGATTTTTGTACCTCTTCCATAATTTCCTCCTTTGTTTTAACTACCTCTTCCTCCGCTTGATTCAAATGTTCTTCTTCTTCCTCGTTTTCTGTCTCTTGTTTCTTCTTTTTTAATCTTCTTTCGATTTTATCCTTTTCGGCCTCTTTTCTCTTTTTAACTTTTCGTTCTAAAACCATTTTCTTATACTCAGAATTGTGTTGTTCAAATCTACTTTTGACAAGATTTTCCTCAGATACTTTAAAATTCAACAACACCGTTGGATAAATTCCAATTTCATCCAGAATGCCAAGTAATTGTTCTATATTCTCTCCAAATGGAATAGAAGTGAGAATATAACCATGGCTGTACTTTTCTTCTTGGAGGATAAGCTTGAAAATATGGCACATTCTTCTCATCTTTTTTTCTTGCTTGGCTGCTTCGTCCTCTGCAACTTCTTGATTGTCGTCTTCATCCTCTTCTTCTGGTTTTTCTTGTTTTGCGGGCTCCATTGGTTTCTCCAATTCTTCAATGTACTTCTTTACTGACTCGTATCTTGACCCTTCATTTTCAATAAAGGATTCTTCAAGCTTGATCACTGATAATTTGGTCATCTTGGAGAGTCTTTCTCCAAAGGCATTCTGATCACCAGCACTAAGGATCCAAATATTGATGGATGAGAGGTTAAGGTCTTGTGTGTAATGATGAGGTCGAAGAATGAAACGATCAACGCATTCCTGATTGTCAAACAAGTAATGCTTGTTCCTGTAACTCACACACAATGATGGATCTCCCTTGATCAATAACTTCTTCTCTTTCAAGGTGACAGGACAAAATAGACCAGAATAACCAAGCACTCTTTGTCGTAGCTCAGGAACAAATTTTAGCTCATCGTCTGCGCCCTCATTTTCTTCCTCGACTGCAGATCCTTGAGTGACCGATTCTTCTCTTTCAAATATCAAGTCTTCTTTTGGAATTTCAATTCCAGAGACAATAGACGCTTCAGAATAGAATGGATCAATTTGTTTTCTAATGTTAAATACTCCTTCCCATGTGCTGGTCAAAGAAACTTCTACAACCTTAATCTTTTTAGTTGCAAGTTGCTCTTCCTTGTCTTTGACGTACTTGACAAAATCAGCAACTTCTTGTGGATGTGATTTTTCAGCCTCTTCGTCCTCTTTTTCTGCTTGGCTTTCCGGAGCCTCAGCTTTTATCACAACTATACAAGTGGCTATCGATGCGCATGGGCTCTCAACGAGTTGTTTCAAATGATCGAAATGGTTAGAGGATGAACCTGCATTCACAAAAATACTTTTGGCAATATCTTCTGAATACTCTATAGAAGCAGGCTCAACATTCTCTTCATTCTCAGCTCCATTTGTGGTAGATTCTGGCTTTTTGGGCTCCTTTGGAAGTTGGGGTAACGTTTTAACATAATTTGTATAGATCTCTAACCCCGAGCATTCTACATCATAATTCTTCACCACTATTTTGGAGTTAGAAAGACAAACTGCAAAGAACAACAAACCTTCTTCATATATCTCTTTTCCTTCTTCCCCATTCCAAACAAATATTACCCTCTGTTTCTTTTGAGGCTTTCTCCTCAAATAATAAGACGGATTCGTCATAAATTCCTTTTGGTACTCTTTAGTTGACAATAAATAAATTCTACCTCTGAAAAGAACTGGATATGTACCCTCCACTATTGCTCTGTCAACTTGGAACCTAACAGGGCAGTACTTTTTCCAGCTGCTCCATTTGTATCCTTTCTCCAACGCTGCAGAGAGTTGTGCATGAGGGTCCTCCTCTTCTTCTGGATTGTCACTCGGCAACGATGCGCTTTTTGCAAGGATATTGGGAGAGGCTCGAACAATTCTCTGCAAAATGTTGAAAAATACATCATTTAAACTTTGGGATGAAGTATTCGAAGAAATAAACTTTGAATGAGTTTTAGCATTTTGAATAATCTCTTCCAATTCTTCTGGGTCAGAACAAACATCGTCCGAAATTTTTCTTTTCAAATAAAAGCTGTTCATCGTTGGTTATAGATGCTAATGATTCTAATGTGACACTTACTATTCGAGTCTCTCCATGAATTTTGTTTGTCTTTCTAGGGCTTTCTTTTTTTCTCGTTCCAATTTGGTTTCTTCGTCTTCAACAGGTTGTTCTTCCTCCTCTTCGTTTGGAGGCTCTTCACCCTCTGTTTCTTCCTCATTCTCTTTTGAGTCACCGTCTTCATTGTTTTCGTCTTTCTCTTGATTTTCTTTCATGTTGTTTAATTTTTGTGTTTCTAACAAACGTTTTTTTTCTTCTTTCAATTCTTGTTTTCTTCTCTCCTCTTCCATCTCGTTTCTCTCTTTTTCATCCTCTTCTTCAATTGTCTTTTCGAGCTCATCAATTCTTTTGGAAATTCTAGATATCATTTCTTGTTTTCGTGAGGCCTTTTCCTTTGAATCAAGTTCTAAATTAAGGACATATTTCGGTGGATATTCTTCAAGAGACTTTGAGAGTTCAGTTCTAACATCGTGACCAAGAATGCTTCCCCACTCAAGCGTATAGCCACGTTCAATAACAGAATCTGACATCAACCACTTTTTCAACATGTCCGTTATCACCGAGTTTGGGATGCTTCGATCCTCCCTTAAATGCTTTTCGATCTTTAAAGGAGAGATGAACATATTTAAGGTGTCACAATACTCAACTTACAGTCAATCCCATTTCGCTCTTTGCCATAAATTCCTCTTTGGCCATTTCTTGTAAATCTAATCTGACACAATTGAAATGTTGTGAAATTTTCTTTGCGATATTACCCTTTCCGCTGACTGCTCACAAAGAAATTAAAATTATAATCATCAACAAACAAAATAAATTGTACGTACATGACTCCCCCAATATTAGAAAACTCTTTGGTTTTTTGTTTACGTCTAGTATCATTTCGTCCTCACTGTCATAGCATAATTCTGGAAATGAAGACATCGTGTCGTCTCCTTCACGGAATGACAACTTGAGCAAACGTTCAAAATATTTGTCCATTGTTTTAATATGTTGTTGTTGGAAGGATGTGGGTTTACCTTTGATATTTAAAAGAATTTCGAGATCTAGAGAAGAATTAAAAGATATTAACGGATGAATTTCATCAATTTGTTTCAATTCCAACAAATCCGGTGATGATTGGAACATCTCCGTAAGGTTTTCATGGTTTTCGTCATTCTCATTTAGCTCCTCCACTTGTTGTTCAATATTTGTATGCTTCAAAATATACACAAGATCTGCATCAGAAATCTCTTCGGAATGAATTTTACCATCATTTAACAACTTTCGAATCAATTTTTCTCTGTATTTTGAACGGGCACATGTCTCACCATTTTTTACAACAGACAGACAAACATCTCGAAGAAAGTTGGCCCAAACAGCCTTATTCCATACAAGCGTGCAGAAGAAGGCCAATCTCTCGCAAAATCCAAAAAAGCTGTCATACAAAATTTTCGCCGAGTGTTTAGTAATTCTTAAAGTGATGGCTTGAATTATTATTTGAAACATGTGATGATTGTTGCTGCTGAACGAATGAATGATTCTTGTTGTCAACTCGTTCAACTCTTCCTGAGAGATGTGCTCAACAGCAATGCTTCTCTTCTTGGCTACTCTCCAAAGCTGCATGATCATGGAATTGTATGAAAAAGATAGACTCTAAATTGATACGTACTGTTCCGATGATTAGATCAAGCTTCCTCTCTACCTTTTGATACTCCCATTCAAACATGGGATTAGTAGTGGTCGGAGGTGTATTTTCTGTCATTTTTTTACGATTTGGGCGCCAACTCGTCACGAGAGAGGTTGCAATTATCGACCTACCCAAAAACAAAACATAAGCTCTCAATAATAAGAGAGAGTGTCATCTCTTCATTGTACATGAAGGTATATTTAAAAATGTATTGAATGATGTGACATCAAAATTAATCCTTCTTGAGTTCCAAGATTTCGGTCTTGATTCCATCTTTCGTAATAATCATAATTTCGACAGAGTCACCAGTATAAATATCACGTTCTCCTGCACTTGTAAAAGCATCCTTAACGATACTTAAACTTTGTTCGAGAGAAAGTTTTTTGTCAGGAACCAAAAGATGATTCTTAAAAGCGACTTGATTGTCAAGAAGTGGTTGAATTAGAGTTTGACCAGAACCTTGACTTCCCACCTCTACAGCTTGATAAGATCCAATTGCATCATATCCATACACAACACCCTTTCCTTCATTATCCAATCCGGCAACTAAATTAAATGTGTAATATGGGAAGAATCGACGATTGTATAACATGTTAGAGAGCATTTGAGCTACAGCTACGGCACTCATAGGCTTTCCGTGTTGATGTTCGTATTCTACAAGTCTCATCTTTAACACTTTGTGGAGCGTGGCTGCATCAGATTGCATACCAGCTGAAGCAATCACACACCGATCTGTTAATTTGCATAATTTTGTGGATTTACGTGTTTGAATGGAATAACCCAAACTCATTCTGGTATCAGCTGCTACAATTACATAATCTTCACCCGGAATTGCCAATGTTGTACTGATTATATGTTTATAACAATTGTTCAGATTTTGATATTCCGTGTATTTTCAATAGATATGATAGTTTTCATATCAAAACAATAAGACAATGATATCGTAAATATCCGAAATAATAGAATCAAAGCATGGTAAGCCAACCAACTCCAAGTTACTCCATCAATAAAAACAACAACATACCCTCCATTGTCCTCATAAGGAGAGAACTTGGGTCTTTCAAAGGTGTTGGCATGAAACATTTTTTTTAATAATTGATATTGTCTTTCCAATCTAATAATAGATAAATTTTGCGATCGCAAACGTTCTAAGGGCATTAATGATGGGTACCATCTCGGTTTTTTCAAAAAGAGAAATTGAAATAGAATCAAATTGTCATTCAGGGATGAGAGGGCAATTGCAATCCAATTATTGATTTGTTCATTTTCTTGTGTTGTTCTTCAATGAGTGTGTTGTCATTAAAAATATCTGATTTTTTGAATCATTTGATCGCTCTGTACCAACTCGAAGCAAACACCATTTTCAAAATTTATTTTGTTTCAAAAGACCTTTTTGAAGAAGAGAGAATTTTTGAATGCTTCTGCAACTTGTATTCAGCATCTTTCATTCACCAAAAAAATGCAACAAGATCAATCTTCTTCATCCTCTTCATTCAATGGAACCAACACCACCACAACAACAAATACGACTACAACGACTACGGATATCGGTCAGGGAGCTGTACTCATCAAGACCAATCCTTATGAATGTGGTCTATTGAAAACTGAAGTCCGAGGATACGATTTCAATAATGATTTGAAAGACCCATCCAAACCACTCAATTATGATGCTCTTTTTGAATCGTTTTTTACCACTGGATTTCAGGCTCATAATTTCGGACAAGCAGTAAATATCGTGAATGATATGTTGCGTTGGAGATTGAGTGATGAACCCATGACTCAGGATGAACAGGAACCCTATGATGATCCGAAAGTGAGAGCTCAAACAAAATGTCGAATTTTCCTCGGATATACCTCCAATATGGTTTCAAGTGGTGTTAGAGAAGTGATTAGATTCCTTGTACAACACAAATTGGTAGATTGTATTGTTACTACATGTGGTGCGATTGAGGAAGATATCATGAAATGCATGAAACCAACTTATTTGGGAGCCTTTGATTTGGATGGTAAACATTTGAGATTGAATGGTATCAATAGAATTGGAAACTTGTTAATTCCAAATCTGAATTATTGTGAGTTTGAAGATTGGATTACTCCAATTTTGGATGAAATGCTGAAAGAACAAAAGGCTGGTACATTGTGGTCTCCTTCTTTGATGATTGACAGATTCGGAAAAGAGATTAATAATGAAGAATCAATTCTCTATTGGGCTCACAAGAACGAAATTCCAATTTTCTGTCCAGCCCTTACTGATGGTTCCATTGGCGATATGCTCTATTTCCATTCATACACTGACAAGGATGGTAATGGACTTGTTTGTGACATTGTCAGTGATATTAGACGATTGAATGGTCTTGCAGTGAGATCCAAAAAGACTGGTATGATCATTCTTGGAGGAGGTGTCATCAAGCACCACATTTGCAATGCCAATTTGATGAGAAACGGTGCTGACTTTACTGTTTACATCAACACTGGTCAAGAATTCGACGGAAGCGATGCTGGAGCAAGATGTGACGAAGCTGTTAGTTGGGGAAAGATTCGACTAGGATCCAAGCACACTAAAATCTATGGAGAGGCTTCTATTATTTTCCCATTGCTTGTTGCTCAGACCTTCGTCAAGTATCAACGAGAGCAACAACAAAAAGAGAAACAATAAGTGTGCAACTCCTTCTTCTTGTATTTATTGACAAATTTACGAGCCGATAAATTACAATTTTGTTGTTTGAAATTTTTTCAATGAGCTCTAATTAGTTCATGACTTTTTTTCAGCAGTCATGATTCCTCGATAGGAACAAATACGACCAAGCAATGGATTTGAAATGTTCACTTCAACGTGCCAGGACCTCGAATTCACACAAACAGATTTTCCAGAAGGATCCAATGCAAACATTTTTGGTACAGGAATATTGAACATCCACATTTTCCGAAAAGCATGTTCAAATCCAATCACTTGTTCACTACTTGTGTCGTGATGTTCTTCTTCCAGTCTTCCATAAATTGGTATCAACTCAAATCCAAATGAAAAAGGTACAAAACTCTCCACCACATAGGAATGATCTTTTTTACTAGTACCATCATCATCACAACCTCTCTGAATGTCCCATTTTGAATTCATTTCTTGTCCATCAAAGGTTCTCTTCCACATTCCACCGTGTTCCTCATCATCGACAGTCACCATGACGAGTGCTCCTTTTAAATTCTCTTTTGGCAAGCCTCCAATTGTGGCCAATATCCGAGTGAACCAATTCGAGCCACGAGTTACAATTAAATGACCTCTTGCAATTAATGGTGTTGAGTCGACTCGTTGACCTGTGTGAAATTTCATGAAATATTCTGGAAGAGATTGTACATTTTCTTTTCCTAATCCAAATTCAAAAACTTTCAATAAATGATGAGTGGTTGTTTCTTGAGAGAGTGGTGCTGTGGTTGTTGTGGTTGTTGAATCCGAGTGGTAGAATCGTTGCTGTTGTTGTTGAAAATGCTCATTCGAACCAAAAGTGTCGTAGTGCTGATCATCACTAAAGCACGTTGTTTCGATGGTAGGAATGATGGTCGGAGATGATGGTGAAGGCAATGTCCAGAATCTCTTCATCCTCCATTGAACTTCATGTGGTTTACCCATCGACAAATAGCGAGCAATGGAGAGTCTCCCTCGTCTCAGCATTTTTTCTTATTTGGGAGATCTCCATGTTGATCTTTGTATTGATCGTGAGTGTAAACATAAAATGATTGAATCAAAGATTTTTCACAACATTAGATATTGGCTCTCTTTTCCTTTTGTTAAAAAAACGACAAAAAAATTCACCCCTTCCAAAAGAAGACCAATCACACACAGCACTTGTGTGGTCAGAAGAGAGGGCCTTAGAGATTCGGGTTCTCTCTGCCAGTACCAGCACCAGTACCAGTACCAGCACCACCACTCTCATCATCAGGACTTTGCCTCTTCTTCTTTCTAACAAAACTTTCTACATCGATCACACGAGCGTTGAGAACATGAAGAACGTTCCTTTAAAAAACGACAGAAATCATCACTCACTACTACTACTACTACAACGACTGTGCACAGTCAACATGAGCACCCTCATCTCCAATTTTATTGCACTTCAACACACATCACGAGTCAATGACTCTGTCAAGCACAGAAGAAGGTATGTGTTCTCTCTTGAAGTGTTGAAGGGTAATAAAATTGGAGATGAAGGTGCGACTTTGGAATACAAAATTGAATGGATGGTGAAAGACACTCACAGTGACAGCAGTGGCCCAATGAAGAACAACACAATGTAAGAAACAATGTCTTTATAAATATTGGTGAGTACATTTGCAATGTTAAATTGTGGATGAAAAATGTATAAAGAAATGGAGAAAGGAGATCGAACGAGAGAGAAGAGGCACTACTTCATGAATGGATGCATTGTTGCTGCTTTTCGGAAAATTTCCAAATGGTGGACAAGTGAATGATGGGCATGAGGCGTCTTAATGATGTTCTTCATCACACATAATGGTATTTCACAGCTGCAGCATTAACGCAGCATTAACATTCCCTTCATGTATTCGTGTGTGTGAAAAGACGTGAATAAACAACAAGCAAATCATCAAAATTCGCAAAGTAAGTGAAAAATAGAGTGATGTGTATCCCATTCTCGAACCGAAAAGACACTGTCCAGACATTCAGGGATACGGAAAAAGTGGTAAGGTAGAGTCCATGCACTACCTTTAGTGGGCTTCAAAATCAATGACTGCTCTTATAAAGCTATAGAGATAGAATCCGAAAAGGATTACATAATAGACAATATGAGCAATGGATTCCTTCTTTCTCTTTCCAATTTCTCGATATAAATCTGTTGGGTCCAATTCATAGCTCTTATCCAAGTAACATTTCAAGTGATAGATGAGAATTGGTGCATTGAGAATGAGTGCCACATAGGTCGAATTGAAGAAAATCGAAAGGACAAGGAAGAGAACGAGATGAGAAATGTACTCAATCTTAATCATGATATTGACATTCTTGCAGAGAGCCATACTACTAATTTGATTTTGCTCATATTCCAAGAAGGTAATTAACTGTTAATTGTTGTCAAGTTCAAAAAGATGATGTGTGTCATGATGTGTTGATGATGATGCCGATGATAGTCATTCACCAAAATTTTAATGGTTATATGGAAAATGGCAAGAAAATCATTTGGATTATCATCAATATTCGGTTCATGATTTAGAAACGCACGAATACAATTCATATATTAATGATCCGTGCCGTAACCGGAATATTCAATATTATACAATCATTTTGTTTCCGGTAGGTCCAATAATAGATAGGAAATTCCATCATCATCATCATTATCACGATCACCATTGTCGTGAGTCTTCCTCCAAAACATTACTACTCTACCAATGACTACTTACATAAATACCATTCAAGAATGGATGAACAATACTGAACAACCACACCAACAACCACAAAATGAAAATCATTTTTTTTGTAATTCAATTTTTAATGAAGGGGAGATGATGAGGTGTCGCGTCATCATCATCATCATCACGACCACCTCAAGAGAAACGTGTTTTTTCGAATGATCAAACGTATAATAATAACATTTGGAGATCAAGTATTAAGCTAGATGATGAACAGAATTCTTAAGAACTCAACTTGAGAAACGTTTGGTTTAGGAGACACGCGGAGATGAGGAACCTCGGAGAATGAAGCTCTCCTCTCCAGAACCAGAAGAAGAAAAACAACTTGACCATGACCTTGAATCAACGCTCACGCAATCCAAGTCATCAATTCGATGGATTCCATTGGAACTGTGGCACTCTCGCCATCCTATTCATGATGAGCTGTTTTATTACCTTTCATCACGTCCATTCACTCACCACTCCCAACATGAAAACTCTTCTCATTCCCAAACAACAACAACATTCATCCCTCCATTCCGAATTTGCCAATAAAGTTGTCTATGTGAGTGGAGGTTCGAGTGGAATTGGTTTCGCCACCAGTCTTTTATTTGCTCAACATGGAGCACGAGTTGTTTTCACGGCACGAGATTTCCATCCCGATTGGTACACTGGAGCACAAGCAGAGATGAGAATCAATAGTGATGCCAAAGTCATACAGAGTGGAGGAAAGGCTATCTTTGTGAAATGCAATGTTTCCAATTATACAGAGGTGAGAGAAGTGATTTTCGGAAAGATTGATCGAATGTTTGGAAGACTGGATATTGCTGTGAATAATGGTGAGTGTTGTTGTTATTATTGTAGTATTTGTAGTTGTTTATCTTGTGTTGTCCAATACTATTATTGGTTTTAAATTGGAAATGAATGTATTCCTATTAATGGTGGTGGTGTTTGCTTTCACCTAAATAATGATCTCTTTTTGTAAACCTCATTGATGACAACGCATGCAAACAACCGTGTGAATCAGCTGGCATTGGTGGACCATTTGGAAATCTAGTCGATCTTGATTCCAAATACTTTCATAGCGTTCATGATCCTCTTCTCAATAACGCCTATGGTGTTCTCTATCAAATGAAAGCTCAACTCGATTATTGGCGATCCAAAAAGGACAACTCGACCACCAAATCCATCGTAAACCTTACCAGCTACAATGGATTGAGAGCCTGTGCTGGATGTTCCATGTATTCTGCTTCCAAACATGCCATCATTGGTTTCACTCAATCCGTCGCATTGGAACACGTGAAGGCCACTCCTGAGATGCCTCGAATTCGAGTGAATGCTGTTGCTCCAGGTCTCATTGATACTCCACTCACAAGAAATCAAGCAAAAACTCTCTATGAAGGTATTGAGACTTGGGTGGGTCCATTGATTACAGAGACCAATCCATTGTGGTTAAAGATGAAAGCAGAGGTGGAGAAGGAATTGGCAGGAGGTGTTTTGGGAAGACCAGAAGAGATGGCTCATGTGATTCTGTACTTGTCGAGTGAGGAGAGAGCCAGTTATGTGAGTGGAACTGTGGTGAGTGCAGATAATGGAGATTCTGCCAAGTAGTAATCTCCAGTCGTAGGTCGACCTGATCACTGTGGTGGTGGTAATATTGGTGGTCATTGTAATGATCATGCGCTATCGTCCATTGAATGCTGAACATGAATTACAATATATTGATTCATTCATCTCTCTACACATGCATGTGGAGTTTCTTTCTACCTTAATCACTGAGTTTCATGAAAAACAACAAGTTCGACAACGCGTTTTTTCGTTCAATCACAGAGAGCGTTCATGCATTTGATGTGTTCAACATTCTTTGCTTCTACAAGCACTCACTGATATCTTCAAGATATCATCTGTTGAATATCGCAGTTCAAGATGTCAATGAATTGTTTTTCTGTTCTTTCTTCTAAAAAGAAAAAAAATGTTGAAAGCCAAGATCACTAAAACAGAAGATTTTTCTGACTCTGAAAATGAATTTAAAAACAACCATCAACAAATCGTATGGATACATTCACCACCGAGAAATGTGAGGATCATTCTTGTTGATTTTGTTCACTCTCATCATGATGACCCAAATGATCACACCTGTGAAAAACAGCATCCTCAAAGATTGGAATTATTGCTCAAAAAGAAATTTTCATTACAACAACTCGGAAAGAAGAAGTGGCTCGAAAAGAGGGAAATGAAATTTAGTAAATTCTTTCCAATCGAGTTCATGAATGACAAGGAATTTGTATTCAATCACATAAAAAAGTATCATTATGGATTACAATTTGCATCCAAACAACTTCATGACGACAAGGATTTTGTGATGCAACTGGTGGAACAATTTGGATATTCACACTTATCACATGCAAGTACTAAAATTCGCAACGACAAACAACTTTTATTGAAAATCATTGCTAAACATGCACAGGCCATGAGTTGTTCATTCAATCTGCTCAGAGAGACTGACTTTATATTGAGTGCAGTTCGACTGAATGGAGAAGCTCTCTGGCACGTGAGTGATGAATTTAAGAACAACAAGAATATTGTGTTGACAGCTGTGAAGAACAATTGGACGGTCGTGAACTGCATTACTGGAACATTGAAAGAGGATCAAGAAATAATTATTGAAGCCATCAAACAAGATAAGAATGCACTTGGATGGGTGTGGAAAACATCTAACTATTTACTTCAAGATGATGATTTCATGTTGACTGTTGTGAAAATAATATATCCAAAAGAATTCGAATCCATTGATTCTTTTGATTATTCACAAAAAGAGGTCATGATGAAACTTGTGCATGATTTCCCATTTCTACTTGAATTTGCAAGTAACAAACTAAAGAGAGATAGAGAGATTGTGATGAATGCCATTAGAAATGATGGCTGTGCACTTCAGCTTGCATCTCCTTTCTTGCAAACGGACAAAATCATTGCAATGACAGCGGTTCAACAAAATGGAAATGCATTGAAGTTCGTTTCAGAAGTGTTGAAGCGAAACAGAGCACTTGTATTGGCTGCTGTTTCTCAAAATGGACAAGCCATTGAATATGCATGCAACGAGTTGCGAATGGATCCAGAGATTGCTCGAACAACCGTAAAAACTCATTCACGTGCTGTTGACTTTTGCACTGCAGAGATGAGAAACGACAAGGAATTCCTGTTGTCTGCCATTCGTCACAATGGATATGTCGTGAAAAAAGCATCCAAAGCACTGAGAAATGATAAAGAGATCATGTTAGCAGCTGTAAGAAATTGTGGAACGACTCTCGAATATGCATCGGAAGAGTTGAAATGTGACAAGGAGATTGTATTGACAGCTGTTCGACAGAGTGTCTATTCGATACAATTTGCAAATGAGAGATTGAAAGATCATGATGAGGAAATTATGTTGGAAGCGATTGCACTCAACAGTGGTGCATGGGAATGTATTTCTTCCAAGCGATTGCATGACAAGGAATTCTTATTGAAAGCCATTCAGAGGGTAGTTGGATGTGAAAATAGAATTGCCAATGGCGTGGTACCAAAAGAATTTGCAACTAGTAAGGAATTTATGTTGAAAGCAGTTAAAATTGCAAACAGTCTTTGAGTCCTTGGGTTCAATGATGAATGTTCGGATCGAGAAATCATGTTAGAAGCAGTGAAGAAGAATGGCTATTCATTACGATTTGCGAGTCGGGAATTGAAATATGATCCTGAATTGGTGATGGAAGCTCTCAAGTGCAATGGTTTTGTTTGGGAGTACAGTGATGAATTGTATCAAGAAAGAATGCGACACTGTTATGGTGAGGTTTATTTGGGACATGTGGGACATCATTGTGTCCTAGAATTGAGATGAGTGTTCATTCGTGCTTAGATTCCCCTAACATCAAGGAAAATCCCTAATTAGGAGATGATGATGGTGTTCTGAGTTACTGTCAATGTGAATGATGGTCCACTTTGGAGAGTTTGTCGACAGACACACACACACAGAGAGATGCATCCAATTACTTATTTGGATGAGAGAATGATCCTATCGCACGACTATGAAAGAAGAGGAACTAGGAGTCCGTTACAACAAGTGGTTGTTGGCGCCAAAAATTTACGATCGAACACCACATCAAAAAAATGGATCAACAACAACAAGCTCAACAACCACCACCCTCACAACCCACCAACGATTTCAAGGGAGAGTTTGTGCATCCAGTGGTGTCCGCAAACAAGGGTACAGCCTCTTCTTTGCTGTTGGAGGATTATACAAGAACTCATATTGCGAAAAATCCGCTCAAAGGAGGAGGAAAACCTTCGAGACCCGATGCCAAATATTTGCCAAAATCAAGTGAATCTCCTTTCGGATCTTTTCCTGGCGAATTTAAAGTACGATCTGTGAAACCTCAAACTGAATCGAGTGAATCATCATCATCGACTAAGGACATTGGTTTGGTAGGATCAAAGATGGTCTCTTCTCGAACTTCATTGGAAAAGACAGAGAGAGGAACATTCGCTTGGAGCCCAAAGAAAGTTGGAACTGGGGGAGCTTCTAGTTCTTTGAGAGAAGGAAAGAAACCAACTCCTCCACCAAAGCCTGTTGCCGGGGCAATGGAGAGACGACCAATACCAGATACGCAATTTAGAAAATTTTATGAGAGAGGCGATCTTCCAATATCCATTAAACACGAAGGAACAAACGAAATTCATTGGAAAGTCAAAGCTGAGAAGCTTGACTATCACCACTATCTCCCAATATTTTTTGATGGCTTACGAGAGAAGGAAGAACCTTATCGATTCTTAGCGGTTCAAGGAACATTTGATTTGTTGAAATATGGAAAGGACAAGATTGTAAATTGTATACCACAACTAATCATTCCAATCAAGAGTAAGTGTTTTAACTATGCATGAAAATTTTAATCTTGCCTGTGACGCTTCTTAGCTGCACTTAACACTCGAGACCCAGAAATTATTTGTACAGTTCTTAAAGTCATTCAGCAATTGGTGCTTTCTAATAATAAGGTTGGAGAAGCACTTGTTCCATATTATCGACAAATTCTTCCAATCTTTAACTTGTTCAAAACGCAGAATATCAACCTTGGAGATGCCATCGAATACAGCCAAAGAAAGAGACTCAACATTGGTGATTTAATTGAAGAGACTCTTCAACTTTTGGAACAAGAAGGAGGAGAGGATGCATTTATTAATATCAAATACATGATCCCCACCTATGAATCCAGTGTTCTTAATTAATAAACCTATCAATCCCATGAACACAAAGGCCAACAACCCAGAAAAGAAAACAATTATCCAAATCCTGCTTTGGGCTGTCATTGTCAAAAAAATGTCTCAAAGTAAGTGTTTGTGCTGACCATCTCATTCCGAACAATTGTCAATCATTCAAATAGAATTAACGATCGGAATCTTTGGGCCCTTTGCAGTTGGTAAAACATCAATATCTGGTATGTTTTTTGCATGATAGAGGTTTTTTATCCATGATGATGACCAATTATTTATTTGCGACCGCATTTTCATCATGTTACCATCCACAACACATTGGGTGTGATGATGACTATTTGATGATGACATTTAGTACAATTTGTGGAGAATAAATTCTCTGAAGTCCATGATCCAACCATTGGTAAGTAGTACTTATTGTCAAGTTGTAAGGAACGAAAAGTTGAATTCAATGATGTGACATTATTTGTATTTCGATTGTTCGACTTGCTTGCATCACATTGAATATTCCAAATCGATCGATTCGAATGAATGTTTGAATTCGAATTTATTTTCATAATAGAGGATTATTTCGAAACGACACGAAATGTTAAAGGCATTGTTTCTAATATTACAATTTTGGATACAGCGGGACAAGAAACTTATCAATCACTACTGTCAGGTGTGTTATTGACAATTCATTCTCAACATTGACAAATGGAATTAATTTTATTACATTTTTTTCATCAATTAATTGGCTTGATGACAACATCGGAATTACCTAATTGTCTCTAACCTTTTGGAACTACTTTTCTTGTGAATCATCAAAAATATTGTCACATGAATCGATAAATGCATGAACAACAACTACCAACTTGGTTTAACAACACAGACGCCATGAGTGAAGCAGAAGGATTCATTCTCGTGTACAGCATCACCGATCGTTCCAGTTTTGAAAAAGTTCAAAAACTTCGAGAAAAAAGTCATCATGGTTCAAAGTTCCACTGTTCCAGTGATTTTGGTGGGAAATAAGTGCGATTTAGAATCGGAACGAGTCGTCTCCAAATCGGAAGGAGAGGAAATTGCAAAAAGTGTAGGATGTCCCTTTGTTGAAACCTCTGCAAAAACAGGACTCAATATTGATCATGTCTTTGAACAAATTGTATTAATGGTTCGGAAAAGTAAGGGATTGGCTCTTGGTAATGGAATTTCTGCCCATGAGGTGCCTACGGGAGGTGGTGCCAATAATTCCTTATTGAATGCTTCAAATAGTGGTGGTGGTAGCGGTTCGAATAGTAGTTCCTCTTCTCCTTCTTCACCAAAAGTGAACAAACGAAAGAATTCAAAGGAAACGTCAGGAAATTCGGCAAGTCCTTCTAAAAAGAAGGAATGTCAAGTGCAATAATGTACAAATTAGTCCATGATCATTACCAGTATTTGGATGATATGTTGCAATTTGTAAAAAGAATATGATTGAACCTCAAATGAATTAGTAAATTTTAATGAACTAATTTCTCGTAGTTCCACACAAACGAAAGAGCATGATTTCTTCTCCTTTCTCTTTTTGAACATCTGGTACCAAGAGACAATTTTCTTGCTTAGTGCTTGGTCACTTGAGTGCATTCTGCAAGTGACACAAAATTAAACAAATTGTACTGGCAGTTATAGAAGGAATTCTCAAACTTATCAGCAATTGTCTCTTCCGTGTAAGAACTTCAAGATTTTGAATTTGTGATGGAAGCAGGTCGGAATATGTCACATTTACAACGTATAACTTGCACGAGTATTTACAGATTCATCTTTCAATAACTCCCATTTCTTATTTTCAATGATTTTCATCATATGATTGACAGCATAAATTTGTTTTCTCATGATCTCCTTTGGATCGATACGACCATTAACAGTCTCAGTCTTCCGATCTTCCAGAACTGGTTTATACGTCATGGTTGATTTTAAAGGACCTAGAGGGTTCATATGGGATGAACCATTTCGTTGAGGAAGGGATGATTTAAGAAGAGGAGAGGCAGAGCTAAGGCCTCCTCGGCGTTGGGGCGACTGCACACAAGAAGGTGGGTTTGATGAAATTTGGGCTTGTCTAACTGGTAGTAGGTTTGATGATCGGCAACTCTCCGAAGCTGATTCCGATGATGATAAGGAAGGAACCGTTTTTTTAGTTCGTTCTTGGGATGATGGCATTTAAAGCAGTTTTTTAATCCAACAGTTGCAATATGATCCCAACCATTAATTTAAATCACTAAATCCACCAATGATGATGATTATGAATCACAAGCGCACACACGACTCTCTCAGAGCAAGTCGTGAAACGTTTTTTCTTCAATCTCTCTCTCTAAATAACGGTTATTTTTTTTAAAAATTTTTTAAGGGAAAAAAAATGCAACCACCTCACCTCAATCCATCGATCCACAACGCGTTAATAGCTTATCCGAATAGCTACAACCTCAAACGGCCAACAGTGATCAAAATTTTGATTGTCGGGGAGAGGAATGTGGGAAAATCCTCTCTGATAAGCTCTTGGTGTGGAGTGATGAATGAAAAGAATCATCTCATACGTTTTGTTGATCGGAGAAGAAACGGAGAGATAGACATCACGAGAGTGGAGGTATCCACTTCATCGCCATCATCAACAACCACCTCAGAAACTGCAATGGAGAAATCAAGGCCTCCTCACAGTGGGAATGAAAATTTCTTCATTGATTTTTGTGAGCCAATCAATGATAGTGAGCTGCCCTCCACAAACCAGAACGTACGATCGGCATGGATGACAGACACAGACTTTGTTTTGATTGCATACGACACTTCAAATATGGCATCTTGGAACGCAGCAATAACAAAGTGGGTTCCACTGTTTCAAGAATACGAAACACAACTCAGTACTGTCATGCTTGTTGGTACCAAGAACGATCTCCCACGAAAAGTCGTATCTATTAAGGAATGTGAACAATTTTGTAAGTCATATATATCATCTAGAGAGGAGAATGGTTATTTCGGTATTGGTAGCGGCTTGTTCTTCATGGAGCTCTCAACCAAACTAGGCACAAATGTTGACCTCGTGTTAAATATTTTGTTGATAAGAATATCTCATTTGTTGACATATCGCAAGGAGACTGCCAATACCCAGAGCCAACCCTACAATGGGTTAATTGAGCCTATGAATCAATTGGACATTCGCAACGAGTATACAAATATGATGCGAGCAGAAGAGGCAACGACATCTCTCATATTTGAAGAATTACCCCTGAATCATAAAGGTTCGCCTCCACTTCATCAGCGTCATGAAAATCAGCAGAAAATAAGCGCTGGCTGTCAAACTCCTCCAGATTTTTCAACTGAACCCAAGTTCCCTAAAGATCCTTCCTCTTCAATGCTCAAAAACACTAATCAAGATCCAAACCTCGCATCTTTGGTACATTCGAGTGTTGAGACAGAACAAAGCTATGGCATTAATGCATCAGGATTAATCGTGCTACCACCAGTGGATTCTTCTGCGCAATCAACAAGTGCAGACGTTTGCAGTAACAAATCAGACAGCTCTGTCAAGAAATCTGTAAAGAGTCAAAAACCAAGCTCCTCAGTACAGACCAAAATTCAAAATTTTCAGGAAACAAAGCAAGGCTACGTCATTCCTGTAATTGAGACAGATCTTTTTCCTGAACAAAAACATCACCTTTCTTCAAAACCTCAACAAGTACAGCAGTTTATTTCACACAATTTCTCACACAATGAGCACTCTGCTAAAGTAATATTGTCCATTAACATTGGAGACGGTAAAATGTGTAAATTAGGAGTGGTTTCTGGAGATAATATTTTCCATTTGGCTGAATTAGTAGTGAAACAGTTTGAATTAGATCCAAAATTGAGATCTGAAATTGCTTTCAACATCAGAAATAGTATTAACAAGTACATTGAAAAAGTTAATGGATCATTCATAAAGGATAAAAAGAATAATCCGAAAATTAAGGAAGCAGAGAAATTCAACCAAACTGTGGGAACAATGTTTTCCAACACCACTCAACAAACTCCTTTCAATTTTGTCAGTGATTGGATAAAACCAGCAAGACCTCCTATTCTTCAGCTTAAAATAACAATATCGAAAGGCAAAACAGGAGTCATTTTGGTCAGAGAGGGTGATGACATTACAGAGCTAGCTCGAAATTTTGTGAATACATTTGGTCTTAAAAAAGATCATCTTCCTAAAATTGTAGAGAAAATCAAGAAGCATCTAGAAGATTGCCAAGAAGTCAGTAAAGCGGTCAGTGGAAGACCTCTCAGCAGTACTAATTCCAGAGAAGAAGCATCAATAGTGGTGGAGAAAGCTGAAAAACAGCAACTCTCGAAAAAAAAAGCACAACAGCTGAAAGTATCTCAAAAGGAGCCAAAAATCAGCAAGGAGCTCACAGCAAACACAACAAATTTATCTTCATCACCTAAAACTCCAAGGCCAGAAAATAAGGTGCTGTTCAATCTTGATGTGGAAATTAATGAAAACAACAGGAAAATACTTACTGTGAGAGAAGGAGATGATCCCAAAACGTTAGCTCGCGAGTTCGCAAAGCAACATCTCATTGGGACTAGTGCTGAAGAAATGCTTGTCCAGCTGATTCAACATCATACTAAAAAGTATTACGAACAAAAGAAAATGTCTCTTCCATCTCCATAATAACATCACGTTGAATACAAAGTTGCTATTTCTTATGTGAGAGTTGTGTTGACACTTGTAAAATCATTCGAAAAAACAATTTGTTCATTCTCTCATCTTTCGACATTATAGTGATAAATATTCATAAAGTCACATGTTTACTTTTTTCTTGTTGGTGGATTCGATTTCAAAATGTTCTCAACAGTAAAGTCTGTTTCCCATCTGTCCAACATTCGTTGAATGGCCTCCACTGGCACACCATGTTGATTTCTCTTTGCCAACTCCACTGCATTCTTCGCCCACGGTGTTTGAGGTTCCAAAACTTTCACTTCATACGAAAACTGTTTTGCAAACAAAACATAGGGCTTTGCTTCCCACTTTTGTGTATTTGTGTTGTCAATGATAATCGGTGTTGTTCCTTTTTGCATTGCATTTTGAGCTCTGGTCTGATTCCAATGATGTGCCTTTCCTAGCTTGGTTGGATCAAAATTATATTTACCACTCTGAGGATCAATAAAAAAGTCATCCGTAGAGAAAATGTGTTCCTTGTATGATGTTTTGATGTCAATATTGTGATCGTGCAATATTTGAGCTGCCAATGTGCTTTTTCCAGAACCTATCCAATGAAAGCAATTTTGTCATATCAACAACAAGTGAATGACATCAATTCCAAAAAGATTAAAAAATAATTTTCATCGGATCACAACAACATTCGACACGATGTCCAATATCGCAAAAAGATCATCAAATGCCACGACAAAATAATTAGCTCACAACCCAATGACCATGGTGTTCGCAAAAAATTATACTTTACCCGAAATGCCTCTCAACAAGTACATGACTTTTGTGGATGTTGTTGGTGTAAGAGCAGCATCACTACTCGAAGCTAATGATGATGATGACAAGGTGGAAGGAACAGTTGAGTGATGGTCGAGCATTTTTTTCTCTCTCTGGTGATCTTGGGAATTGATTCAATGCCCAAAAAGTAAATTTCATGAAAGGTGCATTTCTCAAATGTTGCTTTCTGAATTCATGAGTGCTCTCTAAAAACTTTTAGTGTGCTTGAAGAGTAAATGAATTGATTGACATTTTACAGTTCAATTCAAATACTTGAGCCTCGGAGGTGATGAAACAACAACTGCGAAAGAACAAAATTTTCGCCAAATAAAGATTTTAAATCCAAGACTCAAAAAAATGCTCAAAAGAGGTCTTCTCAAATCATCATCGCACAGCACAGGCTTGTTGCTGCTCTCTTCTTCCAAAAGTAATTATTGTAGTAGTGTAGTAACAAATATTGATGCTTCTCCTAAATTTTTCTCCACGAGGAAGAGTGGAGTTCAATACAAGATGGCATCATCGTCGTCCTCTTCGGGATCTAATGCCTTATTGTTGGTAATGAACATGAAAAATCAACAAGTAGTCGGAATGAGAAACTTTTCCACCACCACTGCTGCAGCATCATGGATAAATCAACAACACAACTCGAGCTCTTTAAGATCTAATGGAGCATTCCCAAAAATTAATAGCAACAATAGATTTATCTCTGTTTATCCCCAAAATATGGAATATTCAACCAGCACTCAGAATGTACAACAAGAGGTAGAAGCTGATATTCCAGGTCGAAAGGCTGTTTTGGTTTGGTTAAGTACCATCGGATTCCTTGTTTTTGCCATTGTAATTGTGGGTGGTTTAACAAGGTTGGAGGAAGGAGGTCTTTCAATGGTTGATTGGTCTCCTCTTGGCTCTCTTCCTCCAATGACTCCCGAAGAGTGGGAAGCCGAATTTGAAAGATATAAACAATTCCCAGAATATAAGAAAAAGAACGAAGGAATGACTGTGGAAGAATTCAAGTATATTTTCTACTATGAATATTATCATAGAATGCTGGGAAGATTGATTGGAGCTGTTTATGCTCTTCCAGCAGTTTTCTTTGCAGCTAAGGGATACTTTTCAGGAAAGAATAGAGTGTTATCGCCAGCAACAGTTCTGGGTATTGGAGCTGCCATTGGATTCCAAGGTCTTCTTGGATGGTACATGGTAAAGAGTGGACTCGATGAAAACCATGAGCTCATGAAGAAGTACAACAGCATTCCTCGTGTTTCACAATATCGATTGGCCTCTCACTTGTGTGCAGCTTTTGGTATTTACGCCATGACCATGTGGCAAGTTTTTAATTTGGCAACAAGAAACAAGCCAATTGACACATTCATGGGAAGCAAACTTTTTAAGGTTGCTGCTCCAATTTTCTTCTCCCTTGTTTTTATCACAGCAGCTTCTGGAGCCTTTGTTGCTGGAATGGATGCAGGATTGGTGTATAATGAGTTTCCACTCATGGGTGGCTCACTCGTTCCTAGTGATATTATGGTCATTGAACCTTGGTATAAGAATTTATTTGAAAATGCCACCACTGTACAATTCCAACACAGATGGTTGGCCACATTTGTTGGAACAGCAATTGCTGTGTTTTATTATACCATGACAAGAGGTGGTAGAGGAAAACAATTACCAAAACCTGTCAAACGTTCCTTAAATTATTTACTTGCAGTTGTTGGTCTCCAGTACACTCTCGGTATTACTACTTTGTTGACCTATGTTCCAACCTCAATTGCTTCAGCCCATCAAACTGGTTCTTTGACTCTTTTCACCTTTGCATTATGGATGGCTCATGTTGCCAAGAGGATTAGATAATGTAGTTCTACAATCGGATATATCTTGAATTTTGATTCAATAATTTTACAGACGCGGCTAATTGAATTCATGTGGAATTGGGATTTAATTAAAATTTGCAATCCTGTCAATACAATAATTGCACTAACTAGTATACTTCATACTTCCGCATGTTCGTGTATGGTGTGAATATATTTATTTGTGAGGTGGATGGAAATTAGAGTAGGTGTAGGGGTTGTGAAAAAATGCAACAAGAAACATCGGACGGATCGTACTTGATACGTGAAGGAAATCCTTCAGATGCTCCCAAGATCACAGAATTTAACATCATGATGGCTCTCGAGACCGAAGGCATTCATTTAGATCGAGAAAAAGCTACCCGTGGTGTCATCACTCTTTTTGAAAAACCGGAGAAGGTGTGTTTCAACTACATTGAGCAATAATGAATTTAACAAAACACGATTTGATGAATTTAAATGTCATTTTAATTTTGAAATTCATTATCAAACCGCGATTCAAATTGACACCAACCTCTGTAGGGTCAATATTTTGTGGCAATTCATAAGAATGGATCCGAAGAGACGGTGGTTGGTGCTTGCTTAGTTACCTATGAGTGGAGCGACTGGCGGTGCACTGATTATTGGTGGATGCAAAGTGTATATGTTGCTAAAGAGCACAGGAGGCGAGGAGTTTTTTCACATTTATTCAAATACGTAGAAAAGAAATGCATTGAAGCAAAAAGTGCATCTTTTAGGCTCTATGTTGACAAGAAGAACGCAAATGCAAAGAACACTTATTTAAAATTAGGAATGCAAGAATCTCACTACGAAATGTATGAAAAGAATTTTTACGAATGATTTGGGCATTAGTGTCATGAATAAATTTTGATAGTATCTTAATTGTTACACCATTCAACGACTAATCAATTTTGATCTCATTCAATAAATAGTGTATTGGATATTGTTTCATTACAATGCTAAAACTTTGGGCCTCGACTTCTGGCTGTATATTTCGATGGAGGTCGTACTTCTTTTCCTAATTTTCTGTCACGTTCCTTCTTCCGTATTATATATTCTTTCAAATTTTTTCTATTTTTTCCTCCTCGTTGTGTGGATGTATTCCTCGAGCCTTCATGTCTAATTTGGTGAGTGACAGGGTCTTCTTTTCCCTTAGGAATTTCGCTCTTTGGTACATTTGGCATACCGGCGAACAATACTAAATAATATTTTCGAATTTTTCTACTATGTGGATAGTCAATCACTAGGCCTCCTCCAAAACCTGCTTTCATTGCCATGTTAGTAATTAATTCAGTTTGTTGTGGTGTTTCTGGGTAAAATTGAAAAACAGCTCTAGCTCCTCTTCTCAAACATTTATAAAGTGTTCCAAAGAATTTTTGTAATCTCTTAATAGGTTCCTGAGACTTTTTGTCAGCATTACATAACCACTGAACAGCTGAAATTGAAATGGCTCCATCAAATGTTCCTAATCTAAAAGGAAGTCCATTTCCCATATCTCCATGAATCAAATCACATCCATTTGTACTGGTTGGATCTTCCATCATTTGTTCATTTGCAATGTTCAACATGTGTTCACTGATATCCATTCCGACCCACACATGACCAGCCTCCGATAAACAATTTCCACTGATTCCACTTCCGCAACCGATATCCAATAAATATAAAGGTCCAGAATTCTCGGGAAGGGCCAACAACTCTATTGCTCTTTTAGACATTTCCGTTTGAATTTCCAGTACACGAGTATTAGTCGCATACTTTTTCGCTTGCACCTCCCCATAGAAGAGTTCGGGTGGTGCAGTGTGTTCGGGTCTCGAAGTGCTCGCCGCTGAGATGCTCATTTTTTTTGAAAGCAAGCGAAAAAAGTATTGTAATAAAACCTTTCATATAGATTTCTTCACCATCTGTTACAATCTATGATACAATCTCCTATGGTAATTGATGGCGCTCTCCAAGAGTATGCAAGGAAAAGACAAGAAGGAAAGATCAGCTATTTTGGATTCGATAATGCTTTCAGATAGTGCAAAAATTGTTGAAAGAACAACTTTTGAAAAAAATGAACGAAAACGACCCTAATGCCTTTAATGCCTTTGACGAACAAGAAGTGACTTCGGAAACGTAAGTTTTTGTCAAGACTGGATATCGGGAACGATCATTTGTTATGGATGATCAAATTTATTTTACTCTTATGTTTTTTTATTGTCTTCCTTGTACAACAATTCAAATTGAATGTTAATTAATTTATTTTTCATCACAACATGTTAAAATTCCATAACCGCTTGTTTTATTAAAACAGCGATGGAAGAAAGAGAGACTTATCGGATCGAAATGATTCTCCACTATTTGATGATGACGATGATGAAGCAAGACCATCGGAACCTAAAAAGAGAGTCATCGGAGATTCCTCCTTTTTGCATGGAAGTAGAACTTTAATATTGATTCTTGGTTCCTCTATTGGAGATTCAAGCAAATCAGTACCAACTGTAAGGTTTTTGGCTTCCAAGATGCCATTTCCAGAATCTGTTTTGAAGTACTTCTTTCTGAAAGATCATGTTGTTGTGGAGTTTGTAGATTCACACTATGCTCTCAAATTTCTCTACATGTATTACGACACTGGTATTCAATGTGAGGACGGTTCCGTTATTACAGTCGAGTTTGCAAAAAATCAAGATGAGGGTATTGACGTAGTTATGCCTTCGTCAAGACAACAACAACCTTCAGAGGTAATTATCTTGGCTTTTCATTTTCATAACTTATAATCGTCTTTGAAACTTGTCTTTGTTATTGGACCCGAACAACTCTAAAAAATTGAATGCACTTGCAATCGAATTCATTAGAGCGGAAAAGTATTATTTTGTCTTGTCTACAATGCGTTCCCACTTGAAAACTTTGAAAAATATGGTAAAGTAGTTAAGCTAATTGAACTTCCTGAACTGGATCGAGTAAAGAGGGTAATCATGGAATTCAAGACAGAGGTCGACTTTAACAATACATTTGAAAAGCTAAAAAATCATCAGTCTCTCAAACTATACAAATCAAAAATACCCTATCTAGAAGATACTTATGACCAAACGGAAAGCATCCATTATGTAGCAACATCCAGCTCAACTTATACTATGGTTGAAAGTGTTCCAAGTCATAGTAAGCCAGGCACCTGTGTCATTCAAGTTACAGGATTTACCTCTCACAAAGTCAACTGTGACACCATATTTATTCTATTTGGAGTGTATGGTGATGTCCTAAAAACTAAGGTTAATTTCAATACACCAACTCCATGTGCATATGTTGAATTCAAGAACGAAGACGGAGCTGAGAGAGCAATTCGTTTTTTAGGAAAGAACGGCACTCCTTGCCCTCTTTACAATGATATTATTCAGATTTCTTATGCTCCATTTTCAGTTCTTGAAGAACCCACAACTCTTGAAGAAGGCGAAGAATTTAAAGCCTATCTTGGATCTCCTCTTCATAGGTTCACAAAAGGAAGCGCCACTGGAAGAATCAAAAACATTGATCATGTCTATCCGCCTAACAGAGTTTTGTGTATCAGCAATATTAATTATAATAGCCAGAGTAGCACGATCGAGTCAGAGTTTATGAAATACAATCTCAGAATAGAGAATATCAAATTCTTTGGACATAAGCAAAAGCTGGGAACTAAAATGGCTCTAGTCTCATTCCCAACCTTAAATGATGCCGTTACAGCACTTGTGGAATGTCACGATATCAAAATTGATGACTATCATATTAATATTAATTTTGCTGATAATAATGCTAATAATAACAACTTCATGATGATGAATAGACTTCCTTACAACGTCATTAACCGTAACATGGGAATGCCACACCAACGTCATTATTCACCAATGGGTACCTATACTCCATTTGCTGCCTCAGGTCATGCCTTGGCGTTCCCTCCAACAGCTGGTAGCCCACAATTCCAAAATTTTGTTTATAGCCCAAGAGGAAGAGGTGGAAATGCATACAGAGGAAATATCATGGTAAATAGAGGAAGAGGAAGAGGAAACTATACCAACTATAATAATGACAATAATTATCAAAAAGAGAATACCACTGATGACAATAATGCTGATAATACTAAATATCAATAACTATACACTCTAAAAATCTATTAATTATGAACATATTTGTTATTCTACCTGCACTGTATTTATCGTGGGAGAATTACCACATTATCACATGGATGGTATCATTGTTCACAATGTACAAATGCTAAGAAATATTTTTCTACTATTATTTATTCTTTGATGGTCAGAGTACTTATTTCGTGCTGCGTGTCAGTGTTCTAACATGCTGCATGAAATAAGTATTCTGTTAATCTTTCCTTGCCGTTACACTACATCTATTCCGAGGCAATAATCAATACAGTGCATGATCGAAATATTCTGCCTTCTGTTTATAAGCTAATCCTTGTTCTTACTTTTTGTGTAGTGGTGATAGAGGAAATATGAGTCCTCCATGAGATCGGTGATTCTCCGATAAATTCCTCTGCATGGAGGTTTCGATTCAGATGATTGTTCCTCACTATTGTTCAATGTAAATGTTGAAGAAGGCATCCTCACGAAATGACACAATGAAAACTTTTCCCACAATTCAAAGACTTTGGGTCTCTTATAATCGGGATCAATAATTTGATATTTGTGTTTGTCTGCAGCATACGCACGATGCTGACTGTAAGTAATTGGTGATGATGATTTGTTTTCCTTTGTTGTTGTCGTCGTCGTTGTTGAATCATCATGACTTTTATGGTGTGATGTCTTTGGTGTTTCTGAGGATCCAACAATGATTGTTTCCGAACGAGAATTGGTGATAACACTTTTTGGTGCGTCGTCTTGCTTCATTTTTTGGGATTTACACTTTTGCCAACAAAATTGATTGAATCTCCAATTTTACACAAAATAATATGGCTTGAGGGAAGAGAGATTGAGCATTCGTGAATTCGAGTAGCAGCTTGTTATTGATCTGACCTTTCACACCTTCACGTGGACCTCCTCTGAACGAGGGAGTTGAGATGGTTCGACATATCTGAAACGAATGAATCCACTTTGAAAAAAAAATGTTGTCTTCTCGCCTTACTGATCCTTCGAACGACATTCACCTGAGAGGAGTGTTATCGTTTGAGGAGATGGAACGACTCAAGCAATCAGTTAAGAGTACCTTGATTTCAAAAGAAACGTCCTTTTATCATGGAAAAGATATGAAGGATGAGAAGGTTGCTGCTTCCTCGATGATGAATCCTATTGGATCCAATACCTATACCGACATTGATTCTCCATTTGGGGCAGATCAAGAACTGAAAGAAAACATCATTCCCAAGTATATTCGTGCTGCTAAGGAACAGATATTGGCTTCCGAAGGATGGAACGATCTTAAGAATGAAATAAGGAAGAGAGTTCAATCCGTTGTTGATGAGCAAATCGTATTACGGAAGGAAATATCAGATTATATGCTTGAAAGTGGTGGTTCTGTGCGTATGACCTACAATCAACGTAAGAGGGCCAAGGAACTTCTCAAGAATTGCATTATTGATGATAAGAAGTACACGGATCTACTTCAAGAGGCGGGAGACTTAATGGCACAAAATCCTGACCTAACCTCGCTCTCGTACACTCTTGCCAGTAAGATTGATACCCCACAACAAGGGCAGAAAAAGGAATCGGAAGCAGTGATAGCCAAAATATTAAGCTTTTATCCATGGTCAGTCATGAGGAATAATCTTTCTAAATGTTTACTTCATTCTTTTCCGAAGACGGTTCGAAAAGCGTTATGGAATTCAGCATTTCAGGATGAGAACAACAAGGTCTTACTCGATGCATTCATGGAAAAGAAAAACTCCTCATCTGAATCATTGATTCTTCCAAAGGAATATTACCAAATTATTGACAATGCTGTTAAAAGGAAAGTTGAAGAGCATCCGATAATCAAGGAGTATAATGAAGGAAAGCTTCTGAATGAGGTACTTAAGGTGACTGTAGAATTTATTCTTTACAGAATGAAAGAGCCTGAAGTGAACGACCTTTCTATGGTGACTGACATGGTGAATGTTGATCCGAATGAGCCACTCACAGATGAGCTAAGAACAAAAATTATTCTCAAGATTATCGAAAGATATGCATCATATATTGTGGACATATTTGATTTATTTGCCTTCCTTTATGGATGGGAAGATGTATCCACAAAGTATAACCAGACTCCCATACAATTCTACACAGAAAAAATATGCTCCTTAATAATCTATCAATTTGTTTCGGCCTTTCAAATCGATCCATTCGAAGATCCTGAATTGTACTATAAGATGACACTTGTACCACAAACAGTAGTTAGATCCTTCATTCAAGCCATAGAAAAGAAAGATGCGACAATACTTTCACATTTGAATTCTCTACCAAATGGTGTTGAAGATTTCCTAAAGCCAGTTACACGACTAGGTATTTCCTACTGCGACCACACCATCACATGTTTTCTAATTGAGCAGCTGTTATTTTCAAATTTCAAAGATGTTGTATTTGGAGTATTTATGTCCTCAATTGCGTTGGCACTCAGACAACACCTACTGAAATGTGAAACCGCTGTTTCACTTCATACTCTTTGTAAAATGAACTCCTCAATTCTACTCGTAGACTCTCTAATTGATATTATGGAAAATAACTTTAGGAAATACCTTCACGATGTATTGGGGGTTGATATTTATCCAAAAGAATTTATTGAAATCACGGGATTGTCACATGAGAAGACAACACTCTTGTTTACTCAAGACACATCATCTCTTGCTCCTCCTGATAAATTGTCCTCCTTAAAGGCAGCCCTTCAACAAGAATTAGATCAAAGGGACGAGAAGGAAATGTTGTTCATTTGGAATGATATTTGGGACAAAATTGAAAAAGAAACCACCATTGACATCCCCTTCAAAGAGTCCAATTATAGACTTACCCTTCCTTCCAAACGATCAAATCTTTGGAAAGAAACTTCGTTCTATGATCTCTCTGAAACTATTATGCAGTTCTCTTCGAACAAGTTGCTCTGCATTGAGTTGGCAAAGAAAAATGTTTTGGAAGAATTTAAGCAAGTTGTGTCACAGCACTTAAAGGAAACAGGAATGTTCAAACCAACCGATTTTTCTTCTGATATTGACAATGGATCAGTGATTGAGGTGGCATATTCTTTTATGGGCTACACATTCAAAACTAAATTTTTAGAGGAACAATTACAAACTTCTGATTATGAAGCCATTCTTGAAACATTGAAAAGTAGACTCAAGTTGCTGGATTCTTTTGCTTATGGAAGTGATATCCAAGAGACAGCTTTGAAATTTGCAAAGCAGTTTGAACAGCAAGAACGAGCCAAACTTGAAAATTATCAACGAGAAAAGGAACAACGAATGTTGAAAATAACACAAGAGCTTGAAAATGAGAGCATGATGTACTTTTCGAAGGTTCTCAAAATTTCCATGAAAGGAGTTTCTCTGTTCTTTAAAGGAACTGAGCAAGAAATTCAAAAGATCGAAAAACAGGTTCAAGAAGAAAAAGAAGAACGTGCTATTAGAAAGGAAGCCTTGGGAAGATCCATTAGCACGTATGAGTACAATAGAATTCCAAAGAAGTACAAACAAAAATATGACAAGGTTATCGAGAAGAAAAAAGCAACAAATTCACAAAAGACAAAGAAGTATGCAGGAATTTGGCAAAACACAGCAAAGAACAAATAAAGACTGTTGTTTTACGAACATTAACATAAAATTTATTTACACACATGTCATGTTGTGAGTTGTTATTGATGTTTAGTGGAGATGTATTCGGGAGGAGTGAGTGTTGAGTTAAGTTGAGTTAAATGTTTTTCGAAGGTCAGGTGGGCTGTTGGTAAAAATCTGGAATGTCTTTTCAGCTTGACAAGAGTGAAACCGTTCTTTTGGTAAAAATTCACGGCTGCCACTTGAAGTGAGCTTGTAGAAAGAACGATGGTGTTGTATCCTTTTTCTTTGCTCCATTGAATGAGGTGATTCAACATTAATGTCGCTATTCCTTTTCGTTTCATTGAGTTTGCCACGCTCATTCGTTTCAGCTCAACGCAGCCTTCTGAATCTTGTTTCTTTCTAACACCAATAGTTCCAACAATTTCACCCGTAGAAGCTAACTCGGCGACCCAGAAATGGTTGTCTTCATCCCAAATGTAATACTTCATAATGTTAGCCATGTCACTATATTTAAATGACTGATAAATGTATGATCTTGCACTGTAATCAACATATTTGGATAAGCCACAAAGAACAAGAATGATTGTGCTCGTACATAATATCACAGTGGAAAGAGTCGAATACAAAATGGTTGAAGTCGAGTTAGATAGTTTCAGTCCAAAGAGTGAGTAATAGCGGTGTCCATTAACAATTGTATCATTCTCATCGGCGTAAAGCATTTTCAAAATTGTCACGTGAATTCCAAAAGTCACCAAATAAAACAGCGACAGGAAACAAAAAACTTTAGCAATTCCAAAATAGTGAATAAATAAATAAAAGGTTTGTAAGTAGCTGGGTACAATGGACTTAATTCCTTCAACAAATATCCTGTTCACTTGTTTGTCATCCGTCTTGTAATTGTAAGATCGAATAATTATTGTGTCATTATCATTGCATTTGTAAAAGGTTCTGTCCATGTCATTGGCAGGAGTAAGGTTTTCAGAGTTGTGTTCTTCTTGGTGTTTTTCGTCACCATTGGTAAGCATTGTTTTAAGATTGTACTGTTCAGAGTAGGAAGTGTCGTCCTCTTGTTCTTGTCGATAATTGTCATCATCGTGATCGTACTCGTTTTCAAAACTTGTTGGAAAGTCATCCTCGAAATGGCTCGAATTTGGCCTTATATTAAAATCTTCATCTTGCTCATCGTTTCCATAATATTCATCTCCGTCATGGCCATCATGATGATGATTGTCGAAATATCTCTCTAGATCACTGTTTTGCGGTTGTTGTTGATCCATACGGTAATTGTTCTTTTCCGAAACTGGAGAAAACGAAGCTTGATTAGTGGTAACATCAACAGTTTCAACTCCAGTTTTCGTTATCGGTACGAACAATGACAAAGGTGTGGTTGAAGTTAACGGCGTTGATAACGACGACGACAACGACAACGATGAAGAATTTCCAAAATTCTTCATCGACAATGTTGATGATGAGGATGGAGGAAGCGAGGAGAGATTTACGCTCTTTTTTTGATTCTTCAAAAAAGCTTGTGGTGGTTGTTGGGATTGATTGAAAGGCTTGTTATTGATCATCACGAGAGAAGGTTGTTGCTGTTCTTGTTGTTGTTGAGGATGGAAAGCGAGAGAGGAATGAAGAGGTTCTTCTTTCTCTACGTGATGATGGGATTGATGGTTGGATGATGAACTTTTTGAATGATGATTGTTGTTACTAACAGTCGTCCGTGTGGTATGACGATGGAAACCCTGTTCTTGTTGATCATAGTAATAATCAAGAGGAGATTCTCCATGGTAATGATAGCCATTCGTGGTGTGGTTCATCATGATCACAGAATAGTGAGGAAGCGTGAGTGAAGCCAAGTGCTTCTTTGGACTCGTTGTATGCTTCTTCCGAGAAGAAGAACCAGTAACTGCTTTCTCTGTATAACCTCTCGTGGTTGGTGTTGGAGAAGACGAAAGGGGTTGTTCCATCATCATCGTGATGAGAAGAGGTTCAGATTGCTGTTTCTTGTTTTTACAGAGAGCAGTAGGTCCGGGTTTCGAGTCGTGATGTAGAAGTCGGGATTTGGAATTACTGGAGGAGGAGGAGGTGGTAGCTTGTAACAATGGAGGTGAATGAGTAAATCTTCGGAATCGTCGAAGTTGACCGAACAATGGTGGTATTGTGGTGTAGTTGTTATTGGAATTGCTATTATGATCAATCTGAATCGGATCGTGATGAGAACAAGTGGTGTTGTTGTTGTTTGTTGATCAGGAGCTCTACAGAAAATGTTGAAGACTACAAAACACGTTCATAGGTGAACAAGTAGTGGTGGTTGATGATTACTTTTTGTTGGTGAAACTTGTGATTCTCTTTGAGTTGGAAGGATGTGGTCTTTCCGAATGGAACCAAGAGTCAGAAGATCCCGAGATGAATTTCTACCATCAAGCGATCGAAAGTTCTCTTTTGGTGTTTTCCTCTCTTGGCTCAAGCCAAATGAAATTTGAGCTTTGAATGACTCTTTGATGATGGTTGAATATTGAAGGTTGATAACGATTGAGATGATGGAGTGCTAAAGGTGAGGAGGACGATTTGTTTGTTTTCTTCTTGGTGAGGGTATGTTAAGATCAATTCGTTTGTTCGGAAGATGGAATTTCCAACTCAACTCTTTTAGACTTCTTTTCTCTACATTCAGATGTTCTTTGGCAAAATTCAACAGCACCGAGCACGCCTAATAATTGATGAGTCGCACTTGTTCGTTTTTAAAAGGTCCTTCTTTGTGTACTAAGGGTCTTCAATTTCTTGTGAAGGTAGGGATGGTGAACACAAAGAGCAACAGCAAGGAGGGAATTTCAAAATAAAAATAGATATATAGATGGAAATCAAAAACGCAAAAAAATGCTCAATACTAGCACTAGTGGAGGTTCGGGTGTTCATGTTGTATTGCCATCATCCTCTTCCGCATCGGTGAATGGACTCAAAAATTATTACATTGCCAAGATCCAAGAGAAGGAAATTGTACTACGAGATAAAATTGAAAATTTGAGACGATTACAAGCACAGAGAAATGAGTTGAATGGTCGTGTTCGGAGTTTAAAAGAAGAATTACAACAATTGCAAGAACCTGGTAGCCATGTGGGTGAAGTGGTCAAAGTAATGGGTAAAAAGAAAGTTCTTATAAAGATCAGTCAAGAAGGAAAATATATTGTAGATATTGATAAATCCATAGAGTTAAAAGATTTGACACCAGGTGTGAGAGTTGCTCTTAGAAATGATTCGTATGCTCTTCACAAGATCCTTCCAAACAAGATCGATCCTTTGGTAAGCTTAATGAAAGTAGAGAAAGTTCCAGATGCCACTTATGAAATGGTCGGAGGTCTCGATGAGCAAATCAAAGAAATCAAGGAGGTGATCGAGCTTCCAATCAAACATCCAGAGCTTTTTGAAAGTTTGGGTATTGCTCAACCAAAGGGAGTAATTATGTATGGACCTCCTGGCACGGGTAAGGTATGTATCATGTAATTAGTCAACGAATTTTGTCATTGTATTGACGATAATTATTATTATATTTTGCATCAAAACTTATCCTTAACGCAATATGATTGTTTAATTCAATGTCAATAACAATCTATTTTTTGATCATATTTTACATACAGACCTTGTTGGCAAGAGCCGTTGCTCACCATACAGATTGTACTTTTATTCGTGTCTCTGGTTCTGAATTGGTTCAGAAATATATTGGTGAGGGAAGTAAGATGGTCAGAGAATTGTTTGTCATGGCTCGTGAACACGCTCCATCCATTATTTTCATGGACGAAATTGACAGCATTGGCAGCACGCGTACAGAAGGAGGAAAGGGAGGTGGTGACAGTGAAGTTCAAAGAACCATGTTGGAATTGCTTAACCAATTGGATGGCTTTGAATCAACTCAAAATATTAAGATTATCATGGCTACCAATCGTATTGATATTTTGGATCCTGCTCTTTTAAGACCTGGTAGAATTGATCGTAAGATCGAGTTCCCAAATCCAAACGAGCTGGCCAGATTGGACATTCTCAAGATTCACTCTCGAAGAATGAACCTTACTCGTGGAATCAACTTGAGAAAGATTGCTTCCATGCTTGGAGGTGCATCAGGAGCTGAAATCAAAGCAACTTGTACAGAGGCTGGTATGTTTGCTCTCCGTGAAAGACGTGTGCACGTCACTCAAGAAGATTTGGAGATGGCTGTTGCCAAAGTCATGAAGAGAGGAGACGAAAGCAATATGAGCTTTAAGAAGTTGTTCAAATAAATTTCATCATTAGTTCATGATGACTGAAAGCTCCCAAAGCAAGTGCGCATCATCCTTCACGTTTGTTTACAATGAAATCGACATATTTTTTACAACAGAGGCAAAGTGGCTCGAAATTTTTTCTTGGCTTGCTCGTCCCCTCAGTCGTTCGCGTTTTGATACTCCTCTGACAGCCGTTAAAATTTTCGCACCCAATCACCCAAATTTAAATTCTTCAAACAACAACACTCAGAAAAAAACATCACCACAATAACGTTCGCATACACATCATCACAAAATGGCAGGAAAGAAAGGAGGAAAGAAGGACAGCAACGCACCAAAGAAGCCAAAGACTGCATACTTTTTATACTGTGACGACAAGAGAGAAGAGGCTAAAAAAACGCTCGGAGGAGGAAAGAGTGCCTCTGAAGTAAGCAAGCTCTTGGGCGAATGGTGGTCAAAATTGACTGAAGAGGAAAAGAAGCCTTACAATGACAGATATAAGGTTGCAATGGAACAACACAAGAAGGAAATGGAACACTACAAGAAGAACAAGCCAGAATCTTCATCGGAGGAAGAAGACTCTGAGGATGATGGTGGTAAGAAGAGAAAGAGAGGAAAGAAGGCAAAGAAGGACAAGGATGCTCCAAAGAGACCACTCACTTCATACATGCTCTTCTCTCAAGACAAGAGAAAGGAAATTTTGCAAGCCAATCCAGAATTGAAGGTGACCGAAGTTGCCAAACAAGTGGGTGCTATGTGGAAGGAAATGTCTGAAGAGGAAAAGAAGCCATACAACGACAAAGCTGCAAAGCTGAAGAAGGAATACGAGGTCGAAAAGGCCAAGTATGATTCCACTCATGGCGACTCCTCAAGCAAATCACCTGCCAAGAAGAAAAAGAAGGCTGAATCAGAGGACGAGTCTGAATCAGAGGAGGAGGAATCTGACAGCGAATAAGCCAACGAACCAATAACTTATTTTGTGTAACCTAGTTTCAAACCTAAATTAAACCCTAAGTGTAGATATTGACCTGATCATTTCTTGCTCCTTTGTTTTCCGAGTGGCTTGTTGTGATCTGCAAAGCTAGGCTTTCGAGAGATGATGATGATCTTGCATTTGTTAAGGAAGGTGAACATTTCCTTGTTTGATGATGTTGTAACTCGTTCATTTATTTCATAAGCCGAATGAAATCTTCAACAGAAATCTTTCCGTCTTTATCCTTGTCTGCCATATTCATTACTTGCTGCACCTGGGCGTCGCTGATGTCTTCTCCGAGTTTATGCAACATTTCCTTCACTACAACAATTTCCCGAGTGAGTCATTATTATTGTCATGAAATTACAAGTTATAGCAATGTCAGTGATGAGCCTTTGAAACAACTTACAGTCTTCCACTCCAATAAATCCATCACCATCGGAGTCGAATAATTTGAATGAAGCTCTTAATGATTCCTCGCCGTTATCACTCGAACAAAACATAATCTTTAAAAAGGCATGAAAATCAACGTTCTCTCCAATACCCATTTCAACAAGCAAGTCATGAAGGTCAGCCTCATTCATGGACGCTCCCAAATCCTTCATCACCATCATAATTTCTGCTGTTTCAATCACTCCATCTCCGTTCTTGTCATACATTCTAAAGGCTTTACGATAAATTTCTAATTGTTCGGGAGGAAGCCTTGATTCAAGCTCTTCAATGCTTACTTCTGTTGGCCTTAACATTTTTTTGAATCTTGAACTCACCGTGTTCGAGATTCTCTTACAGGAGAGGCTATTTTCAAGACCACAAAAGATTCCTTATGAGCTTTAAACAGTTCTTGCCAGTATGACATTCCTCATGTGTATCATCATCATCCTGATATTCATTTATCTTCTTTTTCATCATCACCATCGCGGATTGCCTTTGAATCCAATCGTTTTCATCTTGTTTCGTTGGCGGTCGGATATTACTTCTTCACGAACAAGCACACGTACAAAAAAAATATGTTGTCCGACTCCGGAGCAGTCTCGGAACTTGACTCGGCAGCGAACCATGATGATGACGGAGAGACAACAAGGATGATGAGAAGGATGCATACGGAACGACACAATGATTCATCGTTGGATGGCATTGCAAAAGAAGAGGAGAAAGAGAACTTTTCTGAATTTCAAAATAATAGCCTCCTTTCAGACAGCTCTGAACTGGAGTTTTCATACTTTCCAGTTCCGAATTTCGCAAAATACTTTTCGTTGGATGATTTCAGAGATGACGAAAGGAATACCGAAAAAATTGAAAGTTTCATCCATAGTGTTGCATTTTGGGAGGGACGGTTTGCTAATACAAATGGAGTTGGATTGAATAGCGCAACAGGATTGACTTATGATGGTAGGATTAATTTTTGAATGTCACTCTGAGTGTTTGGAAATTAACAAGTTTTTTCGCATGCCGATTCAAAATGTACTTTATGAAATTGGCTGAAATAGGACATCAAATTGATCATAGCACATCCGATATTCATGACCCAGTAAGTGGTGCTATTGTACGTGTGACACATTTTAATATTTCTTGATGGCTCCGTCACACATAGTTACATGATTTTTCTTCGCCAGCAAAAGAGGCCCTTCACTTAAATATGATTGCATTGGCTTTGGATGGAAATTCAACTGCTAGAATATTCTTTGAAAATTCACACAATTCAATAATTGAAAAACTTGTTAATGAGAATGGAAAAAGATTGCTCACAGAATCTTCAATAACGCCCTCAAAATTACACTTATCAAAAGACACCGAAAGCTACTTGCTAGGCCTTTTAGAACGGAAGTTTGATAGCTATGAAATGTTTGATAAGAGATATCCTGGCTTTGGTTCGTTATTACCGTGGTTTAGAGTTAAAGACGATGGAGCTGAGCCCCAGCCAGACTGGGCAAGCAGAATTCCCTCTCTGGACAATGGTCAATTTATTTGGTCTCTCCTTGCACTTGAATATGTGTTGGCCAACACCACTATTACTCACATCAATGAGAAGAATAGTGTGACGACACAAAACATTTTGAGAAGACATGCATTGACAACAAAAATTCAACAGAAAATTGAAAAAATCAAAAAGACGACTGTGAAGATGTTCTACCATGGAGATGGAAAAATTAGAGCAATTGCATACATACGGGATATTTATGGAGATCCTCTTGATGCCTCTAATTATAAAGGAAATGGCAAATCATTCATTAATGATCCCTATGAAGGGGAAATGATGAACGTATTTATGTCACTTTTGTGTAATTGGAAAGAATTAGGATACAATGAACATGAGGGAGAAAAAATTTGGAAATTCAAACAATCCAATTTGAGACAAGCAATTTACAAATCGAAATTATTTGGGGACATACCAGTCGAAGGAGGATACTGGTATAGTTCACATGAAAAATGGAAATACTTAGTGTTACCTTATTTAGATAGTGACATCAATCGACGAGTTTTCATGAACGGAGAGAAAGTGCGATTAATTCATTCGATTGAAAATGATATTCCAGGTTTATTTGCGAGTGTTACAAAACCAACAACTCATGGTAGATATTATCCAAAATATGCCAGTGAATGTGGAATACCATCGATTGCATGCCAGAAAATTCTCTTTCAAAACATTGTCACTCCATATGCATCATTTCCAACAATTCTTGCTCATAGAAATGTAGGACTTGCGTGGTATTGCATGATGTTGAAAGGAAGCAAAATGCAAGGTCTATTTGGTAGCACTGAATCCATTACAGTGAATGGAAAGAAAATTTGTCCTGTTCTTACATGGGATTCTAAAATCACAACTTTGGTTGCCATTTGTGGAGGTATTTCGAAATACACTCGTGAGTTCTTGAAAAAACAAGGTCTCTATTACAAATTTATTTCTACCATTAATCGAGAATGGAGTGCAGTATTTAATGATGGGAATGAGAACAATATAGGCTCTCAATTTGTTGGTGAGGACATCCCATTCATCAAGTTGATGCCACAGAAATTTCTGCCCACAAGTCCCAGAGAGTTCGATTTTGTGAAATCGCATTCAGAGAAGAAGGAAAAGAGCAAAAAGATCAAGTAATGAGTTTCTTTTGAAAATTCAGAGAGAACAATGCACATGAACTGGTTCCAGCAACAACGTGAAGTGTTTATTGGTGTGAAGTCTGAGCTGTATCTACATAGAGCTTCCTTCGAAACTCTATGACAGGCTGGTATTTGTGGTTGTTTTTTATTGCAGTTTCTATTTCCTCAGTATACGAATTCCATATACAGACAGGAAACAGGGAAGCTTGCCACCTGCGGAACTTCTTCCTTCTTATTTGAGGTATTTGAAGTGCTGCCCTTTGTTTCGAATCATTGAAAAAACACAAGAAACGAAACTGGATTGAAACAAAGGGCAGCTCTATGGTGCTACTGCTTTGAGCTTGAGTATGTACATTGCAGTAGGTTTCTTTTTTGAGTGAGAACAAGAGACAAAATTTCGAATTCCTCTTTGTCTAGATGTATTTATTGTTTTCCAAAAATGAAAGTAGCAATTCGAAGATTAAATTTTGAAGTTAAACTTTGCATTTTTGAACGGTGTTGATCATCGATTTTGGTAACAGATGGGTTGGAACGCAGGGATGTCAGCTTAGAAATATCTCTCAAGACTAAATGCAAAGTAAAACATATTGTAACACCAGAAATATTTTACTATTTACAAATCCATTTCCAATACATCAGTTGTTTCCTTTTCATTCTTTACCACTTGTTTCTTATTTACCTTCTTGTCAGTGGTCAATTTTCCAATAAGGTCTGCATTACCCTTATTTCTAGTGAGAGCATACTCAACAGTATGAGCAACATAATTACCACAATCTCTCTTGGCAATTGGAGCGTCAAGGAGGAAGTCTGGAACTCCAAATGAATCAACCAATGAGACAGCATGTACTCTCAACTCTTCGCACAACCATTCAACCATGTTTTGAATGGCTGAGAATTTGTTTCTCTTAATGAGATCCAAAAAGTCTCCAATATTCTTCACCATGGTATGCAAGGCAAATAAATCTGCACACAACTTGAGAATGTGTTTCAATTCTGGATCAGTGACTTGCTCAATCTCGTTGATGAAATCTTGAAGAGCCACTTGCTCCACATAAGCTCTACCAAGGCGAATCAACTTTGGAAGAGATTCATTAAAGGCATGGAAGAGGCCTTGTTTCTTCTTTCTGCTATTAATCTCAACAGCACATTCTCCAAGGAGCTTGGCAGTTCTGTATTCAAAGGCTTGGAGATGGAAGTCTGAATTTCTCAAATGCTTCTTTGAGGCAAATCTGGTAATGACAGGATTACGCTTGGAGAGAAGTCCGCCAACTTCCTTTCTCAAATAACTAATGCTGTCAGCAATGACGTCACCCTTAAATTGTTTGCCGAATTGTTTCAACAAATAACCTCCCAATTGTTGAATAAGGACAGTGTTGTCACCCTCAAAGGTTTGGAACACATCATGGTCATCTCTTACAGAACCCAATCTATTGTAAGCAGAATATGCGTGACCACCACACATTTCTCTGAGTGTTTGCAAATTTTCTTGAGTGTCCCAAGACATGACTGCCTTAACACCTGCAGCGAGAGCGTGAACTTCATGCAACTCTTCATCTGAGACTTTCTCAACATGTAATCTACAGTACTTCTTAACGACCTTTCTCTTAATGAATTCATAGGCATAGCACGATGCAATGATTGGCATGAGCTTAGTCTTGTGAGACTTGTAGTCAAGAATTGGTTGTTCTGGTAAATCTTTTCCAGGTCCAAATTGACATCTTTGATTGGCATAACGGGTGGCAACCATACATGCTGCTCTTCTAGCACCGAGAGATCCAGCAATGAGTGTGACTCTACCAGTGATCAATTCTCCCAACACTGCTGCGAATCTTCTGTCTGGATTCTCAAAATCTGATTTGTAGGTCTTGGTTGTGAGATCAATGCCACCAAATCGATCGAGCAAATTATCATATGGAACACGAACATTGGTGAACTCGAGGAAACCATTGTCGATACCATGCAATCTGTTCACAAAGTCATAAGGAACATTTGATTAATTGGAATGAATGAATTAACGGAATCATATGTTACAAATAATAATAATAATAATAAGGTGATCCATGGTTACATCAATTATGAACGAACAACAATTTACATACCCAATCTTGTCACCGCAGTCTCCAGCAATGACACCTGGCATTAATTTTCCAGTCTCTTGATCTCTAATTGGGCAAAGGAATGCATGAACACCATAGTCCTTACCCTTAAGGATCAGTCTAGCAAACACAGTAGCCATGACACCATGACATGCTGCATTACCAAGCCAATACTTGAGAGCACCCTTATTTGGTGTATTGAGGATGAACTCATTGGTATTTTCATCAAAAGTGGCAGTAGTTTGAAGTTGTCGAACATTGGATCCGTGTTCAATCTCAGTCATGGCGAACATACCAGGCAATTCCAAATTTTCAGCTCTCTTCAAATACTTGTCATGATGTTTCTTGGTTCCCAGGTTGAGAATACTTCCTGTGAATAAGACCAATTGAACTCCCATCTTTACATTGGAAGAAGTTTCAATCAAATTAGTGCCTTCAAGTCGAGCCAAAAGACCCTCTGGATCTTTCTTAATTTCGGAGATACGGAAGAGTCCTGATTTACACAAATAAGCCACTTGTTGCAATGTAACCTCTCTTGCCTCTTCCTTTGGCATGTTGGTTGTCTTTTTGAGCAAGAGTGGATTGTCAAGGAATTTGTGAATCGCTCTCTTATCTCTTCCTCCATTCAAGAAAGCAATCATCTTCTTGACATCAAAGGTGTGAGTATAATTGTAAGAAATGCTGCTATAACGATCATTCTCTTCATTAGGATACGTATAGGTAGCATAGGAATAAGAAGAAGAAGAACTACTTTGATTTCCGGATGGAGCTGTGCCACTGCAAGTTTGATGTTCAATCAATGAGTGGGAACTTGGTAATTCTTGATGATGATTATCCAAAGTGAATTCTGCTGCGGAGTTTGGAATCAAGTGATTCAAGTGTACATTCAAACGTCTATTGGCAGAAACAGTGTTCTTTTGCATCATGATGATAATAATTGGTGATGATATTGGTACAAGATCGGAAAGTGGAAAAACTAAACGAGGAGTAGATAATTTGAACCTTCAAGAAGAGTAGTAGTACAAGAACTAACGGTTGAACAACAACGGTTGTGTGTGGATGATTATGGAAAGAGTACAAGCGTCAGTAAAAAGGTTGGCCAAATACAATCAAAGAAGGCTTGATACAATACAGCAACAACAACAAAGGCTTGAATGGAGTTTTTTAACGATTTTTTTGCGATGATGATTTCTTTTGAAATGCATCAAGGGAACGCAACTGATGGAAGGAGAATAGGAGAAAACAGGTTGCGACAGGAGCAAATAAGGGTTGATAGAAATGCAGATTACAAAATTTTGTTTTTTGCCCAAATTTGAATTAAGGAAGAGTGCTGGAAATTCCTATTTTTGTTGGACTGTGAGCTCGATAACGTTATCAACAAGCGAAAAAAATTAAAATGAATTTTATGAAGTGCCAATTTGACAGGTAATGAAATTCAGAAACCTAGATGACACACACAGTGGATAAAGTTCTGATCTTTTATGGGATAATAATTCTCAAGAAAAAGTGTTTCACAATGATATCTACTTTTGGTTTAAGGTCGAATTTCTTCTCTCTGCAACAAGTGAAAAAGTTCGGTCCATCTACCCTCACTGACACTTACTTATGGATTAAGAGTTATTGATTTATTACAAAACAAGTTGTAGTCGACAACACTTATGCGTTGATGCCCTTCAAAATAGAATCTGTCACACTGGAAATGGATTGAAGTGTTGATCTGATGGTAGAGTCCCAAACTTGCAAGTTCTCTGATCCACTTTCAAAGTAGATAATATTATCAATTTGGTCAATTGATCCAGGCATACGTTCTTCAGAAATCATCTTTGAAGCAATCTTTTCAGCTTCAGCAGCAGAAATTCTGAGCAATGTTCCCAATTCATCGAATGTAATATTGTTATAGATTTTGCTTGCAGCTAATAAATTATGTTCAATGATAGAGCTTTCTAGAGTGGTCTTTCCTTGAGCGTCAGTAGCCTTGTGGTGCTCCTTCAAGTGCTTTTCAATTGCTTTCACTTCGTGAGGACGAAGAATTCTACCCAAAAACATCTTTTCCAAAGCAGAAAATAATTCTAAATGAGCACAACGTTCATCTCTGAAAAGTGTTGCCAAAACACGAGAACGATCAGGACCTGCCTTTGCCAAAATTGCACAAACAGCGGCATTGTTCAAGACAGCCAATTGTTCTTCCTCAATGACTAAGCTGCTTGTTTTATAGTAACGACGAGCTGCGGTCAAAAAATCTCTCTTCAAATCAGAAAGTGTGGCAAAACAATAACTGTGCATGACTTGCAGGTTACGGTCACTGACTTGATCCACATAATGAGCAACCTTGTTGATGAATGTTTCAGCATAAGCACTTTCACCAGCTCCCAAATAAAGTTGAGCCACTTCCAAACTCAAAGCTACACCAGCATTTGTGTCATTTTGTAAAACAGCGTCAAAATCAATTGGTGTAAGTTGTTGTGCTGCTTTCACAAAATCTTGATCGACCTCTCTGATATCTCTTGAAAGTTGCTTTCTGATGGTAATGTTAGCATCAAAGAATGTAGAGTTTGCCAATGGTCTAATGAGTTCAATAGTCTCTTCAGCAATCTTCATTCTTAACTTTGGATCCTCGACTGTTGAAATTTCATTGGCGTAGGCATCCATTGCTTGTCTGCTGACAATGGTTGGAATATTGCTGTCAGAGACTGATGATCAAAATTGACAATATCAAATTGAAACATATTTTGTGAATGTTGTTGTCAGATGAATTATACATATCAATCACGAACGGAGCGATCAGTACAGGTTTGAAATACATTGAATTTGTAAAACCGTGTTGTTGTTACGTATGAGTAAATGATGATCATCAAACGACAGAGAGAGCAGCATATTTTAAATTCCAGATCGTATCATCATCACCATAATAAAAGTCATCATCAAAATACGGAAAGATCAACAAATAATTCGTCCATAAAAATATTACATTGGATCTACACATGCAAATCATCACCTCCCATTACTTACTGTGCTTTACCAAGTCAATCAAGCCTTGTTTATCACCCTTGCTGACCTTTTCCTTGATGTACTTTTGATACTCGGCTACACGCTTCTCAGTATCGGTGATGGAGGCAATGGTTGAAAGACTGCTCATTTTTGTTTGTGGTGGAAATGTAAAAATAACCTTGCCAGTTGTTGTTGGTAACAACAAGCACGTGCTTACAAAAATTGTTCATCTTCGCCAAAGAGTCATCGTGAGTTGAAACCAAGTAGACTACTGCAAGGTCAAAAACCAGAATTGAGATCACAGAACAGGATCATCAAGAAAGCCTCATTCATAGTCCATGAAATGAAACCTGTGGATCATTAGGCTGTCTGAATTATTAAAACAAAGATTGTGATAAAGACAAGGCATTCAAAAGTTTCAAAAATTCATCTCCACAGCAACAACATGCCTCGAGTTTTTGTTACGGTCGGAACCACTCAATTCAATGACCTGATCAAGATCATGAGCAAACCCTCGGTCTTTCGTGCTTTGCATGACCATGGATACTCTCATCTCATCATGCAGATCGGAACAGGAGAGGAGCCAGAAATCAACGATGAATCGATTCCACTCGGAATGAAGGTTGAATTCTTTAGAAAGAAGGACTCCATTCAAAATGATGTTCAACAGGCAGATCTAATTATTAGTCATGCCGGCTCGGGAAGTTTATTTGAGTCACTTCGAATGGGAAAGAAGATTATTGCTGTTCCGAATGAAAGTCTTATGGACAACCATCAAACGGAATTGGCTAATGCATTAGGACAGGATGGCAACGTCATTTCAGCCCGAATCCACAACTTGGAGCAATTAATTGTGGAACAAGGTGATGAATTATTCACACAAAGACTCCAACAACTGAAACCAATGAAAAAAGCAAATACAAAGGCCTTCGCAGATGTGGTCGATGAGGAAATGATGAATTAAAGGAATTGGAGTGTGTTGCTGCTGCTTCACAAAAAGTCGTTTGTTGGAGAGAAGAAATTCAAAGATGAATACAGACCAACATCAGAACCCACAACAATGACAATAATTCCCATATGTTTTATTATTTAATAATTATTATATCATACGAGATCATGGGTGGAAGAGAAGAAATGAAATTGGATGAATACAGCTGTTTGGTATTGTTACGTACAATAAATGATGAAGAAATGTTGGAGAGAACTCTCGTAATATATATGATTGAGACGATGAATGAGATCGACCAACTTGTGTTAATCTTGAGCCCATGATGATGATGATTATATTTTCCATGATGACGACATTCACCTTCCAATCACAAATAAATTCTCGATAATTATTGTTTCAAAAACTGAGTATAATCATTCTTATGCTTTTCCCTAAATTCATTCAGACGTTTCTGATATCTAGATTCAAATTGATGAATTGGCAAATCAGCGTCTTTACGGTATGGGTTATGTTCATAATACACCCACAGATTAAATGCTCTATCAAATTCCGCATTATTGATTGAATTTACTCCGAAATATGGAGCTCCAAAGTATTTAGCAGCACTACGTGCAGTCAAGAAGGCCATGGCACCAACAAAAATTCCGGTCAGTGGTTGGTATGATCTTTGATAGGCGAAAATACATGAACCAATACCAGCTAAAGCAGCACCTTTCACTGAGAATGATTCCAATCCTCTTCTCTTTTGATGATATTCAGAAAATTCAGGTACTTGAGCACCGAATTGGTCTTCAAGTTTGCGCTTCTGCGAGAAAGAGAGTCCGGGTCTTGGTAATGTGGACATATTTTTTAAAATAAAATTATCAAAAGAATTAAATATGCACGAACAACAACACGCCTTGATGTCAAGATGCTCATTCTTTAAAGACTGAGTAGTAATTAATAAGAAATCAAAGAATGAACAGAATAGATAAAGTTCAATCAAGAATACTGTTGTTACATGTATACATATAAATAATTATTATTATTAAATTATGCAGTAGATTGTGATGGGTGTCCAGGATCAACAAGCTCAGTTGTATTGTTGAACGTTCCACTGTTTTTCTGTATCAAGTTGGTAATCATAATTATACAAACGTTTAGATGTATTTTGTGTTTAAAAGAGAACCAACAAGGATGGATCTTTTTGACAAGCTTGGACAATTTCTTCTCTTGTTAACTTTCCATCTCCATTACTGTCTGCAATTTTTAATAAATTCTCAATACGAGTATTGATGGTTCTTTCAATATCTGGTGAATTGACATTCATACCCTTAGCTTTAAACATGTTTCTCAAACTATCTCTCATTTCCTCAGCAGTGACAAAACTATGTGGATTCAATCAGTGAGAATCAGAAATAAAAGAACATGAATGGAGTGAGCGATGCATTAGAATGCAATTGACATTAAAGATTGGTTACATACCCATCATTGTCTTCATCATACATGTCAAATGCCAAATCAATCAATTCATGGAATTGAAGTGGTTGAGTGGTTGGAGCAGTTATTGATTGGAAGAAGAGAAATTCTTTAAACTAGATACTTGCGAAAATCATAACGTTTCGATCCGTTCGCGTCATGACATTAAAGCAATTCCATTCATTGAAAACATCGTTAAAGGAGGGTGTGTCACGTGTCAATGATGAAAAGTTTTCAAACGTTTCCATATGGCCAGACCATAAATGTCATGTTCATGGTTTCATCACCAATGCCACCACCACCATCAACAATAATAATACATCATCATCATCAACAACAACAACATTCCATTTTCGTCATGATTTGTCATTAAGAATTATACGAACACCCAAATGTTTGAACCATTCCACTCATCATCATGATCATCATTTCAAACAATCACTTACAGTAATCGTTCCATCCTTGTTGGCATCCATAGCACGGAACAAGTATTCAACATCGGCATCTGGTGGAGCACTTGGAAGTGCAATTTGAGCAAATTTGGAGAAACCTTCTCTCGTCATGTTGCCATCAGGGAACAATTCATGCCTATTGATGATCATGATGGTTCATCAAAAGAGAGAATGAATTTATGGTCATGATGATGACGATGACAATAATCGTTCATCAATTGAATCCGTACGGATTTAAAACAAATTTCACACACAATTTTTGAACATTAGGATTTCACAAAGTGGAAAATTCAAATACGTACCAGAATTTGAAATATCTTTGAATGTCCTTCTTGGTGAGACGATTTTTCGTTTGCTCTTGATAGAGCTTCATTTCATCCTTGCTAATGCCGTTGCCCATTTTGTTGATCTGTTGTTATTTTTTTTATTGCTTGATTTGACAACTGAAATGTCACATGCCAAGCTCTTGTCCACTCTGTGACTGATAGGAAAACTGCAAGGAACTATCACGGATGCCTTTTTGGTTCAAACGTATAATCATTCCCTCAAACAATAATTCAATCACAAACATCACCATTTATCTACCTTAAATTTAAAGACAAAAGCCACTTGGGCAACCGTTCTTGTCTCTTGCATATTGTCTTTTGCAGTGTGACTTGACATTTCATTGATGATGAACAAAACCCACCGTAAAATCTCATTCTGTGCACATACTCAATGATGCTGTCATGCGTGAAATCAAAGAGAGAGTGCTCAAGCTTTCCCAAAAACATTAAAAATATCAACACCACCACATTAACAATGCCTCTCGCCAATCGACACACGACAAGCTCTGAAAACACCTCCGATCATCGTGATGATGACAACGACGATGAATTCGAGCGGTTGTTGCTTGATGACATCACTCCTTCTCAACATCATCATCACTTGAAGTCTGAAACCAATCCTTCTTCAAGATTACATCATTTAAGAAATAGTTGTTATCCTCCTTCTCCGAATCGAACCACAACAACAAGAGCATCCTCTGTCAGGACAAGCTTGCGTCATGATCGTTGTCATGATCGCCATCAACATCTTGAAAATGACAATGAAGAGTCCACTTGTGTGTTTTTACAACAACAACAACAGCACTCGTCGAATCAAAAAGAAAAGCATCAGCAGTATGATGATGACCATGACGACCACTCTTTTGACAAGTTCAAGATCTTGTTGTCTCATCACATGTTTTGTTGTTGTGATTTCATCCCATCGTCCTTGTTGTTTCAAAGATTGCATCGAGCTTTCAAAAGAAAGAGGACTAGTTGTTGTTCTTTGCAAAGAAATATCGATTCGGAAAACAAATTCATTTCCTTGCTGCTATTGGGCATTCTCACATTAGTTGCGATTGTCTTTTTGTGTTTGGGATTTTTGGTGGCATTGAGTGTGAGTGGACATTTGAGTTTTGGAAAAGTGAACTATACCGTGTGGCAATCCTCTAATTATTTAATTCATAATGGATCTTCTTCTCATCATCGATCTCATCGAACGAAATCGGTGAAAGATTGGCCTCATGAAGCTCGAGCTCTCAAAGAATGGTTATTGCAAAATTGGAAACTTATTTTGGAAACTCCTCAATATGGAAAGTTGAACGAATCTCAATTGGATTTAATTGTGTTTCGAATGGATTATTCAAGTTTTCTTAAACCGGTTCAATTGAATTCAGAAACGATTGCAAAATCGCTCGAACAACTTCAAATGAATTTACCAGAACTATCCTTTCGAATTCATGTCGTCGATTCGGCCATTTCCGATCACCTTAGCCAAACATTGAGCCATTTACTGGAATCGTATGGAAATTCATGGCTCATGGCCATCACTCATGAGGACATTCCATTGTTTATTCCTTCGATTTTTTATCCACTGAATAGTCTCATTTCACATCAAGTGTTAACTTTAATCATGTACAATAGATATCAAGTCGAGCCCATGTCTCAAACAAGAATTCCCAAATCATTTAAGGAACGATTCGAAATGAGTACAAATTTTTGGTTTGAACTCATTGAAAACGAAATTTATGAATTGGAGAAAGTTTCGACACATTTGGTGCGACTCGAGCAATATTCACAACAAGTGAAGAATATGCTTTCACATGATTCGAATGCACAATCGTATCGCCAAATTATGGAACTACTTAGCCATAAAATGCTGAACGCAGAAGGTAAATGTACTGCCATGGCATTGGCATTACCAAAAAAGGTAAAAGAACAAGACCCTTCTCTAGATTATTCAAAATTTTTACAACGTCATAAGGGAATATTTGCTCCATTGATACCACTCTTCATTACCAATGATCAAACCATGTATTTTCGAGGAGATTTAATCTTTAAGAAAGTCGTTTATTTGGAAAATTCGGAATTTATGGACTTGATTGCAAAATATTATTGCTATCAATTTTATCGAATGCCGAAAAAGGACCGTGAGGATCAACATGCGATTACCAATATCGATGTTGATAAAGGAGAGACCACCATTGAGACAAGTGATGGAATGAAACACATGGTCGAATTGTTCACCTATCGACCTTTGAAAAAAACGCCAAAAATCATTCACTTGGCCATTCAACTCGGAGGAAATCATCCCAATGCTCGACACAATTTAAATTTAGATTCGTACGCCATGAAATTGGCTCAATATCTTTCAGAAATTGTCTCTTCCTTCAAAGTGACTGTGATTTATTGTGGAAAAAACTCGAAACTCTTTCGATATTTACAATCGTTTTCACATCAAGTCCATAAGGTCATACAAGTCACATCAAAGAAAGACTATGAAACACTTCTCAAAGAAGATTCCATTTCCATGGTCCATGCTTTTTACTCTCTGTATGGAATTAAGATTTGCCACAAGTTGAACATTCCATTCATTCAAACACTCAACACTCCCTATCAATTTCTCTTTGATGATCCAAAACGATTGAAACAATTCCGTAGAATGGACCCATTCACCTCTCTCTATATTGCCATGTCGGGTGATGTCGCTCAATTCTCAGACTTGTCACTTGGATTGAATATTGGAAAAATGTTGATCTTAAGGCAGGGACTCGAACCTCAGCCTCTCGAGAATTGTCAACGATTTTCTTATCTATTGCCGACTGAGCGCAAACACGTGTGGAATCAATGGGTGGAACCTCTCACGAAACAACACATGCTTCATGAACTCGATCGAGTGGTGGTGCTCACTCAAGTCGATACTCATGTGACACCTGCTTCGGGACATCATTTATCGATCCGAGCTTTGGTAGAGTTGAAAAAGAGACTCCGTGAGGATCCATTGCAATTTCTTAATGTACATCCAGTGTTGTTATTGGTGGGAGAATTTCAGGATCCTCAGTGGCGTTCACATTTACAAGAATTAGTGAAACAGAATGATCTTTCGAAAGAAGTCTTTTTTTTGGAGGATCGTTCCACCATTCAAAAATTATATTGTCATCTCTTTGCGATGAGTGATGTCATGTTGCATCCAAATCTATTGGAAGGATGGTCCTCTTTCGTTGCACAAAGTGTTTACATGAAGAAAGATTTAGTGTCGACAGTGATGGGAGGATCTTTGGAAATTATTTCACAGTTTAAGGGTTTGACAACGATTGAAAAATTTGTCGATCCACCTCATCCCATTCTCATGAGTTTATTGAACACCAATGAGAATCAACCTCTGCTGTCAGATGTCAAAAGTGAAGATGCAAAGACTCCATCCATGCTTGAAAAAATATATCCAGAATTTTGTAAACATTTTGCAGAGATCATTCACGAAGTCTTGTCGACTCGTAAGTCCATTGGTCACATGCCGTCGTATGATGATCGGAGAAGTGAGGATATGTTTGTGTCGCATTCACATCGAGGATATAAAAGATTATATGAAATGATTGATACGTTTGGAATTTCTGAAACGAATATTCCATTTTTGATTAAGAAATTGTTTCGAAGAGGATATCAATAGAAAGTTCTTGTGAATCATTATTTGAATTTTATTGAAATGAGAAGAAGTGCTGTCAACATGAATATTATTATTTGTGAAAAGCAATTTGAGAATGAAGATTTAATATTTTTACAATTAATCTTATTGGATTTGTGATATTTTAATTGATTTGTGAAACTACAAATAACTTGAGAAAATATGTTATAGGAAATTCACAATTCCTAAAATGGTAATAACCAAACACAACAGTGGCCACACAAAAGTCACATTCTTTCCGAATGTATTACCTGATGATGTAGACACTGCTCTCGTATCTGTATCATTCATATATTGATCAATTTCTATTAAGGATGAATCAGATAATGCATTAATATCCAATTTGGCATCTGTCGTCACACCATTCGCATTGGTCACCAAAGCAATTGGAGAATCAATATCTAACAGCATGTCACACTTCAATCCCTTCCAACTATTTGCAAATCTCTGAGCTAAGAAGGTGAACAAGTTATTCGCAACGTCTGGATTTGGAGATGTTGCATTCACAGTGAATGGTTTGTCCAACAAAATTCGAAAGGTTCCAACAAGTCCAAAATGGAAACAATACAAACGAGTCGATGCGAAACTCATGGATGGTGCATGAGGTTGAAAGACTGCTTCCCGATATAAATTCAACTTTTTAAGGGAAGCCTTATCTCCGCTCGTTCGGACCATTGGATTTCCCCGCGGAATTAGTGCGACTGGAGGTTTCTGTTGGAGAGTAGCTTGAATTTCATTCAAAGCCAAAGCAGCAGCCAATGTCCCATTATTGGCCAAATCAGGAACTTTATATGGAGTGCAACCAAGAGCTTGATCTAAAGAAATGGATAACAATCGATTGTCAGAACCATTCACAATGGTAGTAACAGAAGTTCTTGTTCCTAAAGCTTTCACATTCGCCTCAGTATTCTGAGCCGTTTTTCCATCTTTGGTCAATAAATAAGAAGTGACCACATTATCTGATTGATCCATATCGACCAATCCAAAATCTCTCACAGTCATGCAAGGTTTTCCATCTTTGGCAGTTCCCAATGGTGGCAATGGAGGAACAAGTTTTCCTTGTTGATAGGCTTTCGAAGTTTTCAGAGCATGGAAAAACTCTTTCGCGTTGCATGCAGCAAACTGTCCAAACACATCACCATTTCCTAATCCATTCACACAATTTCCCTGACTCAATGACACATTATTCTTTGCGAGAAGAGTAAGTGTATCGGCATTGGTACCAAACCACAAACCCACCACGGCATCACTTGGGAGGGATTTTAGAGGCGTGGGTGGAATGGCAGGTGCTGTAGAACTTTCTGAAATGACCAGTGGGTTGTACACAAAAAGTTGACCTGTGGAGGGAACAAAGATCACTCCCTCGACAAAGGCTTGTTGATCTGGATTGGACATGAGACAGTCTCCATCAGCTGGGTTTAGTGCTCGTAACAGATAGGGAGTAATGAGACCTTTCAGGGTGAGAGGATTCTCTGGAACGATGAGAGCACAATTCTTGTTGACAGTTGCACCGTAAATGGAGGAGAGAATCAAAAGGAGGAAAAGGAGAACAACGTGAGTACTTGTTGTGAAAGGTTGAGAGGACATGATTGTGGAACGAATCGTTTTCTTTTTTTTTGTGTTTGAGAAGGATAAGGATTCGGGGATTCAATTTCGTCTTTAATGTGTTGGAGATGAATGATTTTGCATCCTTTTGACGACATAAGAATGCCATAAATGGTCAAAGATAGCTCATTGAGGAAAATGGATGTTAACAATTAAATAATTCTCGTGTTGCTTGAAGAGAAAGTTGAGCTATGAAGCTCATGTTGCTTGATTTGACAGTGGTGCTGCATTTGTGGTAAATGATTGTCACTAATCTTCAAGAGATTTCACGCATGAAAAAACAGATGTCTCAAATTACCCCTAAGCGTTTACTCTTTGACGGCTGGAAACTACAATAATGAGTTCTCCAATCTGACCATTTACCAGTCGACTACACGATAATCCTTGAACAGTTTTCCATATTCAAACGATCCTGAAAGAATGGGATGTAAAATTCTACAGGCAGCATCTTGCGCAGTCAATGGTGGCTCTTTGAAAGTGCTGATGGCAGATGAAACCCATCCAGTATCGACACTGTTCATGAGCACACCAAATTTTGCATAGAAATTTGCACCTGAACGCGTCAACATGTTAAGCGAGGCTTTTGACATGTTCGTGTGGATGTGACAGTCTGTTTTTCCAGTAGCCGAAAATTGGCCTTCATGAGAAGTAACATTGATAATAAATGAATACATGGTAAGAGGATCATTAAAATCAATGTCATTAGTACATTTGGGTTTCAACACATCTGTTAGCTGAGAAATCAATATTGTTGGAGCAATATTGTTAATCATTTGACATTCCAAAATTTCGACACTACTAATCTCTGGCAATTTCATATTCCAAGAATTGAGAGTACGAGTGTCTAATGGTTCTCCCCATTTATCCTTGTCATTCATTGAGGGTTTATGCTCAATGTCTTCAGGTAAACGTTCTTCGAGAGTAATTCTGAGTGTATCATTCACTAAATTGGAGGTCAATTGTTGTATCTCAGTTATTGAAGAGGTATCATTCTTCTTGTCGATGGTAGCTGTCGATAACGGCAAAGGTTTATCTGCATTTTGTTTCTCAATTTCAACAAGTGGTTTGTAATAGGTGACAGGACGTCTTACGGTTTGTGCTGCATTATTGATCAGAATGTCTACATGTGAAAATTTAGATTTTACAAATTCTGTGAATGATATAATGGATTTACCGTCTTTGAGATTCAGAGGATAAATGATTAAATTGTCTTTCCATTTTGAATAATTAGTTTCAGCTTGGAATTTTTTTAAAGCATTGTGTGGAAAGCGAGTGGTTACTATAGTGGTTGCTCCCTTTTCTAACAATAATTTACTAGTCTCGTAGCCAATCTTTATACGCCCTCCTGTCACAATGGCCACTTTACCTTGAAGATGATTTCCATGATTCAAGATTTGCAACTTGTTCTCCCCATTAAATTTGTGACAATCTCTACAAAAGTGAATATTTTTGCTGTTGTGAGAATACTTGCCACAAATGTAGCATTTGTAGAAATGGTATCTGATTGCGTTCAAAGTAGATATTGGAAAAATTAGTATGACTACTGTCAGTTCGCAACATTTCTAATACCTACTTTTGTATGAGATGTGAATCTAAATATCCCTCCGTTATAAAAATTGCACGATGCTTGGAAAGCAAATCTGTAATATTTCTACAAAAATAGTGGACATCTTCCTGGATATGTCTAATAATACCATCAATAACGTCATCTTTGTAATTCAAAGGAGTCACTTGAATTTTCTTAAAGTTGGCTGTCCATCTTCCATCAGAGTAGTCTCCATTTTCCAGGAAATAGTCCAAAGCGTTTTTAACTCCATTCTTCAGAATGCATTCTACTAACCAGTAATCCAAGCTTTTCAATACAACAGTATAATAATTGGATTCATCCAAATCTCTACTATCTGAATAGTTGTGAAAGAAGTACATGTATGGAGCAAGGGTACCAAAACCATTCCACATCTCATCACCCATTAGTTCGTGATCATAGTTTGGTTCCCCGTCTTGTTCAATATAATTTTCAATTATGAAATTTCGAAGCCAATCAATGAAAGGTTGGATATGCAGATTATGCTGCAATGGATGCTTGAAATCAACACACAGAGTTTGAAATCCTCTTCTGGAATACTTGACAGCTCTGTCCATATACATTCCTGTTTGAATGTGTTCGCGAGCAACAAAGTTCAATCGATGTCTTAATGCTCTTAAACCCTCCAAAATTGTGAACACTTGCTGTCCATCGTAGCAAAATCTACAACAGTCAATATCAAAGAAGCACATCAACTCTTCAATGGTTTTAACCTTTCTCAATACAAACTGAATAGATAACTTGCTTTCTCTTGTACGAGCGTCTGGATATTTATTGGTAATTTCTAGTGACGTAGATAGTTTAGGTAATTCATTCATGAGTTAATTAATATATAGTTTAGGTAAATTCAAGGATAAAAGCAACAACTTACCTCTATTACCATCCGTTTTTGGTAATAAATTCAAGGTTCCATTTGTCTTCAAAAGACGATAATCCATATTCTCCCTTCTAAGTCTCTTTTCAATCTCAATCAACACTGCCTTGAGAGCATTATCGACAGTGACCTCGTTTTCACCATTGTTGATGCAGAAAATATCAATATCACAGGATCCACATTTTGTGAGTACATGTAAAATAAAGCCGCCAGCAACGACGAATTGTGTCTTATTTGAGGTCGTATGAGCTCGATTGAAATCGAATAGACATTGGAGAGTAATCCTCGCTAATGGATTCTTTCGTAGAATCTTTTGCATTCGTCTCTCGAATGAGCTCAAGGTCATTTCATAAAGGGTTTTCACATTGGGTTTTGCTCGTCTTCTTAATGAGCGTATGTCTTCTTCTTCTTCATATTCATTCTCATCGTTCTTCTCGTCCTCCTCTTGATGATCTTCTTGAAATGGAGTAACGGCTAGAGGGACATTTTCCAACATGTCCTCCATCAAGTGTTCCTTACTCTCAATCATATCGGGGATATCTGGCAGTTTGTCCATATATGCCTTCTTATACATGAGATTTCTCTTTTCAAAATAGTGGTCGTACGACATCATGACTTTCTCAGGACATGAAGGATCTGTTCGCGAAAACAATTCAATTAATCGATTTTCTCTGGGTGGCATCATGTCCTCAGAGTTAAAGTTCTTGCTACTACATGAGAAACCACAGATTTGCTTATTATGATCGGAATTGAATTGCATCGGTTGATTATTGAGATATTCCAAACGAATGTAATCCAAATGATACGACATTTCATATTGAAATATTGAAAATAGTCGTTTGCAAGAGAGAGCCAAACGATAAACATCCGGAGCGTCGGGTACATAGTAGAATATTTGAGTGATGATTTCGGGAGGTAATTTCAACAACAGAGAACCACATGGTGTTGTGAGAAGATCTTTCCGTTCACAACAAGAGACCATTTTCTTTTTTTTACAGGAAATTCAAAAATTTTACAACAAAAGGGCATTTTCTGACGTTTTAGCTCAACAAATCCCTTTGTACGAATTTCACATAAAAATCACCAAATTAGTTGGTGATTTGTTATGGATCATCTAGACTGACTTAATTTTGTGCATTCTCTTCTATTTAGTGTTGTGGATTGGAGTTGATATATCAGTTTTCTGAAATCAAAAAATGTCCACACAATCAAGCTCCAATCTTTTTTTACTGGAAGGGATCGGGAGTGGCATTCGAAAACTTGTTTGAACAACATCCCAATATTAGCGGAATCCATCAAGAGTTCATTCAAATTCATTCAAGAAGAGGGATGGTTTTTATAATCACATCTCCCGATCATAGACTGTATTGGAAAGAACAAACCGATTGCCATGGCAAGAGGGCAAATTTGAAAGTAAAGAAGAAAAAACCAAAAAGTGGTCCGATGATGTATTTTCAAATTACAAAGAAAACAAAAAGGGAGATTGTATTGGATTAGAACGAGCCTATTTTGTTGCTGCATCCTATCATCATGTACCCATTTTGACGGATAAAATTATGGATGGTGTGGTTTCTGTTCATTCAAAGATCGGTTCTTCGTCAAGTGATTATGCTGTCACAGAATTACCAAGCGGAGAAAGCTTTAGAGTACCAAGAAGACCTTCTGTAGTTGCAATTCAGATGGCCTATGATATTCCTCCCTACATGGGGGAAGATGTTATGAATTTAGAAACTTTTGAGCAAGGAAGGTCGTGTGTGCGCCCAGGAGGTATTTATTGGTTGAGAGACGTCGAGAATGCTCTTCACACTGACGAATATATCACGTACATGGCGTGTGCTGCCTATACGAGTGTATTTGTTACTAACCATGGAAGATTACTCGTGGGAGGTAAGAATTTCAAAATCATGATTGCTGTGTGAATTCCACACACATTTCTAAAATAACTTTTAAGGTTCGAACCAATTTGGAGAGATTGGCCAACCTGTCAGCACCACGAATTCCACACTCAGAATACAGGAACATCCATTCTCAAGAATACACAATAACGTAAAGATTTGTAAGGTAGTGTGTGGAGATCATTCGATTGTAGCTCTAAGTGACGAGGGCAAGATTTATGCGTGTGGTTATAATGGAAACAATGAATTATTGGTGAATTCTCATACGGATATTGTTGAAGAGTTATGTGAAAGCAAGAAGATGAATGAAATAACCGCGAACGATCCTGCCATTGATATTGCGACACAATATTATCAGGTATTGTTTCTCACAAGTATGTTATCTTGAAAATAGCATTTTATGGTGATTCAATAGGATGAATAGAAAGTGGAAGTGTCTACATTCAACAGAGGTACATCAACCTTCAAAGGTGGCCACCTTTCACACATGACGGTATTGTTTTCACAAAGGTAGCCTGTGTTGGAGCTACCAATTACAAATTCCAAGTGTGTCTAACAAATTCATTTAGAGATGTTTGTCTTGTTGATTTTCCTTTCCATGATCGACTAAATGTGGTGTTAATGGAAAAAGCAGTTCATATCGACTCAAATAAGATTCTGATGATTAATGGAGGAGAAGAAAACCGATCACCATTTTGTGTATACATGAAAACTCAATATTCTTATGCTATTGTGTTGCAAACAAAGCTTTCAGCACACCTCACAAATATTTATGGAGAGGATGGCCTCCAGGATGTGTTCTTTAATTGGATATAACTGTGAGGCTTTTGTAGACGGCGACGCCATGAGTGTAACGCTTGAAGCGAGATCAAGAGAACAACAGCTCATTCGTCAAAACGAGATTCTAGTTTTATCAACAAAATTATTCCAGGAGCAACAAAAGAACGCAATGCTTGAACAAAATATTTTCCAACTTGAAATGCGTCAGGAGTTGGTCGATGTCAAAACTCTTAGAAATGAGAATAACGATTGCTCCAGATATTATATTTGAACTTTCTAATCCCAAAATCCGATCTGTTTAAATTTCCTAAATGAACTCTTGATGTATTCCTCTAATAATGGGATGTTGTTTCAAACAAGTTTTCAAATTCCACTCCCAAGTAAAAGATTGCAAAACAACCTGTGATTGTTTGAATAATATCGGAAAGAAATATCTCCAAGTTGAGGAAATTCTGAAAGTTGATTCCATAATCGAGTTTTCATTGAGGATTCAGATCGAAATGCATCATTGAGTAAATATCTACAAAAATATAAAACAATATCGTGAGCTAACTGTTTTCCATGTGAAAAGCCATACCATGGCGTAAACATCACTTTGTATTCTTTGTGAATCAGCAAAGAAAAATGTTTTGGATGATCCACAGAACTCATCAATACATTCCATTTCTGAACATCAACCAAAGACTTTTCATCAATTCCACACATGTATGTATCTGGTGGGTTACAACAAACAGTGTTTGACTCTTCATTGAAATACTTTGCATTTTCTTGTAAGAATAATGATAGATTGGAGCTTTTTACACTCAACTCTTTGATTGCGTTAAGATTCACCTCCAACTTGCCCTGTACATAGTCGACATAACCATGATTGACATGAGGGTTCACAAATCCAAGTCGAGAAGGAACACTGGCACTGGTTCCTCTCAAAAACAACACACTGATTCGTCGTGCTTCGATTTCAGTCCGCAAAATCTGATGAAAAGATCTGCTTGAAGACATGATGGAGGGATAATCATCGTTTGACGAGTTCCAATATTGTATTCCTCCCGAGTAAAATGTAAAGATCAATAAATCATGTTTACCTCTTAAATCAAGATACGATTTTTCAAATTGACTCCATTCAATTCGATCGAGTCCACTCAGAAAGCACAAGTTCTCAGGTGTGATATCAAAGGCAAATCCTGATTTGACTTTTCTTGATGATGCATCGGTAGCCACAAAGCTTGAAAACTTTTCATACACGATTTGAATATAATGCTTTGGAACTGATGATAATTTTTTTTAAAAAAAAAATCTTATAAAAATAATGATTGATTTGAGGTGCACCACATGTGCCTCAATGGTGGTGGTTGAGAGGAGTGATTGTTGTTGAAATTGCGGAATTGCTTGTTGAAGCAAGGCTTGATTGTTGCTCTCTCTCTCTCTCGTTTATTACACGTTGATATTTTGCTTAATGGGTACCACAATATTTGCAACCGTAAATCCAACTGTTTAAGTAAGTAGGAAACCGTTAGTTGTGAATTTGTTCATTGCAATCCATTCATTCATTCATTCAATGAATCACTTGTTTCGAACACTAGTACTTACAGAACAATGCAATGCCCACCCAAAAGATTTCAAACAACAAATTTAGTCCTTCGGTGGTTTCCTTGAACACAAATGCTGCAATTCCTCTAAAAGACATTGAACCTGGACCTAACAACAATGCACCAATACCAACAACCATCATGGAAGGTTTCTTTGAGATGAGTGTGTAAATATTTCCTAAAATACCAATCAAAATTCCTCCAATAATGGTGCCAGCTTCGAGATTTTCCAACACATCTGCCAAAACAAATGCGACCATGTGAGCACATACGGTCGATAGAGTAATGTAAATAATTGAAAAGGCATGTTTGGGAACTCTTCTTGTAAAGACAATATTTAAGGCAAGGCCAATCATGATAATGAAGCGAAACCAAAGTGGAATTGGATCTCTCGAAGGTGGATTGATTTCACTGTCTCGCAAATGAGGTATGTTAATTGCAATCACATAGGTAATTAAGAATCCAAATCCAAGCTTTAAAATAACCACAAAAGAGAAGACAAAACGACAAATTCCACTCAATAAGGCACCAGTAGCAATTTCGTAACAGGCTACAGCCATCGGTTGACCCGGCAAAAATTGCCACGTCGCAGCTAAATTAATCATAGTATTAGGAATATTATGTAAACCATCCAAAATGCAATTACGTACCAAGAGAAATAAGTGAAACAGAAACTTCAAATTTGTCAATGAAAATTGCCTTCATGGCAATACCAATTAAGCCAGCAGTAATTGTGGCCACAATTTGGTTGACATTTCTGAAAAATGCAAATCGTTGACAATATAAATGTATCAAAGCAATGGCCAATCCAGCAGTAAGACAAGTGAGTAATTCCGCAACGTTTCCACTCCATAAAAGACCAAATAATCCAGGACAAATAAAATGCATGAAAATGTTGACCACAGGATGGTCATAGACATTTGGGGCTGATACAATATTTCTAATTTCTTTTCTAGCTTCATCTACCCCCAATCGTCCACGAGCAATATTTCTTGCAACAGTATCTAACTTGGTCAATTTGTCCAAATTCAACATTTGAGTTTCCACCTTCACATAATAGGTTCTGTTATCGGCTTCTCTGACTTTTTGTCCAAATGAAAACCAAATTCCAACAGGAGTAATATTAAAATAAGCATCAATTCCAAAATATGCACAAACAAGAGTAAGGTGATATTCTGTTCTGTTTGCACTAATACCGTATAAAGTCAATGCAAATCCTAAATCCAAAATTAATGATTGAACTTTAAGCTTGTCTTCTTCGCTTAATTCTGTGTACAAAACTCTACTCTCAGATCTAGTTTGTTGGAAACATTGTTTAATTTTGTCAGTCCAACTTTCTCGAACTGGCTCCTCTTCTTCTTCTTCCTCTTCCCCTTGCATATTGGCCATTTCTTTTCTGCGAGCTCTTTTGTACTTTTTCATAAACCATCCTCTTAACTTTCTCTTTTGAGATGGTAACAAAACTGGAGCATCTTTTTGCATAATTTTATCTGTAAATCCTTTGACGGATTCCCAAACGCTTTTGGTTGATTTGGCTAATAATCCGATTTTTTCATCTTCCTTTTTTTCATTTGAGGACCTGCCATGATGATGTCTGATACTTTCTACAATTGCATCACTTTCTCCAATTGGAACCAGTTGGTCAGCAACATAACCCTTCAATTCTTCATTGGTCAATACAGCCAATGCATCCAAATCAGTGGTACTGGCAAAACTTGCAATAGAGTCAATGGATGATGATGAAGTCATTCCTGCATGCATATAGAGACCTTGCTGAGGACGATATCCTTCTTCTTTTGGAAAAAAGGAACCGTTGGCATCTACATTGACAACTCCGATAATTTCATGGTCGTCACTTCCCGAATGAAAGTGCACCACATGGTGGTCATCTTCTTCATGAGTGTTTGTTGTTGCATTTTGAAATCCATGATGAGTATGGTGGTGATGAGTTGGATGCTGATAATCATCCACTTCACTGGTCATTCGATGATGATGTTGATGATTGTCTGAATCAATTTTCATTTGATTAGGAGATGAATTATTCCCAAATACCTTTTCATCATCATGGTCGTCGCGAGTTGCTGTATGAATTTCAACTTCGTCCTCATCCAATTCTGTGACATTGGCAAAATTATGAAAATGAGAATGATGAGGATGTGGACTGTGTGGTGTCTCCTTACTTCCAGAAAAGGAAAATGTGATGTTGGAATTTACAGGGCTGGGTGTATTCTGTTGGTGATGGTGATGTTGTTGCTGAACGGAAGTATGGATCGGATTGATGAGATTGGGGGTCGTGGCGGAAGATGTCTTTGAAGATGTTGTTGAACTTTGCTCGTTTGTGATTGGCGTACGGGCAGATGAGCCCGAATGGTGCTGGTGCTGGTTACTATTGCTTGCTGTATGGACATTTGAGGTGTTCACCTGTGGAGAATGATGAGGATGATTGTTACTCATTTTTTTTTGTAAATTGCTCCGTACCTGCTTTCCGCAGTACAACAATGGTCATGTAGACTTTTTTGGAGGTAATCAGGAATTGCATGATAATTACGTCATTGGTTGACTTTGTGGACATAGAGAGGTTTTACTTTCATGTTCTTGGTTTAAGTGATTTTCTAAACGTTGTCATTGAGATATTAGTCACTTTTGAGGTGATGTTCGGAATAATTGGATGAGGATCAAATTTGTTGAACAATAATAAATATAAAAGAATGTTTATGAAGTCGTTATGACGACGTATTGTCTAACGCCTGCAAAATGAAAGATTTAAGGTTATGGTTGTGAATCTCCTGTTGGATAGCCTGCTTGGAAAGACGTGTAGAGTTATCCAATAGTGATTTCAAAATACCCATCTTTTAGAACTGTCAACTTGAAAATAGATGTGTAAAAGTAATTTAACCGATATATAGATCTTTCAAAATGTTGTTTTCTCAATTAGGAACATTCAAAATATTTCTTCAAATCCAGTTAAGGAGACTCCTTTTGCCACCTCCTGCAAGAACCTGCCTCAAGTCACTTCTTACTCCCTTCTCATGGCATCATCAGTTGTGATAGAATTGATTTCTTTTTACAAAGTTCTCTCTCCATTGGACATGCCTTGTCGGAGATTGGAATCTTTACTGAAACAGAAATTTTCTTTACAACAAGAAGGAAAGAAGAAGTGGCTATTGAACGGAGAAATTCTATACAGAGATTTCATTCCAATCGAGTTCATGAATGACAAGGAAATTGTATGGAATCACATCAAAAAGTATGGTTATGGATTACAATTTGCATCATCGGAACTGAAAGATGATCGAGAGTGGATATCGAACATGATTGAAATGCATTGATTTGTTTTATGCCAGTGACAATCTTCGCAATGACAAGGAATTGGTATTGGAAGCTATCAAACACAATGAAAATGCACTCGAAGATGCTTCATTCTCACTTCAAAGGGATAAAAACTTTGTATTGGAAGCCATTCGATGGAACGAAAAATGTTTATGTTGTGCTGCCTATGAATTTCTGAAAGACAGTGAATTCGTCTTTGAAGCAATCAAACAAAATAAGAAAGCACTTCGATGGGTACCATGTGAATTACTCACAAATGAAGCTTTTATGTTAAAAGTCATCAAATTCATATTTCCAGAATTCCATCATTTGGATTCTTTTGAACATGCCAACAAAGAAATCATGATGAAACTTGTGAATGAATTTGGATTTTTGTTGATATTTGCGAGTGATGAGCTCAAGAATGATCGAGACATTGTTTCGACTGCAATCAGAAATGATGGTCTGGCTTTTGCTTTTGCCTCTCATAACTTGTCAAGCTTGGATGTAGAGACATTTTCAGATATGTACCAGAAGAAATTATTGAGGACAGAGAGTTTGTTTTAAAAGCCACCAAACTCAATGCTTTTGCTTAATAATAGGAATAGATTTACCATATAACGATCCACCATTTTTCAATGATAAAGAAATCGTGTTAGAAGTAGTGAAAAACGATGGATTTGCATTGAAGTATGCGAGTAATGAATTGAGAAAAGATCGTGGATTGGTGATGGAAGCAGTGAAGAGTAATGGATATGCATTATTTTACGCGAGTGAAGAATTGCAAAATAATCATGAATTGGTGATGCAATGGATATAGTGATGAATTATTACATGAAAGAATGGAACAATGTTATTTTGGAGCTTATTTGGGGAAAATATATGAACGAGAATCAACAACAAATTGACAACCATTCGTTGTCACTGTGAGCATTTGGTTCGTCAACACAACAGTGCAATCCATGTCAATATGATGGATTTCTCGATTTCGCCTTCTTCTTAATGAAGACCTGAAAAATTCCCTTATATACTGATCTCGCATGAACGGATCTCTTTGCGAATATATCGAACGAACATAACGAATAAAGATGATTTGTTGGATTGTTGCAAAAAATTCACACTTCTTCCATTCATCATCATCATCGCGGTGTGATCATGCGCTCTCGATTAGGATCTATCCATGGACCAGTTCTCTTTGAAATTTTCAAATATCTCCATTCCAAGCATTTACTCTCTTCCATTGTGTTGGTGTGTCGGGAATGGAAAGCCATTGTTTCCGAATGTGTTCTGAAATTGGAATTAAAAGAAAATGATTATCCATCATGGTTGAAAGAACAAATGAATATCTTTGGAAACCATCCGAATCCAAATAGCACGGTGATGTGTCCACAAACCACCATCTATTCTCATGTGTATCAATTAATGACATCGATCGGAGTTTTTGAAAATTTACAAGATCTTTCTCTGATTGGATATGAAGACTTGATGAGTAGTGATCTTTTGTGGCACTTGTTGGTAACTTTGAAACATTTGAAACGATTACTCCTCTCTGATTGTCATTTATTGGAAGGACAATTGGCAAGAACATTGACCTTTTCAAACGAAAGAACCAAGTCGAATCACAATGATGATGGTTTTAATAAGGAAGGAGAATATCGAGGGTTCTTTTCATCATGGTTTTCAAAAAAGAACAAAACAAATACAACCGAGACATTGGAATCGTCGTCATCTTTAGAAAAAAGTTCAAATAGACATCGACCTGTGAAATATTCAGAAAGGAATACTGTGGTATTGAAATTTGAGAGAGTACCACACAAAACTTTCATCCCACCACACTGTGTGGAACATTTAACATCCCTATGTTTATTCAAAGTACATGTACCGATTGTCTTGTATGACATCTTGATGAAAAAATTAGTGAACTTGAAAGAATTTCGAATGGTAGATTGTAATCTTACAAAATTTGAAATCTTTTCATCCTCGAATTCACTTTCACATGTTGAGATTAATCGAACTAATTGTGATAATGCAACAATTACCATCAGTGAAAAGAAGGAGAACTTGATTACACAGACTTTGGAATTTTTAGTGTTGAATAATGTGTCCATCGAGAGCAATCGTGCATGGAACTTTTTTGCAAATTGTTCAAAATTGAAGACATTGAAAATGAGAAAATATGTTTCAGTACCGACATCAAGTAATTCATCATCTACCATGACGACGACGACAAGTATTGAGAATTTATGTGTGGAGGGCATTGGAGTGGATTCCTATTTTTTCAAAGCACTGAATCAATGGACGCCAAATTTAAAGCGAATGGAAATTCTTCATTGTTCATCGTTGGTCGCTCAAGAACCATTGTTAAGTGTCATTACTGAGAATTTCAAACAACTCACGCATCTCAGAGTTGTAAATGTACGAAATTTGGCATCTTCTGACATTCATTCACACACATTAGAATATTTAGATCTTTCAAGTAATAAGGATCTACAGTGCGCCATTCATTGCAATTCTCTCAAATATTTAAATCTTGGAGGAACAGCCATTACCGATGCAGAGAAGACCAAGATTGTCATGAAGAATAGCTCTCTAGAAGAATTAAATTTACCCATGATGGATTCGAATGAAGCCATTGGAAATGCATGGACACTGGGAAAGTTAAAGCGTTTAGATTTATCCTACAATCGTAAAGTCGATGATGATCGATTGGCAGAAATATTACAATTCATGAACTTATTGGAATATTTAAATTTGAAAATGTGTAAAAATATTCACCAAGTTCCTCTCAAGAAAAACAGCAATTTGAAAACCTTACTATTGAGTGGAACTCAAATTACAGATGAATCATTAATGAAGGTCACTCTATTAACACCAGAGTTGCAAAGATTGGATATTGATTGCTGTGGAATGTTGAAAGATCCACAATTGTCTCATCTCCACAAATTATCCTCTCTGGATGTGAGTGAAAATATTTCCTTCTCTTTAAAAACCATTCTTGGTTTGGTCAAACAAATTCCCTCACTGAGGTATTATTATGCACGATGGTTTTCAAATTTGATTTCTAATTTGACAAATACGAAGGAGTTGATGGATGCATTTAGGAATTTATTATTATTGGATTTGACTGGAAGTGCTTCTTCAACATGTACAGTTCTTAATCAATTGAGGGATGAGTTTAAAGATTTGATCATTGTTTCAAAAACACCATCCTTCAGGTGTGATGTCATACCTTATCCTTTTACAGTCTTTGGAACCAAGCTGTAAATGCAATCATTTCATGACATGTGTATTCATCTGGTAGCAAAGCAAATCAAGAAATACAGAGATGGTAAAATTGTTTGTTTTTATAGCCATTTCTTCAACATTTTAAAATACAAGTAACGCATTCCTGAAAGTTGTCACCAGTAGTGGTGTAAGTATACTTGCAAAGATGTCATAAATTGGAATATTTTTTGACCATCCATAATTGTACAGAATAGTAGCAATTCAGAATATTATTACACTTCTTTCAGCAGTTCGTTTTGACTATTCTTGGCGATTGTTGAGAAAAGCGTTGCCATTTCCAAATTTGCAAAAAATGTCTCTACTCTTACAAATCCTGACCATCATTCCGGTGGTCGTCATGTTTACAACGTTGGATGCCAAGCAAGCACGTTTCTATGCTCAAACTTTTCAATTAATTACGAAACAATGGATGGGTGTGTTGAAAGTACATCGGAATGATGATGAATTGTTTTCATCATCCCGAATGAAGAAGGCTCTCATTGTTGAAGAAAATTTAAAAAGTGATCATGATGCAAAATACGTTAACAAAGACATTGAACAAATAGAACGTAATTTTAATAACATTGTGGATCGATCCATTATTGTTGGCATCAAGCAATAGAAGAGGTTCGTTGTGGATAATGAAACGCTTGCCGGAGAGTACCCAAGATGTGATTCATTCATCCAGAGGTATCGGATTATGGAGATCGTTTTTAACTTGAAGAAGAAGGCTCTGTTCGACTATTATTAAGGGAGCTTACATTTATTCAGAACATTCGAATAATCATTGTAAACAATGGACATCTTTTGCACACAGTTGACCAATACGAATGATTCATTCACCTCTAAATATCCACATAATTGTTCAGATTTCTTGTTTACTTGATTCAAGTAGCCCTATGTATTTTATCCTAGAGAGGAGATTCAGGATACATTCACCACCTGTCATTGAAATTTTCAAAAAAATTTCCAAAAAAAGTCGAATCTAAATTACTACATTTTTGGTAATTGGTTTGTTTGGCGAAAACTTTCAGTAGTCCCTCGTTCCGCAAGAGAAGAGGCGGTTTTACTTTCTCCTTGGAACGAAGAAAAAAGAGAAACAACAACAACAACAACATTGGCTCTCTTAGCATCGCCATCGTTGTTCATCCTTTCGTCATCATCATCAAATCTTATCCAAAATCCACCTACATTTGGTCCATTATTGGAATAATTCCTTCCACCTACCCTCACACTCATTCGCGCTCACCATGAAACTCCTTAACAAGACACGAAGAGGACGAAACAAGGATTTGAGTCTTTCCATCTTGTCCACACCACCATACTATTCTCCTTCTTCATCCGCATCATCAACTACTACTCCTCTCTCATCAACAACAACACCATCTTGTTCTTCAAGTGGACATACATTATTGAAGAAACGAAAGATCAAGTATGGAGTGTCGAGAGTGAGGAATAAGCTATTGCGAGATCAGGTCTTGTGGGAATTTACGGATGATCATCCACAACAAGCTCCAACAACAACAACAACTAGTACTAATACAACAACAACAACAATCTCTACCACCAACATGATGTCCTCAAACACATGTTCCTCCTCCTCCTCTTCATTCTCCCAACAAGGAGCATCCTCTTCTACTAATGCTGTGCTTCTCCCTAACCATCACTTTTCCTTCCTCTCTAACGACGATCGTCTTTCAACATCATCTTCTACATGCGAACATCAGCATCCTCTCACTACTCCATCATCCATCTCACTTCAAGAACAACTACAACAAGTATTGATTCAAGTTCTCTCACAAATGACTTTTGAGCAATTTCAAGATCGGCTCACCTTGGCAGTGAGTCAATTATTTGAAAGTTTGTTGCGGGCAAAGGAAATTCTGGAACAACGTCAAGCCATACGAATGTCAGACGAGGAGAAGGAACGATTCACTCGGGAAGTGCTCTCTTCGGAAGAGTTTCAATCCAAACTCTCCTCCATTTCATCCATCTTTCACTTTGAAAGTTTTATTAAGGAAGGGAAGGAATTGTTTATTATGGTTTCAAATGTCATTCCACAACAACGATCGGTGTATGTGGCTTCCTTTATGAAGAACCAACCTGATCAGTAAATGAGTTCATGGTTTCCATCGATTCATGATAAGTGTGTAATGTTACATTAAGGGTGAACGTCTGCCGATCACATGACGAAACATTTCTTCTTGTCTCCGTTTTCTTCGTAATGCTTGAATACCATCGAGTCGTACTTGATGATATCTTGCATTAATTTCACATAATCAATACCTCCACTTTGAATTCTTCGAACACATTATTCGAAAGGTTCGTTAACATTTTGAGCCAACTTGGCACTGGTTTGAATGATGGCAAAGTTTTTCAATTCAAAGTGTTGAGTCAACTCGAAAATCATTTCTTCCTTCACCATCTCATCTTCATTCACAAGAAATGAAGGGTCATTCAAAACATCCATCTTGTTGATGACAAAAATACATGGCACATGAGAAAGAGTGCATGTATGGTGCCATGCATGTCTGACTCGAACAATTCTTTTAATAAGGTCATGCAATTTGGAAACCGATGTCTTTCGACGGACAGCACACACAAACCATCCGTTCTTGGACAAAACAAGTCAATAAAACTAGCCATAGGAGATGAATGTAAAAAAATAGTCGTCATGGATATGAACACACACTTACGGTGCATAGTTCTCAGATCCTATTCAACCAAGTTTTTCACAATTGTTTACACAAATTATTATGTATGATTTCATTGAATTCAAAAACAAACCTATCACATCGACAATCTCTAAAGAAACTGTTCTTCCATCCACTTGAACTCCTTGTTTTCGATAGGTATCTTGAACCGTTGGATTGTATTCAGTTGGGAAGTGACCGTTCACATACTGAAGCACTACACTCGATTGTCCCGTTCCACCTTAATGAATTATTTGTCACAAGAAATTGAAAAAACAAGCTTGACGTACCTTCACCTGTCACCAATATTTTCAACCAATTCTCTTCATCTTCTTTTGTATTCTTCTGCATTCCTTGTTTCCTCAAGATTTGTCTTTTCATTTTCAATAATAAACTCACACATCGGTTTATTCCAGAGGCACTTGTGGCAATTTGTTCTTTCAATTCCTTGAGAGATTCTTCGCTTGCGGTTTGAATGGCATTTCGATGAAACACTTTCCACCAAAATTCATTGAAATAACAACCAATCAAAGAATTTATCCTTTCCTTGTGGTTGTGAAAATTTGGATAAAACATGGAATTCAAAGATTGAACGAAATTGACTTGGTGGATCATTTCTTGTAATCTTGATTCGGAACATGTGAAAATGAACGAAGTAGAATTGGAGTCATCTCTATGAATGATGAATAATTATTCAAAGAATGAATAATTCGGAAGGAAGAGAGGAAAGATTTGTCAAAGATGATGATGACGCTTGTGGTGTTTCTGGTTCATCTCCGTTATAGATGCTTTTTTGTGACATGATCTTTTTTATTGTGTTTTAAATTACAAAAATTGTTTATCAGAGGGCAATATGGGTGCGAACCAACTTGATGTTCCGCCCCTCAAAAACAACGAAAATTGTAATTAATAATAATTTACAAAATTAAGAACAACACAGGGCTGTGAATTGGAATTCATTGCCATGCTTGAGCTAAGGCATGTGAAATTTCAAATACCCGAGTCATTTGTTTCGAATGACTCAATAAATTCACAAATACTGCATCTCCAAATCTGGCACCTAACATAGGTCCCACCAACACGGGACAATAATTAGCATTTCCAGCAAATTTAAAAGAATCCTTCAAACAAGCTTCCACTAATTCTTGATCATTACTATATTTGGATGCACAGACGTGAGTGTGTAAAATGACAAAATAAAGAGCTGCTTGCATGGTAAAGGGAGAAAATCCTCCTGGTGATAACTGTAATCGCAAACGAGCAATTTCTAGAGCATCTCCTCGAAGAAAGTCTGTATTTTCAATGAGTGACTTTAAACATGTCAATAATTCTTTGGAAAGAGAACTTTTTTGAATTGGTAGTGGTGATGATGAATCCTGTCGTTCATGGTCACTTTGATTTTCTTTCAATGATGATGAATCCTGTCGTTCATTTGTTTTTTTTGGGTTGGAAAACTTTTCAATGAAATCTTTACAAATGGTCACAATGGAAAGAGTGGAATTCTTTGTGGTGGATGAACAAGATTCCAATGAACAAGAGGATGACGACGACAGGGACGATTCAATCCATCGACGACATATATAATTCTGTAATTGTGCAACTTCTACTGCATACCTCGAATGATGGGTCATGATGGTTTCCATGTGTGAAATTTCTAATAATTCATCGATCGAGGACCAACCTCGAAACATGCTCAACACGACATTCCGATGAGCTGGATTCACTCCACCTGTTTGCCCATTTAAATCTTGATCAATTTTGGCAGATTGATGGATTTTCTGCAGGTAGAGTTCTTTTGTAATGTCATCCTTATTATCGTCATTCTTTGTAAAATCATTCTGTTGAATTGCCTTATTGGGTAAAGAATGATTGTTTACGGATGATGAAGAGGACGATGAACTTTGATCGTGCACAACCACTAGTGCGGCAGATTTAAAGATTAATCTTCCAATGAGTCCAGTATCATCCCAGCCGTGTTGTTTCTGATGATACCATTCCAAATAGTCTGAAAAGATGTGATTGAGAAATGAATAGTATTCATGATGATGATGATCAAGTAAAGAGGAGGATCCTACTTCTTCGGAGGAAGTTGTTGCAACTTCTGATTCTTGTTGAGAATTTACTTGTTGAAGGTGAACAAGTTGTTTGGCAATTATCAAGGCCATGGCAATAGGCCCATGATTATGATCTCCTGCAGCGAGACCATACAACACGCCACGAACGAGTGATGAAGTCCTGTCTGTTCGTTTTGACATTTTTTGATGGAAAGAGTTCATTACTTGCTCTTTTATATCAATTGTTCGACGGTTCCAACATTGAATCCTTCGTCACCCACAGCTCCTCCTTGCTTTCCTACAGCCACAATGACAAAAGCTAATCTGATTGGAGCTCCAGAAATAAGATCGACATTGTTGGCGAAATATTTGGCACGTCTACCGTCACTCCAGTCGACACTTACTTCCATCACACCATTTCGAATAAAGCCTGAGAATTTCTTTTCAACATTGCCAGCTCTGCTGCTTCCTTTGACATTGTCACCAACAGTGATGGAATCGTCGACCTCAAGAACTGCTTCCCATCCATTGACCTCAGTGTTCGTTGGTTTACCTTGCAATTACAAGTCATGAAAAATCATCTCATCATATGCCAAATAAACTCACCTTGGAATTTTGTCCAAACTGTTTTCCCGTAAAATCTAAACTTTCTTGGAGGTAGAACAACCATCGGTGGAGGCTGCATGTAGGATAAATTTGGAGAAGGTGAATATGGAGGAGGTGGAGGCAAGAACTCTTTAAAATCATTGTTCATTGGTTGCATACCCTGAGAAGGAATCATTAATTGTTGTATTTGCATTTGTTGCTGTTGAAGGATCTTTTCTTGTTGCAACAATTGTTCTTTCATTTGCTGTACTTGTTGTAGAAGTGCTTCCTTTTGCTTTACCAATTGAACATTTTGCTCCTTTTGGCTTTGCAATTCCTGAGTGGTAATATCTAATTTCCTTGTAACAGCCTCAATATCTCTTTGAAGCTGGAGATTGTCAGCTGAAAGTAATTCATTGACCTTAACATAATTACTGTGGTCTCCTGCAAAAGTCGCAATATAATTTTTGACAATTTCCTTTTCGAATAAACAATCATTAGCAAGATGAGTCTCCAAATCAAGAGCAGTGCCATCAAAATTACATCCAAATTTGAAATTGGGACATTGTACCTTTCTTCCTTTACATTCCTTCTCAACATGATTCCAATAGTTACATCTCTTCACCACTTGATCCGAGCAACCTCTCTCTGCATTTGGACACTTTACTTCCAGATTGTTTACAAGACGATTGACAACTGAATTGAACACAAATCCCTCTTCAAGAGATGACACTGCCACTCGGCACTTGGGACAATTTTTATATTCCTTCACCCATTGAGCCAAACAAGAATAACAAAACAAGGCATTACATTTCAAGCACTCACGATTGTTCTCAATGTAATCCAAACAAATCCCGCACTGCAAGGTTGATCCTAACTCCTCCATCACTCCTTTTGAAGAGAGAAGTACACCTTCCTTCGGAACTAAACGCACGGAAGGATAAATTGGCGTTGTTGCGGTTGTACAACTCATTTTTTTTTAATTGTTAATATTTGAACTTGGGCTGTAAAGGAGAGAAGGCGGTAAAGTGCATTTCAAGAACTGTCATTTGGCTGTCAAACATTACATGCAATCATATCTTTGGATTGACTCAAAATCAAATCGCAATTCATTGACAACTCCACATGTTCTGGCTTCACTTCCTCTCAACGTTTTTAAAGTTGAGGACAGAAATATGAGGAGCGAGTTCATACTTGTACTTGGGATCACTCCATCCAGAGTTATAAAATTCATTGGCTTCAATCTTTTTGAAAATAATCAAATCAATAATTGTCTCTTGTCTGGCAATTTCAGTGGCTGGCCAACTCAATAAATCGAATTGAATATTGTATGGATTTAGAATACCCTTGCTTGAAAAAACAATTTCTCCAAAAGAGAAAATTTCAAATTTTATCTAATAACTGTTCCTATCCCCTCTCGATCATTTGACTTCAAAAACGACTATTCAACCAATTCAATAGTCCGGAATGTGATGATGGTTGGAAATTAAATTTTATGGCCTTAACATCTCTTTTAATGTAAGAGAGAGTTCTTGATGGAACAAAATCAATAATTTGAGCATGCAAACAAAGAAACCTTGATAGAATTTGTTAAAGAATTTGATTTCTTGTTGCAATTTGCATCAGAAGAACTTAAAAATGATCGAGACCTTGTTTTGAAGGCTATGACCATTGATAAGCAGTCTTTTCGTTATGCCTCTCATGATTTGCAGAAAAACGACAGAGAAATTGCACTAGAAGCGGTCAAACAAGATGGATATGCATTGAAATATGTTTCTACCGAATTGAAAGATATGTTCCAAAAGAAATTATTGAAGACAGAGAATTTGTGTTAACATTAAACAAGTCCAATAGTATTCCAGTTGGTACATATTATATTTACTCAATATTTCACAATGACAGGGAAATCATGTTGGAGGCGGTGAAGGACAATGGATATATTGAAGTTTGCGATTTCAGAATTTGCCAATGATCCTGAATTTGTGATGACAGCTCTCAAATGCAATGGGTATGTGTTGGAATACAGTGATGAGAGTGTGCCACTGTTATCAAGACGCTTATTTGGGAAGAAAGAAACCTTGAGCGGCTTTGTCTTGAATTGCAGAGTGTGCAAAATGTATATTGCAACTTGAATTTATTTTAGTTGGTGGTTGATTTTCTAGGTTCAATTATGAGAGACTTCTTGTGAAGCTCATCATCGTTGGTAATTATACCTTCGAAAATGTGTTCCTTTAAAACATATTGAACGTATGGAATGGGTTCTAAATGGTACAAATTTGCACAATTTTGTAAATCCTTCACTTTCTGAATGGTTGCATAATAAATTCTTCTCTTTTGGTAATTGATTAATTTCTTTTGAGGAGTTTTTGGATGATTGAATTCATCAGGATTTCCATCTGAAGTAAAAGTCAAATCTGTTTGGAAGATGCCAATAAATGGAATAATTGGAGTATTGTTGTTAATGATCGTGTTGTTGAGATTTTCTCTCAGCTTACTTCTATTGTTGGCATGAAGTTCATCGAAAATTTTGAAAATATTGTTGTCACTTTCTGAGAGACCCTTTCGAGTTTCTTTGAGTCGATATACTGGACCGGATTGAAGACCTGAAATGATTGCAAAGAATGCACTATAATTGTTCAACTCGTAGGATTCCTTGGCAATTTCAACAAACTTCTTAAAGAGAGCTTTTCTTGTTTCTGTATTGGTCTCAGTGAGAATCTTAGTTTGTACCCAGTAGCTAATCTTATTGACACGATCGGTGAGGGCAGAAATATGAGGAGCGAGTTCATACTTGTACTTGGGATCACTCCATCCAGAGTTATAAAATTCATTGGCTTCAATCTTTTTGAAAATCTTCAAATCAATAATTGTCTCTTGTCTGGCAATTTCAGTGGCTGGCCAACTCAATAAATCGAATTGAATATTGTATGGATTTAGAATACCCTTGCTGATATACTCCTTTCTGTTGATTCTCCATTGATTGAGAGAAATTTGAGGTTCCTTGAGCTTTTCCACTGGAATACCTCTTGGAATCATGATGGTTGTGTTGTGTCTCGAGTGGACATTGGAAGTCGAAGAGGATCCTTCATCCTTCTTAAAGCTCAACAAGTTTTGAAGGAGAGTTTTTTTGATCTTTTTGAGGGTTGGGTGAACTTTTTTCACAGCACCAGGTTTCTCATATCTAAACTTGATACCTTGCACAATCTCCTCGTAATGATGCATATAGAGAGCCAAGGATTCATTGTCAAGAGCATGGAATGCTTCCTTGACAAGTTCATTCATTGCTTGTTCAATGTAGAGACATACAGCGTTTTCTTTTGTGATTTCAGGAGCATTTGGATCACCTTGTTCTTTGGCACGAGTGGCCTCTTTCACTACATTCAAAGTTCTTCTATAGATGCTCATTAAGTGGTTCATGAGTTGGCGAGCAGTTGTGAATGAAGAGAAGGTATTGAGGAAGATGGCATAGAAAACTCCACGAGCTTCAGTATCACCAGGCAATGTGCACAAACCAACAAACTTGTCCACCAATTTGGAGAAGGTGGCCGAAGAAATGCAACAGCGCTTGGCATCAATATTCACATCTTCAGGTTCTTCTGTTAAACTTTGTTCGACTTGTTCGTGAGTAAGTGTAGGTGCAAATGGTTTCAACAAGAGAGAAACACATTCTTTAGAAATGTTGATAATGTCTCCAACATTCTTATCAAACATGAGCTCTTCAGAGTATAAGGTACAGACTCCAAGAAGCCATCTCCATTTTTGTTCAACCTTACGTTTTTGAGCATAGGGAGCTCTCTCTTTCTTTGGAATGGTTTGATCGTACAACTCATGACACACGAAAAGATGGTTAAAGTTAGAAAGCAATGGATAAAGACAATCTTGGAAGATAATCTTGCAAGCTCTGTACTCTTCTTTGAGAGTCAATTGGAAAATAATGTTAAAGATTAATCTACTGATGGAACGCAAAAGCAATGACTCTACAGGTGTAATAGTTTTGGTGTTTCTGGTAATTTCGAGCTTGGATAAAATTTGAACTTCTGGAAGATTCTTCAATTCTTGAGATTCACTTTCTGCTAACTGTAACAAGCGGTCAATGTCATACTTTGTTTTGATTTTTTCCAATACCTCAGTCAGTACAGACTTCTCAGTGAATTTGCTAATCAAATAGTTGGCTGTCAAGATTGTCTCCATACGTAAAGATCGTTGGTTTCCTCTCTTTTCTTTTGGAATTGAAGACGAGTAGGAAAGATTATGTACAGACATGACACAATAGTCCAAAAAGCTGATGCAATTAAGCATGACATGTACTGGAGCCTGTGTCCACCATTGAGTAAGTAGTTGTTCTGATAAGTTTCTCAACACCCACAAGATACAAAATGCTGTGACAAGATACATTTCATCATTGTGGAAGAGAGTGAGATATTCTTCCTTGTCCATGTACTTGTCAACAAAATAAAGGAACATCTCTGCAATAGCAGCCCTCTTGGATGTGTCTTGATATCGTGCATCGTAGTCAATCTTGCAGAACAAATCCAATACACACTTTCCAACCTTGAGCATTAACTTTTCATTGTTAGTTTCAACAGTGCTGAAGAAAACGTCAAAGAAATGTCTAATTAAAAAGTTTCCATCTTGAAGTTGCAAGTTGTTGAGCGGAATAAAGTAATCATAGTCACACATGATGGCTACGAAATCTGATTTCAATCTCAACAAGGCTTCAGCGGATGCATCTGTTGAAGTTTCGATGGATAAACAATCCATGTAGTGTTTAACAATTCCAATATAATAATCTCTGTCAACGAATGGAATTAAATCTCTAATGAAGAGAGCAAGATTTCTATTGGCGTTCAAACCAATATTTTGTCTGCCATGTCCAGAAGAGGAGAGCAATTTCTTGGTACGTGTACAAAAGTATGTCATCAACTCTTTCACTCTGTTCACAAAGTATTCTTGAGAGAGTGGATGTTCATCGTTTCTGCTGTACTTGTCCGATTTGTTTAAATACCAACTATCCCTAATCGTGAGGCAATCCAAAGAGTCTGTCTTGATACAGAGTGTCAAACTCTTAATAATAATATCAAACAAGAACCATGAGAAACGGAATGGATCGTGCTCTGACAAGTTGTTTGTTTCAAAGTAATGCTTGGTTGGTTCTCCTTGCAAAATCTTGGTCAATTCTTCCAAATAATCCGTAAAGATACGAGTGAGTACAGAGTAGGTTGGATATCCTCTGTTCATTTCATCGAAAATGTATTTAATGTACGATGTCATGAACTTGTTACCACGTGTGTGATTTTTAGTATAGTGATAGACACCTCTGAGACACACCAATACTTGCTCGAACAATAATCGTTCAGCTCCCTTTCTCAAGTCAGCAGATTGAAGTGGCAACTCTGAGATGCTACTCATCAACTCAAACAAAATGTTCATAACAATTGGAAGATGAGGTAAGAATAGAGAGAATTCAATGGCACAGAATTTCATCAAGACGAAACGGCAAATATACTCCAATATTTGTTCCTTATTTTCTTTTTCAGGACTATATAAATCATGTATACTGGCAAAGAATAATTGAAGTACTTCGTCTTGAGGATTAACGCTAGAAACAAGTTGAGCAGAAAGTTTGAATCTTGCGTCACTAATCTTATCCAATATGCCCTTGGTCTTGGCTTTGGAGAGATAATCTGGTTGCAATGTCTTGTACACTCTCAGTTCTCCGACAAAGATGTGTCTCTGAACTTCAGAATAGGTGAGCTCATAGGTACAATTACGTTGTGTCTTATCCTCTTCATATAGTCTATTCTTTTCGGTCAATTCAAGGAAAGAATAGCCCAAAATTGAGCGTTCACATTTTCCAAAATCTTCCTCTCTGGTTCCAAAAGGTTCATAGATGAGCTTAGAAGACTTCTTTTCAATGTCTACGTGATAGAAAATGAAGAGTAAATGATTGCCTTTCTTTGTGACAGCAGGAACGTCAATTTTGATCTCATCAAGGAATTGAGGAGTAGTAGTACAATGTTCAAGAGCAGTAAAATCTGATCGCTTCTTTTCCGAAGTAAATCTGTTAATAACAACAGGATGACATTTTTGAATTTCCTCTTGTGTTGGGATGATTGCATCGTTTTCTCTAAATACTACCTCCACAACAATATTCTTAGCCTTAGTTTTCTCTAGCTTTACACCCATAGGATAAATATACATGGTGTTAAACAAGGTCATGTGTGGATGACGGGCCTTGCTCCATGGAATTTCATTGATTGCTTCTGATTCCAATATTTTCACTTGCTCGTCGAACATGGTTTTTCCAAAATCTTCAGACATCAATCTTGGTGGATCATCAGAGAATTCATCATCATCTTCAATTGCGTTGAATACAGGATCTCCATTCTCATCAAGGTTGTTACCATTCAAGAAGGGATTGGTTGGTTGAAGTGAGAAGGATTGTTCTTCTGTGTTATTCACACTATCGTCATCTGATTTGATTGATGCAAGCTGTCCTGTTGGAGTTATATCGGTGCTGTCTTCAATCTTATTCTTGACATATCTATGCAAGTCACTCACCAATTCTGTGTGTACTTTCATTGAGGCAGAGATCGCTTGTAATTTGGTCTTTTGTTTAATGGCAGCAAAGATGTTGAATGGAGTCTTGTAATCTCCTTCGATTACGTAGAATTGATCGAAATACATCGATGAATTGAGTTCCAGTTTCTTTTCACCTTTGAAAAGTGGAACAAAGCTAACAAATGCTGCATGTCTAAAGTGAGAAAGTTTGTTCTTTCTGGCTTCCATATCGGAAGAAAAGTCGTTCTTTTTGTGATGTTTGAGCATATCCTTAATGGAACAAGTTGGTACACGATGAACATACAAAACCAAATACATTTCCTCATTGGGTGCAGAAATTGAGAACAGTCTCTTGTCAGAGTTGGCAACAATACCGTTAGATTTCTTTTGAATGGATTCACGAACGAAGGGCTCTAATTGTTGCAATTGTTCTTCCGAAAATAGATGGAACCAGTAATCCTCACTAATCTTCTTGGAGTACTTGGTGTCATAAATAGCAATGGAGAATGTGAAGAATTCTTTCGTGACATCGAACTTTTCCATAAATTGGAATTCACTGCAAGACAACAAGAATCTGAACTTTTTCTTGACAGGATATTCAATTTCTGGAATTCTTTGGCACAAAGTAGTGTGGAGGGGCTTGTACTCGTACTTTGGCTGTAAAACTCCCATCAATCTTCTATTCTCCTTGTTGATATTCTCCTCATTGATATGAACACCATGCAAGAAGGATTCGCTTTGGTGCTTCTTTGACTCATTCATAGAGCTTTCAGATCTTTGAATTTCGGCAGTAATTTCGTTGAGAAGCTCAAGTGGACGTTTGGCACACAATTCCTTCGCCTTTTCAACCAAACTCTTTTTCAAGGATTTTGAGATATCAATCTCATCGAAAGCATCGACAGCCTTCTTTTCTCCTTGTCCTTTTTGTTGTAAAAGAGCCAACTTCATCTCCTTTTCAGTCAAACTTTGATTTGTTTGTAATGAGGTTAGTCCAACGCTGACAGAAGCAGTTCCTCCTTCTTTAGGTGCACCCTCCTTTCCTTCTTTTCCTTCCTTGTTCGAATCTTTGCTCTCCTTTGATTCTTTATCATCTTTTTTAGGCTTCTCTACCTTTCCACCAAAGATTGATTTTCTCTTTCCTTGACCAATAAAAGCATTTTTCAATTTCTTTGAGAGACCAGCCTCTGTGAAATCGCCCATTTGATCAGTGACCTTATACAATTCCTCTGGTTCAGTAGGAGCTTGAACATCCGTTGCCTTCTCAGCTTGTGCCTTTTCAATATCGAGAATTTTTGCAAAAGATGGCAAAACTTCATCTTCATCGACAACAACATTGTCTTCGTCTTTCTTCTCCTCCTTTTCGTTCTTATCCTTTGGATTTTTCTTCTTTTTTTGTTCACTGTTATTGGGGTGTGAAGGAGGAGGATTTTCAGGTGTGACATTTGGAGATGTCACAGATTGAGGAGCATCGCTATTGGCAGGAGTCAGAACTGAGAATTGTGGCTTGAAAGGAGTTGCTCGATATGGCACAGCCTCATAACGTAAAATTTTGAATGGTTTGTAAAACACTTGCAAGCAATGTCTCACATGAGGATATTTGAAATAAACAACTTCCTCTACGTCCGAATTTGATTTTTTAGATTTGAACTTTTGCAAATATTCGCCTCCCACAGAGAGGAATCTGAAAAAGTTTTTCACGAGAAGACCTTTGTTTTCGTTGTGGTGATAATGTTCGGAAGAAGAGGCACGTGATGACAGTGCCAATTGCTCCAATAAGGCTCCTGAGCTCGTATGTTGTTGGTTGCTGCTGCTGCTACTTGAAGGTGCTCCAAGAATTGAAGAATTAAATCTTTGTGATTGTTGCTGTTGTAATCTAATGCTCGAAGATCTCATAAGAATACGTCTTGAATGAGTATTATTCAAAGTGTTGGTATTATATAGAACCGTCCATTGGGTTTGATCAATTTCTTCAATTGAAAATGGATCCATCGCTTGCATATTAATTGGAACGGGAATCTTTTCAGGTTTTTGAAGTGAAGAAGAAGAGACACTTGCTGTTGTTGGCGAAGAGGAAGACGACGATGATGAAGATGCCTGTTGTTGTGGTGGTGGTTGTGAATTCGAGTCAGAGTTCGATCCAACCAAAACAGAAGCAACCACGCCCAAGAACTTTTGATGACGTTTCTTCTCCTCCTCAGTGAGAGGTGGAGGAGGTGTTGCAGGTGGAGGTGGAAGTGAAGTCAATGGACCTGTATACGCAAGAACTGTAACTTTGGGTTTTTGTGAATCTTGTTGTTGAAGAGCATCATTGGTTGAAGTGGATGATGATGATGATGTTGTTGTTGATAGTACAGAAGGGCTGTTGTAGCCTCTGACTCCGTTATTAGATTCCACTGAACAAGTCAAGTCAGTCGTAGTCGCAGTAGCAGTGGAATCATTCGCCATCTCTGAAGATTGACTCTGATTGTCGTTTGAATGTTGTTGGGTTGAAATTGGAGAACGATTATGATCATAATTCTGCGTACGAGTCAGCATTGTTGTTGCTACAGTTGCTTCATCACCCGTGTGGTTCTCTTTTGATTCGAGAGTTGCCTTCTTCTTCTTCTCTTGGGAAACATGTTGGTGGTGAGTGTTGTTCAACTGGGAGGATGACTGATTTTGATCTCCAACAACGACGGCTGCCAAATGGCCCTGAAGACGATGATCATCACTAGCGATACGATTCAATTCCTTCACTAGTGGTGATGAACTCTCTCGGTTCTTCTTTTCATTCCTATGACCAGATATCGTTGATGATGATAACGCTGCTGATGATGATGATGTAATTGTTGATGGAGCTTTAGGTGATTGAGAGGGTGAAGATGATGAGGCTTTCGTACTGGTGGTAGTGCTTCTTCCAATATTGGTAGTACTATTGTTGTTGTTATTATTTACGGCTGCAGAGGTGGGTGGAGTTGCCTCCTGATGTTGATTCTGCTGCTGGTGATTTTGTTGTTGTTGTTGTGGAGATGATTCCATCATCATCTTTTGTGCTCGAGGACTGATTGGCCTTTGTGGGCTCTTTGGAGAAGTGCTTGGTGTTGCTTTTGAAGTGGATGAGAACATTCGAAAGAAATATTCTCTATAGAGAGAGGGTGTTGTGTTGTTGTAGGATAATGAACAAATGATGATGACAGGAGATGTCAAAACGAGATAGACAAGGATGAATTCAATTGAAGGGGAGTTGATGATGATATTCATAGGATATGACAAATTCAAAGGTATTAGTGTATAGGAATGACACGTATGTATCGAATGTGATAATACATACCAATTCAAAGAGATTTGTGATGATTAAATAACAATATTAAACTTTAGAGAAAAAACATGGACAACAGATTCTTGTCGACCCTTTGATGAAGTGTTTACTTGGTGGGAATAACACAATGATTTGGGTGATGATTTGTGTCGGTGATACGGTGATACGTAGCCGAACCTGAAGGTGATGTCTTTTTTTTTGATGTGAAGTCTTGTCAAACGTCATTATTAGTTGTTAGCATTTTAACAACCCTTAATCTCAATTCAATCAATGATTTCTGGAGTGTAGGAGATCATCCCTGATCAAAGAAACTTTTTCAACCTATCATGTGGGATAGAGTTGTGTTCAATTTAAATGAGAAGATCTGCTATCATATGATAACAAAGGTAATTTTGCATTGGTGTAGAGAACTCTATCAAGGTAAAGAATCTCTTTGCTTGATGCAATGTATCAAAATACAGACAACATTCAAACAGAAATTGATCCCACTCTCACACAACACTCTCAATAATCCAACGGGACAAACACATTAGAGATTTTTTCTTTGGATAAATTGACCAAAAGCTTTTGAAATTTTTTCACACCGTCATGATGCAGTGGGCAAGTGTCAATAATTTTCTTGTCACATTCTTCCAACACAGAGCTGAGAGTATGTTTAACATTGGAAACACTGTTTGATTCATTGTCATTATCATCGTCAAGTGAGGATGTGGTTGAGTAGCTGTCGTCATCACTCCCCTCGCTTTGTATTTCCTCTCCACTCTCTTCTTCCACAGTTTCTTCAGGATTTTCCCTATTAATATTGCGATTGAGTGATTCAATAATATTATTATCTACATTGAGTATAAAGTGATGCAAGTCAAGATGAGAAGATATGGAATAATCTTCTGGAACTAATAAAGACTCTGCATTTGAATGTACATTTTCTTCATCAGCATTCTCTTGTGAATTGTGATCTCTCTGCAATTTTACAACTTTTTTCACCAAATTTTCGATTTGAAATAATGATATTCCATTCCTATTGCTTTTTATATGCAAACTTCGATCGAGACCTTCTCTCTTACTCAAATCCGATAATACTTTCATTTCATTTCCATTCAAACAGACTCTCTCGGTAAGAGAGATCAATTTTTCAAACCGTCCATACATGGAGTAAATTTCCCTTGATGAAATGTTCAAAAATCTTTTTGCATAAACCAGTGGCATGTACAACTCTTGGCCGTACCGCACAAGAGGAATTTCAAAAAATTGTGCAGGCTTTGCAATATGGATAATCGGTATTGACGAGTCCTCGATAGAGGCATCATCATCGGAGAGGACCATTTCGTCTGAATGATTATTTTCCTCATGAGTGCTAAACAAAATGTCGTCATCATCATCATCATCATCATTGAATTGATCTTTCATTGGTTTCCTCTTTTTCCGATTGTGTAATTTTTGTTTTCTCATTCTAAAATCTCTGTATTATTATCTGGTTGTCGGAAGAGAAATTGTTATTGTTGCTGAGAATGCACAATATTTTTTATACATGTTTCGAATATTCTCGACTTATTTAAGAGGTAGCGCAATAGTTCGTGTATTAAGATGTGCGTAAAAGCCTGATTGCATGAAATGTATCAGCACCTGTTTCAATGATTGAATTGGTTGAAAAGTGGTGGTGATTTCGGAGGGAACCACCTAATTAAGGGTGTCCTGGATGGAATCCTTCTTTCCGTGTTCATCATTATCAAAACAGACAATATCTGAGTATGTGCAGCACTCACTGTTGTTTCGAAAGGAAACATTACAGCCAAAGGGCATGATCTCAAATTTTTGGCATTGCTTCACCATTTGAGATCTTCTTCCAGTCCCCAATTTGGTCAATACATTAGCCATTTTGAAGTTCATTTTTCCAGTATGTTTGGACACCCAAAAAAAGTTCATAAGGCCCTTAAAAATCCCTTAAAAAGACGGACCTGTTTTCTCAAAAAAAAATAACGCACTTGTTGTGTGTTCTCCTTCTTGAAACAACGAACGGAATCAATATTCGCCTTAATGTTGCGAAAGGTTGATTGTTCGAAAAAATAGTAATCACGACCACTTCGCTTATTTATCAATCAAACACTATTAAGAATTCAACAACATCATCATCATGGGTGGAGGAGCCTCAAAGAATTCATTTCGACATTACCTTGAGGAAAGAGAACATCCTTTTCAGAGCCGAAACGAGAGAATTCATGCCGTATTAGCAGCCTCCAGATATCGAGCTCCTCCTTCTTCGTCGCAAACAACCTCTCATGAGGTGGCTATCTTGCAGAAGGGTAAAATCCTCACTAAGGATACACCTCATCATGATGCGGATTTATCCCTCTCAAAGCAACCCAATCCTAACAAGGAAGAGGAAGAAGCAACAAGGTCCTCTCCGAGAAGAATCAACACCCTCCCTGTCAAAGAAACCAAGAAATTCTTCAAAAAACCCTCTCCTTACTCCTCAGAGCCGTTATTTTCGTGGTTCAAGAAGAAGCAACGACCCGCAAAGAAAACCTTCCCGATTTCAGCCATCAATGAGAAGGGAGTGATTGTGGATGAGGCCAGTGTTTGGCACAATGCTCGAATATGGGTCTCTAATCCCGATGAGACTGAAACGAGTGTGGTAGATGCCATGAGCGTTCATATGACTCACACTCAATCCAGTGATTCGCTTGGCTCCAATGAGGAGCAGCCAACGCAGACAACAATGAACTCTGTTTCTCCTGTGGGAAGCATCAAGGCCGTGCAAGAACCTATCGCACAAAACGATAGCTCTGACAACAACAACCTCCCTTCGACTTTAAATGTAAATAATAAGAATGTGAATTCCATTGAAAATCTATCAATGATGATTCAAACAGCACCTCCAACTGTTCAACACTCTCGTGACAATTCCAAAACCATTCGCTCGCCAAGATCTTTAACGAGTTCTCAACCTTCCTCAAACAAAAACGAACCTAACAGTGCCCACCAGAACGTTGGACAAGAGTCTGTTTCATCTTCAAAACATCTCCGATCGCAAAGAACTGGCAGAATTATTTTACCCACCAACAACAACCAGAGCAAGGCACCCTTAGAAAGAAACAGGAGCAGCAGTTTGCCAAATGATTTGTTTCCAATACAACCCAAAAGAAGCGGACTGTGAAAATTTCAAATCTCCTGGATTGACAATGAAATTCATTCTTTTTTTGTGGCTTTATCTCGTGGCCTGTTGGACGTGACATCTGCCTTCAAAAGGACAAAAACAGGCTTGTGTTAAATTTAGATGCCTGAGTGCCAGAAAATTCTGAAAAAAACAAGCAAACACCTTATGAACATTGAGACTCTCTTCTCAGTGTACTGTGCGCTCTTGGTTCATTCTCAAATTTGATCATTCACCAAGAATTGTATTGACTCAATAATAACATGAACAGCAAATTCTATCATTGTGGTGGTATGATGAGACAGTCATCTTCCTCACATTATGGAGCTTTCTCTCATCACAAAAGACAGCAAAGTGATCCTACCGTGTTACATTTGAAAAGCGAAAAGAAAGCTTTCGTGCCCCACCAAGCTAACTCCGATGACAAGCAGCAGTCAATCTTGGATCCACAATTACTAATGAAGATGGATCCAGTTTTCAGATTGACCTTCTTATTGTTACTTTATCATCCAGAATTGTTGCTGGTGAACAGGTAGAGACTCTGGATTATGAATGTTGTATTCCCTCCCTAGAAATAAATTCATCTCGAATCACCAACAGAAAAAAGCAGTAGAAATGTTTATTTTGGACAGGTGCAGATGCATGACCTTAATAACTGCATTTAATTCGAGTTTTCTCATCTTCAGCAAATCTCTCCACAAACTTGTCATAGCAAGCCACTCGAATTTTCTCCGTGGTTGCAGGAGGTTCTAATTTACAATATGAAGAAATGCCAACGTCTCTTCGAGCACTTTCAACAGCTTGTTTAATAGCAAAGAAAACTGTTGCCCCCAAAGAAAGAGGAGGTTCTGTTAATGATTTCATTTAAAACAATTCAAAATTGTCAGAGAAGCAAGTTATGTATATTGTGCCTCGAAAAGACAAAGTAAACCTACCTCCAATACCTTTCGAACTATAGGTTGCTTTTGGATTGAAAGAATCTTTCAATAGGTGAACATTAAATTCACACGGAATGTCACCAGCAGATGGGATTTTATAAGCACCAGGTCCCTTTGTAAAGCATTGACCTGGTTGAATCCAAGTATGTGATTCATCTCCCCACATAAATTCCTCCATTGTAAATAAACCCATTCTATCCATGTCATCGTTATGAATTGATGATATTAGTAGCACATGCATCTTCTCTTACTAATCGTAACACACAACTTACCCTTGAATAAATGCTCCCTCAATTTGACCAATGTCAATAGAAGGATTAATGCTATTTCCAACATCCATGACAATATCTGTTCGTTTCACAGTCCAATCTCCTGTGAGGGTATCAATTTCTACTTCACTAGCAGCACATCCATAAGTGAAATATTCGAATGGTCTTCCAACACCATTCGTCCAATCCATCCACACTTGAGAGGTATGATAGAATCCAGTGGCGCTGAGTGAAATGTCTCCCTTGAAGTAGGCCTTCTCTACTAATTGAGTCCATTGCTCTTTGGTTAAAACTGGAGGAGCATGAAGCTTGTTCTTTTCATCAAGAATATAGTTTGAAAATAATTCTGGAAAAAGTTCTTTTTTGAGTGCATCCAAACGCTTATTGATCACATTGCAAGCATTAATCACAGCTTGTCCATATAAATCACTCGATACACTTGCAGCAGTAGCTGACATATTGGGAGTCTTATCACTTGAAGTGTCCTTAATATGAATAAGTTCTGGAGGAATGCCAAGGGCAGTGGACGCACATTGAATCAATTTGATGAAGAGACCTTGACCCATGCAAACACCACCTGTGCTCAATAGTACAGAACCATCGTTGTGATAAATGTTAATAAATGCGCCTCCTTGATTCAAGAATGGTGCTCCAAAGGCAATACCAAATTTCACAGGCAGCATGGAAATACCTTTTTTACGGTATCTATGCTTCGAGTTGAAATTTTCAATTTCTTTGAGTCGTTCCTCGTAGTTGGAACATTCTTTAGTTTGATTCCATAAAGTGTGAATTCGATCAATGTCTTCAATTTTCATCTGGAATGGAGTAATAGAATGTTGGGCGCTGTAAAAGTTGGCTTCTCGAATCGCAAGGGCTAATTGAGAAGGATTTTTTGAGAGTTGTGAGCTTGCATCGAGTTGATTGGAGAGGGTATGTGACAAATGATCAATGACCGTTTCTATCGCAATAAAAGACTGTGGGCCTCCAAATCCTCTGAATGCAGTATTGGATTGGACGTTGGTTTTACAAACTCGTCCAGTAATCTTAAATGCTGGAATAAAATAGCAATTATCAACACTTTGCATCGCTCGATTGAGAACACTTTCACTCAGATCCATGCTATAACCTCCATTAGAGACAAGCTCAATATCAAGAGCTTGAATTTTTAAGGTCGATCTATTCAAAGCTGTCTTATATTTGGCAAAGAAAGGATGTCGTTGTCCTGTTGTGGACATGTCGACATCTCTGTCAAGAATGATTCGAATTGGTCTCTGGAATTTTTGCGCAGCCACTGCAATTGCAGCTGCAAGATAGGTTGGTTTTGATTCTTTTCCTCCAAATCCACCTAAATGGTTTGAAAGGCAAAGAAATACCGTAGTGATGATAGAGAAAGAGGTCAGAAAAAAGTCTCTCATAAATATCAAAAACAAACAAATAGAATTCACTTACCTCCAAGTCGTTTAACAGACGCAACAACCTTATTACTGGGAATATTGAGAACCTCAGCGACAGTCATTTGAGTGTGCGAACAATCCTGTGTGGTACAATACACTTGATATTCTCCTAACTCAGGGAAATTAGGAATGACCAACGCTGCATATGGTTCCACATAAAAATGCTCCTGAGCAGTGTTTGTGTAAGCGTCACCTTCAACAATGACATAGTCCTTTGTGAGTTGGAGATTGTTTTCAATTTCTTGGATCAATTCAGGAGCATGTTTGTGGATTTGTGGGTTCAATAACGAAGGTGCTTGTGATGAGATTTTCTTTTCTTTCACATGGAAGGATTTCTGTTCTAGGGCCTCTCGAATTGTGAAAATTGGTTTTTGATCTTGTAGAGTTTCATATTCAATAACCACTTCTCGAGCAGCATTCTTTGCTTGAAGCTCGGTCTCTGCAACGATCAGTCCTATGAGCTGCCCGGTACTTGTACAATATTGGGATTTGAATAATTCCTCTTCTTGTGGAATGACAACACCAATTTTGTTTACACCCTTCACATCTCTGTGATCTACAAATCCCAAGACACCATTCATTTGGAGAGCTTTCTCAACATTGACAGAGACAATTTTCGCGAGGGGTTTTGTTGAGAGAACAAGGGCAGCATAAACTTCGCCATAAAATGGAAGAATGTCGTCCACAAATTTTGCTTCACCTGATACTTGTAAATGAGCAGATTGATGTGGAAGAGGTTGACCAACACTTGCTCCAATTTGAAGTGGCTTAAATAATTGTTTTCCAATTGGAAAATGTCTTTCAATGTAGTATTGATCTAAGAGGACAGAATTTTCATCCTCTGTCAACTCTCGAATATTCAAAGTTTTAGTCACATAGAGGTAAAATTTGAAATAAAAAGACATTGATAATGTCTTTCGATATTCAACCATTCCACCTGGTGCATTCTTATCAAGTGGCAAATCTTCATCAAGAAAATTGAGAGAACCCTCAAATACTTGTTTTGAAAATGGTTTTCCAATCAAGAAGGAGCGTGTTTTTTCGGCTGAAACTGTATATGCATTCATTCCACCATACACCAATCTGAAAAGCGTTGCAAAATTCATGTTAAAAGAACTTTGAAACTTACCTAATGTCCCTCACAATATGGCTTCCATGTTCTATTCTAATTTTCATACCTGCAGTCACAACAGCAATGTCATCTTCCCTTCTCTTGGATTGTTTGTATGCTTTAGTGATCAGGTCACATGTTTGGATCGAATCATTTGAATTTTTACAAACAACACTTGGAAGTGGAAGCACCATGTGAATAATTAATTCACTCTTTTTCAATTGAACTTGACGATATCCAATAAAGAAATCTTTAAATTCGATCGTTTTCACTTGGCCGTCCATGTGCATGATTTTAAGTTTACAATCCAATGCCATCCACAACGGGTTCAAATCGCTCACTGGACTTGCTGTGACAATATTTCCTGCTAGACAAGCAGTATTTCGAATGGAGGTGGAAGCAAAATATTTCAATTGGTCGAGAATGCAATCAAGAGCCTTGCCTTGATGAGGTGGAAGTGATTCACGCTGCTCTCTTAAAAATTGTTCCATGCTTGCAAGTGTAACACTTGCTCCCAATATCAAGTGAGAGGCCTCTCCACTATCTCCATTGTAAACTGCTTTCATTTCTAACAATTCCTGAATGTGAGTGGGTTGAATTACCACTGGGAAATGTTTGTTTTTCATTCTCTGTTCAATTGCAATTTCAGTATTGCCAACAATGAATCGTTTGTGCTCGTTGGGGTGTCTCTGTAAAATTTCTAAAAAGTTTTCAAGTGTGGTTGGTCTGTACCAGAGGAGAGGTTTAGTTGCATGAGTCAAGGATCTTGCATTGGTGACTCGGAGTGGTTTATATTTGTATGTTCTCAATTCAAAAGGGAATAATGGATCTGCTTTGGTGGTTGATGCTTTTTCAGTGATGGGATTGTCATTAACATCTTTACAGCAATCATTGCCATCTCTGTTTTGACAACAATCCTTCATTCCGCATCCTTTCGAACTACATGATGACGAGTTGTTTGTTTGACAGCAATTTTCCAGTCCACATCCAACCAACGAACGGGCTGCATCCAATATTCTAGTGATGATGATTGTTTCGACACATTTCATGAAAATTCAAACACAGTCGCAAAATTCAAACACATCGATGAACACATTGCTTCAAGGAATACTTACGGTCTATATCCCGTGCAGCGACATAAATTGCCATCAAGAGCTCTTTCAATTTCCTCCAGTGATGGCTTTGGATTGTTTCGCAACAAGGTGTACAAACTCATCACAAATCCTGGTGTACAAAATCCACACTATGATGCATCATCGTCACCACCATTACATTCCAATATTTCATTTTGTTCGATCGAGAATATATCCCACAAAGAATAGATGCATGTTTTGAATGGCACCAATAAGAACAAGAAGTAATCTACTTACCTGTGATCCATTGAATTCTCTAATTCTTCTCTGAATCAAATGCAACATATCGTCTCGAGAGGATCCCACACCTTCCACGGTAACCACATGACATCCATCGCACTCGATCAACGGAAATAGACATGAATTGACACTTCTGCTCACTACTCTTTGCTTGCCATGATCAAAGTGTTGAATCATCACCACACAGCTTCCGCATCCTCCTTCATTACATCCAATTTTGGTGCCTGTGAGCCTTAATTCATTTCTCAGATATTGTGAGAGAGTGAGTTCAGGATTGGGACAACTCAATTGATGCTTGACTCCATTCACGTAGAGTAAGATAGAGTGCGTATAATTGGTATGATGAGTGGGTGTAAGAGTTTCTTGAGCATCATTTCCTTGTTCTTGCAATGTCGTCATCATTATCGGAGAGTTCGTGTTGGAACAAGACTCATCCCTGAGGAACCAACAAGAAGCACCGCCTTCGCTGTTGTTGTTGTTACTCTCCTCGGTTCTAATTGTAACGACCTTTAGGTCCATGGAAGCCATTATTACTATTATTGATTTGTGTGTTGGTTGTGTTGTTGGTGGAGTGGTGTGTGGTTTTTGGGTGGCGGAGTTGTTGTCCTCTTTAATGATGATGTTGAGATAATTTTTTCAATTTAAAAATTGTTGGTGGGCAATGAAACAAGGTTGAATTTAATGTATTCACAACATGAACGGGTGCGATGAGATAGATGTCTGAAGGGATCCTGATAAATATGGAAGGAGTGAGAGCGTCATGGGGTTGTTGTACAAGGTGATACTGACCTTCTCTCATTTGAAAAAATACTAGTTGTTTTCACGTGGTGGGCAATTTGTGTATCGATCCACAAGGTGTAAAGCTTCACACTTTGACCGTAGTAGTTGGAAGTTAACTTGGAACGAATTTCAGACACACACGCCTGTGTCCAGAGTCATCACTCATTACACAGAGGTTGTGGCGTCCATATGTCCACTCAGAGAGTATGTCTCACCATCCATTAAGAGACACCACTCTGTTTGTTGTTGTAAACGTTTTGCAAGATGGGTAACGTAGGGATTTTTTCTATAGGGACAAAGGTGTCATCATCCTTAAACATTACCCAGTTGGAAGTACTTAGTACCACCTCACACATCATTGATATGACACAATATCGTTCGGAGCACTCGAAAACATTACCATCTCTATTGCCGTTTTAAAATTCCATAGTAATTCAATGTTAGGTAATAATCCTCTGATGCCTATAAGGAATCAACAGAGGATTTAATATTTCATCTTCTGTTGATTCATTACCCAGTTTACAAAGATTCGTTAAGATTTGAAAAACGTCAAAAAAAATTCATCAATTCTTCGAGCGCACGTTGTTGATTTTCTTCCTCTTCTTCGTCATCCTCTTTGTCTTTTGCTGACGACTCAAAGATAAAAAGACCAATTGGAATTTTTGATCTGTCGAGGCTATTCTGCATCTTTCGGGAACGTATTCACGTATTGATAGATTCTTTGTGGAGAGCCTTTCCGAGAGAAACAGATCATTCAGTAAATTAATCAAACAATAGGACGAAACAAACTGCCTAACCTATCATCATCGGAATAGCACTCTCATTGAAACTCGTCCTATTTAAACATACCTCGAATAATATCATTTTCATCATCATGATAAATATAATATCCAGTATTATCCATCAGCCAAGGAAGTGGGCTCTCATCTTTCTAGGAGTCATTTCAATACTCTTCATCATACGGCTCATGTTCAAAAATAGTGCAGGTATGAATATCATAGATGCCAGCAATAGTCATTCCGCAGCTGCACAATTCTTTAAGAAATTGAAAAAAAGTAAGGAACCAACGAAAACATACTCAGTGATGATTACTGGAGGAGCTGGATTTATTGGTTCTCACATTGCTGAACATTTTGTGCGGAATGAACCTCTCTGTGAACGAATTGTAATTTATGACAATTTACACGCAACTGCTCAATCAAGTGGTAATCCAAATGTAAATACGAATAGCAATTTAGAATTTCTGTACTCGTTGGAGCGAAAGTTAAATTCAAAAAAAATTGTTTTTGTAAAGGAATCCATCATGGATCGATCAGTTTTTAGAGATACTTTAAGAAAGTATAACATTAGATATGTTTATCATTTAGCTGCTCTGGTGTCAGTTCCAGAATCAATGAAATTCCCACAAATGTATTTCCAAGTGAATACGATGGGAACTGATATTGTTCTGGAGGAAAGTAGAAAATCTGGACACGTGAAAAAAGTAATATTAAGCTCATCAGCAGCCATTTATGGTTTTGAACCAACAGTTCCAAAATTTGAAAATATGAATCCAAGTTGTGAGTCACCCTATGCTCAATCTAAGTACGATGGAGAGTTTCTATGCAAATTCCACTCTCAACAAGTAATTGAGGAACATTTAGCTGCAGGCAAAAAACTTGGAGATGAAAATGCTGACAGCGATAACGAACCTATGGTTGCCATTGCTCTTCGATATTTTAATGTTTTTGGAGAACGTCAAGACCCCAACTCTCAGTATGCTGCTGCAATTCCGCGATTTATCGATCGAGCTTGCGTCAAAGGAGAACCTATTGAAATTTATGGTGATGGAAGACAAACCAGAGATTTTGTCTATGTGAAAGACGTCGTTTGGGCCAACGTCTATGCCTCTTTCTACATTGGAGAATTTGGCGTATTTAACGTGGGTTATGGATCATACATAACCATCAATCAAATGGCTGATATTGTTGAATCACAATGTGCCAAATTAACTCAAAAGCCTGTAAATAAGAGAGTTTATCTCCCACGAAGACCAGGAGACGTTGTTTATTCGATGGCGTCAGTTAGAAGATTGACAAATAATGGATGGAAACCCAAATACACTTTCAAAGAATCTGCCATCCAAACCATTGAATATTTCTACAAACAATCTAAAACTACTAATAATAATTAAATCTGACCATTTGTTGAGATGAATTTGGGTTTCGATTGCCCTTTCTCAAACTGTTTTTGAATCAGATATCTAAACGATGATTTCAACTGTTTTGAATGAGGCGTTCTCTCTCTACATTAAGGTGAGCATTGGCATTTCCATTCATACCTGTATCGTCACAATTGATTAAATTCTATCCTCTTCCTCAGCTCGTTCCTCAATTCCAGAATAATCGATGGAGTGGACAACTTCGTTCTCATCTGAAGGTTCTTGATGCCCTTCTTGCTGCTCTTCATATGTGACATCTTCATCATCCTCCTCTTCAACCACTTGATTTTGCACCGCATGTTCAAATTCATTGTCTTCAAAGTCTTCGAACTCCTCTTCCTGAACGGATGTATTTGCTGGTCTCCTCTCGTTGTTTTGTACCTGAACAACTGCGAAATCGTGGTCAGATCTTAATGTGTCACTTTGAGAAGATGTGGGAGGTGGGATAAAAGTAGCTTTTGAAGATGAATCCATGGTTTGGCTGGTCTCAAAATCTTCATCAAAATCCTCAAATGAACTGTTTGTGATAGCAATTGAAGCGGCATTGTCATTTACAGAAATTGAGTTTGGTACCTCCTTCAAGTTGTTGTTTTCTTGATTCTCATGTGTATCCAATGTGCTTGTTTCAAAACTTGCTGAAGAAGTTACTTTCGGAAGTTTCAGTTCTGTATTCTCTTCTTCATTCGTTATGTTAAACTTTGACGATGTTTCATAATCATCCGATTCATGGACATTCGACAATGATACATTATTTTCCTGGTGTTGGTTGGAGGGGGAAGCCTTAATTGGTTCTTTTTGTTTCACAGGTTCTAATAACACAGAACGTGGTGACGATTTTGACAGCATCAACGATTCCATTGATGTTTGTCTACTTGAAATCCGTTGCTCTGATCCAACAGAATTTTCTTTTGTAACATTTCGTTCAGACCTTGCTGAAGTTGTTGTTGAGGTGGTCAAACTCTCCTCAACCTCTTCCACTTGCAGCGTTGCCTTTGTTGGCTGTTTTGGTGCCTTTAATGCCTGTAGGTCCTTTTCTTGTTTGATTGCATCATAATTTTCTTTCAAGAGTGTGATCAATTTGTTTTGATTTTTCCATAACTCCTTCTCTCGAAGTGACATGCCTCTAGTGTCAATCTTGGTCATGGATGAAAATAATTTACTTGGATTGTCCATAAATTCATCCATTATCAATTGATAACTTTTTTGTAAATTGTTGTATCGGTCGTTGTTATCCTTAATGGTTTTGTATAGCTCACATGGAATTGTAATATATTCATTAGTTGCATCGTTTTGTGATTCGTCAGCTAAAGTTTCATTCTGGTTGTTCAACAGTTTGAACGTATCTGCAAGTTGAGGAATGACTCCGGACAGAGTGGTTCCTTGTCGTTCATCATCTTTCATTGTGGAATATTGTTGTTGAAGGTTGTTTATCACTCGTTGAGCTAGTTCCTCTTCTATTCTCCTTTGAGCGTCTTCATAATTTTTTAAAGATGGTGATTTTAACTTGGATGAAGGCCTCTTCTGTTGAATTGTCGCACTAGGTTTGGTCAATTTTTGGGAAGTAACCTTGGAGCAAGCTGATGAGGGTCTTTGTTTTGTCGTCGAATGGGTCACCCTTCTCAAAGTCTCTTCCTTGGTCTGTGATACTTTTCGATGCGAAATACTTGGGGATTTGTGTCTTTTCGATGAAACTGAACTTGTACTTTGTGGTCTTACGGCTGTTGTTGACGACGGCCTCTTAATACTTTCTGTATAAAGCACTTTGTCTGACTTTTTCGATTTCTTCACCTTTGTTTTTTCCTTTAGTTGAGAAGAAATGTGAGATAATTGAGCCGTCATGGCAGCGATTTGGGCCTCAATTTGACCTTTCATGATTTTGGTTTGTTGTTGGTTTTGTTTGTAATGATGAACTAGAGACGATAATGTTCCCAACTCTCCTGTAACTCCTTTGTCCAAACCATAATGGATATTTCCTTTTGAAGTGATTAAATTGTTTGTGGATTGCAACACCTTGTCGGAGACTGTCAACAGTGGATTTCTTGTCACAGCTCCTGTTTGAAGTTTTAAAGTTAGGTCCATCGCTTTGGAGTTGGGACCTCCAGGTGTGAGAGGTCGTTGTAAAGAAAAGGTTTTTGTAATATCGTTGGTCATGCAATCGTTAAATGCGTAACCAGGTTGTGGTGATAGTTGCCTTAATCGTACATCCATGTCAATCACTGCTACATCATATCCACGATCATTCTTCATTGAAAAAGTTCCACTAATCGTCTTTCTTTGTGGAATTTGTTGCCCTTTTGGTGTGTCCACCTCTTCAAACACTTTTAATTCATGAAGTGGTATATGAACACTTCCGATCAATACTGGCTTCCATCCTAATTTATGATCAACTCCGTCCATTTTGGTGGCTGTTAAAATAAATAGAAAAACATAAAGTGGTAATGTTTGTACATAGATTCCTAATTCATCTCGTTTCATTGAGAAAACAATACTCTTTCCAGTTCTAAACAACATATTGTGACTCGAATAACTTTCTTGATCCCTCACTTGACTTTTATAAAATGTAGATGCTGAAAAACTTTCTTTGAACATTCGTGTTTCTAAGGTATCTGCATTGGTGTAGGGACCTTCTGGTTTTTGAATATACATGAGTGGGAAATCCCAAAGTCTGAATCCAACACAGCAATCATTAGAAAGCATTGGATTGGTTGATTTATAAATAAAGTGAATCACTTCGTGGATATAAACATCAAGGGACCACAACCTGTTGACATTTCAATTGAATTGTCATTGGTCGTGTAATATTTAATTTTTAGTTTGGAATATTCAAAACTTACTTTTCCTCTCGTTCCGAAGAATCAATGCCAGATGGGTGGGTTGTTTCCCTCATCGATATCGGAGAGTGTTTGATGATCGATTCCTTGATCTTCTTTTTGCTCTTTTCATCCTTCTCTTTCTTGTTGCCCTCTTCCATGTGTTTGTGTTGTTTTTTCAATTGATGTTGTAACTCTTCATCCTCTTCATTCGGATGTTTCAAGATTGATATTTTCGACATGGAGGCTTTCTCACGTGATGAGAAGTGTGTGTTGTTGAGAATTTTTTTTATGAGTTGGTTATTGTCATTAACGTAACTTCATGGCGGGAAAAGGCACTCCATTGTTTCAGTCACTTTCTCCACAAAACATGAAACCAATGCAATTGAGAGCTATTATCAAAGTTTAAATGTAGTTGAGTCAATAACTTGTATCACCACAAGCTCTGAATGAAAGTTGTTCTCCTCTGACAAGAAATTAGGCTTAGAAAAAAATGTCTGTACGAACGGCTGTGCTGAAGAACATCATGTTGTTAATCAAGGACGTACCTAAATCTGTAAAATTCTATTCCGAAGGATTGGGTATGCAAGTGAATCATGTATCTGAACATTGGGCGGAATTACAATCGGGACAAATGAAAGTTTGTTTGAACAAAGTGGAAGGGTAAGCATTTTGATCGGAATGCTTGCTGAACTGTTGGGAATGGTGATGATGTTTTGATCATATTTCTGTTTTCAAAATATTCATGTGATTTATTTTAATATGAATTTTACTTTCGGAATTTCACCATCATAATTTATTGAAATTTATTTGTTTATTTTTTTTAAAAAATTATTTTACTTTCGGAATGATGTGTTGGAAATAATCAAAAAATCAAAAACTATTTTTCTAATTCAGTGAAGCAGCATGTACAACTGGATACTCACCTTTTCTTTGTTTTGACGTTACCCAAATGGACAAAACAATTTATAAATTAATTGAAATGGGAGCAGTACTTGATGGACCAATCAAATATCCATCCCATGGAAAAGTTGCTTCACTTCGATCTCCTGATGGTCACATGTTGGGTCTGTTCGAACATGCAGAACACTTAAAGCAACAACAAGAATAATTATGTAAAAAACTTGAAACCTCTTTTGCAGGACTTGTTTCAATTCTGTCACATATGATGATAAATTCAACCGAAAACGTTACCAATTCGTATTTACATCGTTTATTTAATAATAACTTTTGGATATATTTGCTTATTTGTGGTGGTTTTACTTTTATCAAACTTGTTGAGCTGGTATCCTTCCGTGTCATTTCATTAGGCGTGTTCCACACATATTGTTGTTGTCACTCTCAATCCAATTCTAGATACATGTACGCTTGTACATGCATTACTCTTGTTCAGTACTTGTCTTATTTGTTCCTTTTGGCACAGATAATAACGAAGGATTGATTGTTACAGACTTGGTAACATCGTTCGTTTTGTAAATACCAACCAGAGTATTTGCCAATTCGAACATGTTGTTTCTCAAACTGATAATTAAGAACTGAGCATCATTTTTGGTTCTCTCTTTGACATAGTTTGCTACAATGGAGACATTCCTAAAGTCAAGTGCTGCATCAATTTCGTCCATCACATATATTGGGGTTGGTTTGTAGTGGTGCAAAGCAAATACCAGAGCAAGAGAAGACAAGGTTTTCTCACCTCCAGATAAATTTGAAATATTCTTCCAGCTCTTTCTTGGTGGTCTAACGGAAAAAACAATTCCTTCTGAAAATGGATCTAAACTGTCAACAAGTTCCAATTCAGCATCACCTCCCAAAGTAATGGTTTGGTAAATCTCTTTCAATTTCATTGTGATCGAAGTGAAGCCTCTCATAAACTCATCTAGACGCTTTCTTCGTAGTTCCTCATACAATTTTTGGGCCTTATTTCTCTCAATGGTCACTTGTTCAAAGTCTTTAACTTTGAGCTTGTAATCCTCCTCTTTCTTTTTGTAATCTTCGATAGCAGAAAGATTAGGTTTCATCTTCTCCAACTCAGAAACGAGAATAGTGATATCGTAATTCAATGTTTGAACGTTCACGTGTTGAAGATCTTGCTTTTTCTTTCTTGTCAATTTTGTACTAAAGCTTTTACCCATGTCATCGTCATCGTCGTCTTGCATCCTATTGCCATCTTCTTGAGAATGGTCGTTGGTCTCTTCCCGATCGTCAGAGGTGTCCATCTCGTCGTCTTCTTTCTCCTTTCGCTCTTCCTTCACTTTCTTCTTTCCAGATTCGTTTTGTTCTGCATTCTCTAGCGCGAAAAGAGCTTCAAATTCAGAGTCGTAGGACTTTTCATGTTTTTCCATCTCTTCTCGTCTTTTTAGGACCAACCTCTCAATTTCCTTAACCTCTTTGATACAGTCTTCCAATGCATTCTTAAGTTCAAGTTCTTTCTCTCGAGCTTTAGTGAATTGTTTTCGCACTTGTTCACACTCACTCTCTTTCTGTGTCGTTTCCTTCTCTTTTTCTTTGAGCGTTTCTTCAAGATCAGATATTTCCATCATGATTGGAGCCGCCTCTTCTTCAATGAGCTTTCTCTTTGTCTCAATGTCCTCTATTTTTTTGCCAATGTTGTCAAATTCTTCTTGTTCAGACTTTAGCTGCTTTTCAAGCTTTTTGAGACTCTTTTCGTAGGACTCTCTTTGGACCTGGACCTTGTTAAGCTTCAGGTTGGCATCATCAATTTTGTTGTTTAGCTCTTTTACAATATCCTTTTGCATTTTGAGTTTTCCGTCTCCCACGTTCTCAATTTGAAGAATGAGCTTTTCCATATCTGCTTCTAAAGATTTGAATTTTCTTCTATGATCTTCCAACTCCTTTTTATATTCATCCAATTCATTGTTCAGGTCAGACAACCGATCATCATGCTCTTTGTTACTCTCTTTCTTGAGATCCTTTTCCATGTTTTTCATTTGGTTTTGCAAATCGATAGTAGTTTTTTCAATGGATTCAATGTCAAGTGAAATTTCTTTTAAGCGCATGTCAATGTTGGAATTCTCTGCTTCCAACCTTTTGAGTTCCTGAGAAATACTTTGTCGTTTGTACTGTTTTTGCAAATAGTCTTGCTCTGCTATTTCTAAACTAGATTTTGCTTCGATAATCTCCTTCTCGGATATTCTAACAATTTTCTTGGCATTTCCCGAAAGGGTCATGAGTCCTTTAAGGATTGTTTTACCTCCACCACTCATGGTACCATACTCTTCTATAAGGTCGCCCTTCAGTGACACAACTCTCCATCTCTTCTGCTTGTTGTAAGCTATTCTAGAAGCCTGTTCCAGATCGGCTGCTACAAGGGTATTCTGTACACCATAATAAAAAGCACTTCTGAAACGTTCTTCGTTTGGGGTTATAAGATCAAAGAGGCGTGGTACCTTTTCAGGAATGGAATTTTCAGGAAGAGTCTGAGGAGGATTGATCTTTTCAAGAATAATGAATGTGGCAACACCTAATCCATGCTTTTTCAAGTATTCAACACATTCTGTTGCAGCTGCTGTCGTCTCAACGACGATACTATTCAAAAAACCACATGCCGTTGAAATTGCAATATCATACTTTGAGTCGATGGTTCCCAAATCTCCCAATCTGCCACACACACCTTCAATGTTTGATTCGTTAAGCAAAGCCTGAACAATCCTATTCTGTGAAATACTATTCTGTTGATCGGTTTTCAAGGTCGAATAACGCTGCCTCAGTTCAATAACCTTCTTTTCCGTATCACCCATGTTATGTTCGATACTGCTTAGTCGCTCTCTTTCGTCCTTTATCCTATTGATATTGTTAGCTTGTATCTTTTTGTTTTTAGTGATTTCTTCTTTTTTAGTCGTACGTTGGATGTTTAGTTTCTCCAACTCTGATTTCTTCCTGTCATACTCCTTTTTGACGCTGTCTTTTTTCTCCTGTACCAGCTTGATCTCTGATTCAACCAATGAAATTTTTTCCTTAATTTCATTTTCCTTCTGTTTATATGGAGCAAGTTGCTTGTTTTTTTCCTCTTTCTGCTGAGATAATTTGCTTATTTCTTTTTGACATTGTTGATATATCTCATCGACCTTTTGTGTAGCTTTTTCAAGATCTGGTGTAAGTTTAGAAAGTTCTCTCTTGAGACTTTCCTCCGTACTCTCGCATTCATCGATCTTTTGTCGCAAATCATCTTTTTTATCTCCACTCGACTTGAGATTCTTCTCTAATTGTTGTTTTCTATTTTTCGTGATTTTCAAATCCTCTTTCAATTTTTCGTCCTTATTCTCAAATTCAGAAAACTTGCTTTTTTGCTTTTGTAGTTTTTTAGAAATTAATTCTAGCTCTTTCTTGCAATTCTTAAATACTTCTTCTTTTTTGGAAATTTCAGTATCGATCTGTGAAAGCTTTTCCTTCTCGACTTCATGCTGTGCCTTGAGCTTGGAGCTCTCGTCTTGTTTTTGTGACAATCTTTGAGAGGCATCATAAAGCTGCTTCTGAGCAAGCAAGTGATATTTTTCAACAAGATCTCGTTTCTTTTTCAAATATTTGATCGCTTCATTCATAGGTTCCTCCAAAGCCTCCTTTTCTTTCTTGGCTCCATTCGCTCGATTGAGCTTTTCTTGCCTCTTTTCATTTAATTGTTCAACCTCCACCAATGATTGGTCAATCTTCTCCACATACTTATTTGTTCCAATAATATCTTCGATATATTCCAGTAAACCATCTTCGTTTTCTGATGGGGCCTTTGGTTTCATGAGAGAAATTTGTTCAACCTCTCCCTGAAGAATTAAAAATCTATTATTTTCCAAATCAATTCCCTTGGATTTGAGAAGATTTGTAACCTCTGTATATGTGCTTTTTCTACTATCTATGTAATAGGTTGAAACACTGCTCTTATTGACTGTTCTTTTTACAATAAATTCTGAATCTGGAACAATTTCGTTACTATTGATGTTATCGTTGCTCACAAAAATCTCTGCAAAGTGCACGGAAACACTGGCTTCTTCAAGATTTGGAAAATTCTTAGAGCTATGAATTAATTCTGAAAGCTTTTTCAGTCTCAATTTTTTACCCTTCTTTCCGAACACGAATTGAATGGCATCAATAACATTGGATTTTCCTGATCCGTTTGGTCCAACGACACATGTGAAACTCTGAGAGGTCCAATCCGTTCATTTCATCAAACACATTCATCAGTTTCGGAACAACCGTAAGTTAACAACGTTCAAATTCGACCCGATATGCTTACCTTGTCAAACGGACCAATTTCTCTTTTACCAGCATATGATTTGAAATTCTTGAGAACCATCTTTTGAATGATGAGCCTTTTTCCACTGTGGTCGGTGGTTCCGCTGGAGTGATCCACTTGAGAGGTAGTTGATGTTTCCAAATCTGCAATTTCCGAATCATTGTTGGGTGAAGCTGATGAGGACCCAGAAACCGATGAAGAATTTAATGTCATTGTGGAGAGAGAGAGAGAATTCAGTTGAAGAGAAGAGGTTCCTAATTTTTTGAATTTGAATTTAGAAAAATTTGATTGGCGGGTATGTTTCAAACAGCAAAAGTGGATAGCCTCTGTGTGTGTGTCAAGAACGACGAGCCCTCTTTCTCTCTTTCTTCTTTCATTTTGAAGCCTTGTCATACATGTAATTCTTCATGAAATAACAGTATCACTCTCTCGGATAATATTATTATCATGACAGAAAATACTTCCAGCTCAGTTCTTGTTTTTAATAAAGCTCAAACAAAAAAATATCAGCACGTGTGATCACAGCCACCACATTCGATCCGTCTGAAAAATTCCGATGGAACAGAAGATGATGAGAAATGATGAAGAAAATGTAAAATTGATCATGCTTGATTTTTCAAATTCCTCTTCTTCTTTAGATCCTCCAAGATTGGAATTACTACTGAAAATGAAATTTTCATTGCAACAAGAAGGAAAGAAGAAATGGCTTGAGAATCGAGAATTGAAATATGAAAAATTCTTTCCTGTCGAGTTTATGAATGACAAGGACTTTGTTTTGAATCACATCAAAAAGTATAGTTATGGATTGCAACATGCATCCACACAATTAAAAAAAGATCGAGAGTTTGTGTTGAAAGTGATTCAACAACAGGCAGATGAATTTCGATTTGCCAGTCGAAGCATTTGCAATGATAAAGAATTGATATTTGCAGCACTAAAGCAATTTCTAGGGATATGGGGATATACTTCATTTGAACTTAAAACGGACAAGAAATTTGTTTTAGAAATGGTTCAACGGAATGGACTGGCTATACCCTTTGAATTTCGAAAAGATCAGAGAAATTGTTTTAGCTGCTGTCAAACAAAACGGTGAAGCACTGTGCTGTGTCGACCATAAATTTAAATCAGATGAGGAAATTGTGTTGGAAGCAATCAAACAAAATAAGAAGGCACTTGGTTACGTACGAAAGGACTTACTTTTAGATCGTGAATTCATGTTGAGAGCTGTCAAGACTATATTTCCAGAATTTTCTGATTTAGATTCTTTTGATTTTTCACAAAAAGACATTATGATGAAACTTGTTCAAGAAAATGGATGGTTACTTGAATATGCAAGTGATGAACTCAAGAATGATCGAGAAATTGTTTTGAATGCAGTCAAAAATCATAACCATTCACTTCGCTATGCTTCTGAAAATTTGAAAAACGACAAAGAAATTGCCTTGATGGCTGTTAAACACAATGGATTTGCATTACAATATGTGTCTGACGAATTGAAGAGAGACAAAGAGGTCGTGTTAACTGCTCTCCGTCAAGCTCCATCTTTAGAATATGCATCTGATGAGTTGAAGAATGACAAGGAGGTCGTTTTAACAGCTGTAAGACAATGCGGGACTCTTCTAAAGCATGCAGGTGAAATGTTGCAACGTGATCAAGAAATTATATTGGAGGCGATCAAGCAAACAAGTGATTCCTTGGAATATGTTCCTCCAGATCTTTTGGGTGACAAACAATTCTTATTACAAGTTGTGAAGTATGCTTATGATGGCATTATCGACTATTTGCCTATTGAAATTTCGAATGACAAAGAATTTGTGTCAGAAGCAATCAAACTCAACAGTCTTGCCATTGTAGCAACCCAAAGAGAAGATCCTGAACTTGTGATGGAAGCTCTGAAATGCAATGGTTTTGTCTTGGAGTACAGTGATGAATTATATCGTGCAAGAATGCAACAATGTTATCATGGTGCTTATTTGGGAAACACAACAACTCATCACTGATACAAAACCACATTCAAGTTCAGCAAATTGTTGGATTTTTTTACTTTTAATAAGGTGGACTTGATTTATTTTCACAACTCTATGCCCCATCCACACGTCGTTGTAGGCCAGCGAAAATTGGCGGAGGGTTCTCCGAACAGAACATTTGTATGCTTTTCGAATAAAACTTTTCAAATAAATTTGACTAAAATGTAGGGAAATGAGCCTAGTACATATTCCGCCCAATCTGAAGGCAAGATAGTATTCAAAATATTGAACAGTTAGATGTTTCCGTTGATCGTGTAGCAATTTTCAAATATTTTTTCGCTTGAAAGTCAGCTGGTGGCCGGAGCGGAAATTGGGTCCGGAGCAACGACGTGATAATTATTCAGTAAACAAGTGTGAATACAACAAAAGTCAAATAGTCAAATACTTTTGCCTCTCTAAGCTCTGAATATTGTCAAATCCAAACAAAGTTAGTCAAGGAAAAATAATTACTTTTAATCGGTATGTGCGTGTTCACCTTCTTCATCCTCTCTAATATCACTCAGTTTCGTTCCGCTCAAACTTCGTGCTAATATTTTCAACACTAAATAAAACCAAAAGATGTGAAGCGTCACAAGTAAGCAAAGTAAGGAAATAAGGGCCCAATATGTGCTCACACAATATCTGAAAAGACAGCATCCATAATCGCTGACCTCGGCAGGATAAATGGAATCTGAGACGTATCTAAAGAGGTAATATCTGTTGACATTTTTCATGGTGTTCATATCGGTTGTGACATGATGTCAAAAGTCATGATATTTAAATTTTCAATTAAATTTCAAAAATATCATATTCATCCAATAAAATGTCAAGTGATCACGATAATCATACACGATAAACATTCAAAATGAAATGATTCGTTGGTAATCCATTCACTATTGATCCTTTTGTCACAACTTACCTTGAAGGATCATCCCAACCTTGGAAATTCATTGCGGCCATATAAATGATATATGGCAAAAACAAGAGTCTCATCATGAAAAACGCTAATGTAAACGCCACAAACAACATGGTAGATATGGTTTCCATTTTGATGTGATGCATTGCCTTTGCGCTGTACAAGAAAATATCCACAAAATCATGCAAAATCAAAACCAAACTTCCGACTCGATGATGATGTGCAGCAAGACAAAACGTAATTAACATAATGGTTGCAATATGATGTGCGACCATTTCTGCAAAATCCGATAATTTCTCATCAATAAACAGTACTGTAAATAAAGCTTGCACATAAAAAGCACATCCTAGTAACATGTAAAATCTGAAATAGGGTGTCTCAAATCCAGTATGTCCGTGTGGATATTCCAACACACAAAATGATGCATCCACAAACCAAGAAGTCTCTCTCAATACATAATATCCAAATATGGTCATGAAAAGATAGTACGTAGAGAACCACACATTTTCTTTGAAACGAGTTTTTGAAAGTGGTGAAATGTTTTTAAATTTCTCCGTGAGCACGAGTGGATTCAATACAAATGTATACATGAGTTTTCGGATGATGAAAATAATGATGGCCATGACCAACATGGTGAATGAATCATGATAGGACCAATTGATTCTTCTGAATGGTGCAGGTTCTTCACTTCCGAGAATGAGAGGAAAATTATGAGGTGGTCCTGTGACATTATGTAGATGAGCTGTGTAAGCATATTCATTGTTGGAGCCATAGAGGCCAAACCATTCATCAATGATGTGATAATAATTTTTCATTGCTAATGATTGAAAGAGATTGCAATCAATCGACACTGTTGGGAGAATATGAGATGAATAATGATGAGGCGAACAGTGTTGTTCTAGTGGTGGTGATAGAGATGAGAGGGTTTTTTCACTAGTGAATTAATTCAATCCGCTTGCAGCAATGTTCTTTGGTCGGAACGCAGTTAAGGAAACAAAATCGGATATAAACTCGGAAGAGGAGGAATTCAAAAAGCTTTTGGGGGAACTGTGCTAGCAGAGACACAGACTCGCTGAGAGGTCGCAATTTTTTGTTGTTGCTTTTTGTTTGAAAAGATCTAACGGAAAATGGTTTGACCGTTGATAAGGAGGAGACAGAATGGAAGATTTTGATTGTTCCTTCCTTTTCCTGGTTGCGAGGAAGCAAATATTGAATCATGACAATTGGCAGTTGTGTTTTTGTTCTTCTTTTATATGGAGAGGAAATGAGTTACTCGAAGAGTAGAATTTCAAAAGGAGGTGTTGGTCATGCATTGTCATTCCTTGCTTTCTGTGTCTTGAACAAATACCTCGTGATTGTAAAAATTCGGTCAACCTGGTTTTTTTGGTTTTAAAAAATTTTCGTTGAAAAAAATACGTCAAAATTGGTTCGTATCACTCTCTCATTTTTTTGCTTACCAACAATAATCGTCATGTCTTTTGAATTATTCTCACAACATCATCATATGAACAATCAGATTAGCAATGGTCGCAACTGGTATCTCCGTCGGAAGAGTTGGTAAGAGAGGTTTCCCAACAACAAAGAGACCTAAGGTCCAAAAGACAAAGAAGACCTCAAAGCACAGAGTTGTCAAGGACATCGTTGAGGAAGCTATCGGTATTGCTCCGTACGAAGCAAGACTAATGGATCTTATCGAAATGTCTGAAAAGAGAGCTTTGAGATTTGCCAAGAAGAGACTTGGTTCCCTCACTCGTGCTAAGAAGAAGCTCAGAGCAGTCGAAGATCTCAAGAGAAGAATCAAGAGAAGACAACAAGAAAGATTGAACGAACAACAAAAACTCCAAGGAGCTACTGCTACAACTACCACTCAAAAGTAAATTTATTTCCTTCTCTCATAAACATAAAATTCTTAAACTCACCCGTGTTGAACTTTTTTATTGCACAGAAGAATGCAGAGAAGGATCGCGAAGGAAGTGAAGAAAATTGACACCTGCAAAAAAATGTTTACTCCACAATCGTCAAATATTTTCTCGTCTCGCTCGGCCTCTCAAATTCCAAATCTCAATCTTCGTCTCACTCTTTCTCCTTTTCAAACGCCCACCTACATTTATAATATTTTCTTTTCAACCCCTGCTGGTTTTAGAACATTTAGTTTCACCCATTCCGGTTCCGATATTCTCCTTCATGAAATTCAAGCTCCACAAATTCTTCATACACGCACTCTGAGAGGCCACACTAACCAAATCAGTGGTCTATCCTTTTCAAAAACAAATGAAAACATGCTCATCTCGTGCTCTCACGACACTACTGTGCGATTATGGGATTTGAGAATGCCCGACCAATCTAGCTGTGTGCAGGCTCTCTCTTTTGAAGGAACTACTCTTGCTCCTCAACTCAATACAGTGGATCTATCTTTCGGAAGTGGATATTTGTATGCTGTTGGAAGTGGACAAGTCATGCAACCAGGTTCCATCGTGGTTGGAGATTTACGTAAAAACGACTCTCCTCTTTCAAATTATTTAGTGATGGACGAAATTCATAGCGACTGTGTGAATCAAGTTTCATTTGGATCTAATAACATGCTTTATTCATGTTCCGATGATGGATTAATACATATTTATGACATTTCAGAGTCTAATCAAAAACAAGTTTATGAAGAGTTGGAAGATTCTTTAGATGGAGCTTTGAATGTTGAGGATTCCGTGGAAAGATTTGGATTTTTGGGAACGACAAATTGTTTGTATGCTCTATCGAGTACGAATCATCTTCACTTTTGGCTCTATGATGCTCAGGAAGATGAATATGCGGATTATCGAGTCATGAAACGAGAGGATGAATGGTATAATTTCAAACAATTCAAAGAGACAAGCACACAACTCTTAGATATGGATGCTCAAGATAATTTGCATTTTGTGGAAGTGACAGGTTCTGTGGGGGATGATAGTGTTATGCTACATGCAAGCGCGTTAGGATGTGTTTATGTTTTCAAGATGGCCAAAGATTTAAAGAGTCAAGAATTGATAGCAGTCATGAGAGGAGGTCACTCCAAAGACGCCCTTATTCGATCTGTGAAAGTATTGAATGCAACCACATTAATGACTGCTGGAGAGGACGGAAAACTCTGTGTCTTTACCGCTGATTAAAATGATTATTATGTCTTTGTTCAGCAATTCTCAACGTTATCATTGTTTTGTGACGTCACAACTGTTGGATCAAAGTATTCATAGTGATTGTCATTGAATACATCTCCTCTCAATCTTTATGTGACCACAAATACAGTTGTTTATTCTCGTTCATACACTTTCCCCAAAAAAGCACCAAAATAACAAAGTTCCATCCTTTGTTGCAACAATTCATCACTATACTTCAACACATATCCATTGCATTTGAGAGCTTCCATCACCAATTCAGAATCTTTTTTCAATTCTTCACTCGCAAACTTCAATAAAAATCCATTGTTCTTCATTGCCTCCAACATGATTTCCCTGTCTGAGGTAAAACATGATCCAACAACAGCAAGACCATTGATTTTGGCAACACTTAACACAAATTCTCTGTCATCAATTATTTCTTTTGGTACATAGTTGAAAACATTTTTACATCCCACCTTAACCAAGTCCAACACGAATTTTTTGTCACAAGAGTTCTTTAGAAGCGCCAACAAACGCATCGTTGATTTGATTGATTGCTTCGAATATAATTTCTTGATCTCGTTTCAGCATTGCATCAGCAAATTCAAGAGCATAACCGTTTCGTCTGACAGCCGTCATTACAACTTCTCTATCATTTTTCAACTCTTTAGATGCATGTTGAAGTGCAAACCCATTTTGATTCACGGCAGTCAATACAAAATCTTTAGTTTTCTTTAAATTTGGAGAAACAAATTTCAATGCTGAGCCATTTTGTTTGATTGCTTCAAGAGCAATTTCTCTGTCATTCTGCAAATAACTAGAGGCGAATTCAATCAAAAGACCATCACTTTTCACAGCATTCAAAACAATATCTCGATCATTTTTGAGTTCTTCTGATGCAAACTTCAACAAAAATCCAAATTCTTGCACAACTTTCAACATGATTTCTTTGCTTGAATAATCAATAGAGACTAAATTGTGGAATTCTGGAAAGAGTAATTTGACGGCTTTTAACATGAAATCTTCATATAGGAATATATCACATGATACCCATTCAAAAACCTTCCTATTTTGTTTGATTGCTTCCAATTAGAATTCACGGTCTTTCTTAAATTGCCAAAGAGTGTACACCAAACATTTTCCATTCAATCGCATAGCTTCTAACAAAAATTTCTTTTCAAGTTGAAGATTGTCTGAAGCACAAATCAGTGCACGTTCTTCGTTTTTTATAGCCTCTAATACCACTTCTTTATCACTTCTAATATTAGAACATAATATAAATCATATCCGCGCAATTGAACCGCTTGCAATACCAACTCTCTATCTTCTGTCAGCTTTGGTGGTGCAAATTCTAATCCATTACCATACTTTTTAATGTGATTCAACATAAATTCCTTATCATTCATGAACTCGATGGGAAAGAAATTTTCATATTTCAATTCTCGATTCAACAACCACTTTTTCTTTCCTTCTTGTTGCAATGAAAATTTCTTTTTCAATAATAATTGCAAATTCCGAATCTGATCAACATGATCCGAATGTTCATCATCCCCATATTGATTATGTACAGAAGTATTATTTGAATTTGAAAAATCCATCATAATTATTTTCACCAATGTATGAATATCCTCTTTCATCAAACATGTCCGATGTCTTGAAAATTTAATTTGCTTGTTTCTTCTATTATTCCCATCATCATCATGACAAGAAGATTTTTCATCATCCACAAAAGATATTCCATCATGATTAATTTCAATAATGGAAGCGGAAAGGTGATGCCGATTGTGCTCTTGCAACATTTTTTTCTCAATTTAATCGCTTTTCAACATCTCATCAAAATTTTCGAGAACTCTGTCACTCAAGATCCAATACAAAGACCTTTGAACATATGATGTCACTTGTGAACAAACAACAAACAGGTAGCAAAAAGAGAAAAGATTTGTCGGTTGAAGAGAAAATTGCTCAATCCATTACGTACGATGAACGTGATGGGGAAGAAGTGGATTTTATTTTGGAAACAGGAGTGTGTGAATTTAAGCCAACATATTCGTCTTGGAATGAATTTCCTAATTATCTCAAACCATACTATGGCGTTATTTGGGACGTTTTTTCGACTTGTGAGAGATGTATTACCAATCGACATATGGAAATGAAAGACAGTAGCACGGTCCATCCTATCACACCTCCAAATTTGGCCAGAGTTTAGTGTTCATAAAACACAGGAATGGGTTTATTGAAAAATAAACAAATTATAGGTACTCAATTGTCCGACGATAGTGTGTCTAATGGGTGTGTAGGTGTGAGGTGTAGATGTTGTTGGAGTTGAGTTCGCCAAGCTGACTGCTAAATGTTTCCCAAGCAGTTGCAAATTTTGCAGTTTTGGGTTTAATTATATATCCTCTAGCCTTCTTGAGTACAGTTGAACTGTTCCAAGTGGCGTTTTTGTAACAACTGCCAACATAGGCAGCGAATGAGAGATATATTTCATTTAGCCAATCAGTCAAAGCTGGGGGAGATAAGTCTAATTGTTGAAGAGGTTTGTCTTTGATACTACCATTCCAATCCATTGGAATACAACGTTGAGACACTCGAGGTTTATGCTTCATTCAAAATTAAAAAAGAAATTGATACCTCTCTGAACAAAGACAAGAAGAGAAAAAACAACAAGCAATAAATAGTAAATGTCTTTCATCCCACGAAAAGCCACACAATCACCAAAATAATTCCGTTCAGTGATGATTTTGTGATTCCAATCGGTGGGCATAAAAAGCCGGCAGTTCATCTACGCGCGATGTTCCAATGGTGTTTTCATTTTGATATTTCGGTGGGTTTGATGCAGTCATCACGACATTCGAAATTTCGATGTATTGGGCCGTAAAGTCAGGACATTGCAATTTCAGAACAACAATAATTGAACAATCAAATTAATACTATATTTATTATTTTGAGGGATCTGTGTGGAAGTTCTGATCAATACGATAATCCGATCCGTTAATCAAATGAACACCATGGTGATCCAGTGATACGATTCGCAATCAACGTTATTATATAGGACAGCAAGCTTTAGTTAAATATAAAGAAGAACATCCAAACTACAGACCAACCAAGAAAAAACGTTGAACAAAAGCTGTACCATCTGCCGCCAATAAATTCCAAGTTCATTATGTCATTCTTCCCTAAATCTCCGCTCCAAAAACAAAAAGTCACAGTGTTTTTTGCTTTCTGACATGCAATTTTGTGGTGAATGTTGTTGTTTTCCCAAACAAGCATCATGATAAAAATGGCGCATTCTTTCTTGATATAACTCATCACTAAAATCCAACGCAAATCCATTGCGTTTAAGAGCTTCCATCACCAATTCAGGATCTTTTTGCAATTCTTCACTCACAAACTTCAACGCCACTCCATTATTCTTCACAGCTTCTAATATGATTTCCTTGTCATTGCGTAATGGTGAGTAATGGCATAATCCAACAACAGAAAGGCCATTGATATTGGCCACTTTTTTCACCAATTCTCTGTCTTCGGTAAATTTGTTTGGTATATATCTGAACAAACGCTCAACTCCAAGCTTGGCTAGTTTCAATATGAGTTCTTTGTGCTTGCGTTCACAATTCAAGTATTCCCAATAAGAACAGTCTTTATAAAATAAATGGTGCGAAATGTACGGAAAAACAGATTGGTCTTGCTTGATTGCTTCAAATATAATTTCTTGATCTTTTTGAAGCTTTTTATCAGCATATTGAAGAGCACGTCCTTCTTTTCTTACAGCTGCCAATACTACTTCTCTATCCTTTTTCATCTCATCTGATGCATATGCAAGTGCATATCCATTTTGATTCACAGCAGTCAATACAACATCTTTAGTTTTCTTCAATTGTGGAGAAACATATTTCAATGCATAACCATTTCGTTTAGTTTCCTCAAGAGCAATTTCAATGTCATTTTGCAGATCAAGAGAGGCAAATTCAAGAGATGTATAATCACTTTTTAAAGCAGTACAAACAACATCTCGATCATTCTTGAGTTCTTCTGATGCAAATTTCAACAAAAATCCAAAATCTTTGACAACTTTCAACATGATTTCTTTGTTGGCGTCACTAATAGAGACGAAATTCTCAAATTCTGGATATAGTAATTGAAGAGCTTTTAACACGAACTCTTTGTCATCACGTAACGTATGTGATACCCATTGAAGTGCTTTCTTATTTTGTTTGATTGCTTCAAATACCAATTCTCTGTCTTTCCAAAGTTTTTCAGATGCATACCACACACTTTTTTCATTCAATCGAATGGCTTCCATCACAAAATTGTTGTCTTTTAGAAGTTCTGGTGAAGCAGATTCTAGTGAAAACCCTTTTTTCGTTTTTAAAGCTTCCAACACCACTTCTTTATCATTGAGAGAATCTTCTTTGTAATAATTTAACACCCCTCCTTCCAATTGAGCAGCTTGTAATACAAAATTTCGATCTTGTCTCAGCTTGGATGCCATGAATCCAAATCCATAACCATACTTTTTGATGTGATTTAATATAAATTCCTTGTCATTCATGAATTCGACTGGAAAGAAATGTTCATATTTCAATTCTCTGTTCAACAACCACTTTTTCTTTCCTTCCTGTTGCAATAAAAATTTCTTTTTCAATGATAATTCCAATCCCCGAATTTCATCAACACTTTCAGTATGATGAGAAAAAGAGTTGGAAAAATCTATCATGATCATTCTTGCATTCTGATTTGGATGGATTAATTTTATTTTCTTCACTTCGGAAGCACCATTCTCCTGTTCATTGATTTCGAGCTTTGAGTGGCAATCATTCGAATGATCAACATGATACTGTTTACGTTTGCTCATTTTTTTGAGAGTTGCGACAGGTTGGAAATGACGATTTGTCAAACTGATGTCAAGTGTCACTATAATTTCTTCTCCCTTTATTAATAAAGCACGACAATACATCAAAGATTAGGTATCTGTGTAATGTCTTTAATTCATCCATAACGTTGAGAGGGGTTATTGGAAGGAGGTGTTCGAGATTGATATGTTCTGAACGAAGTGAAGGGCATGAATGTTTTGGTTGTAAACATTAAAAGAGTTTGCTGAATAAAGTCAATTGACAAAATATGCAGAAAATCCTACAAACCCATTTGTTCCTTTAAATTAACTAAACGATTTTTATTGTTTACGTCCTCGAAACATGTGTTTTGGACTCACAAGTGGTCTTTTAACAAAACCTTAATGTCTGTGAAAGTTCTTCTTGCAACTCAATATTAAATGATACACTATCCATAATGAGTGTCATTATATGGTCGCCTTTACATCATTTGTCAATCTTGATGTTTTCCCATATAAGCACCAAAATAACATTGTTCCATCCTTTTTTGCAACAATTCATCACTATATTCCAACACATATCCATTGCAGTTGAGAGATTCCATCACCAATTCAGAATCTTTTTTCAATTCTTCACTTGCAAATCTCAATGCATATCCATTGTTCTTCACCGCTTCCAACCATCAAGATTTCTTTGTCTGAAGTAAAACATGACCCAATAATTCCAACTCCATTGAGTTTGGCGGCTCTTAACACAAATTCTCTGCCATCAATATCTTCTGGTACACGAGTGAATTATCCATGCTTGCTCACTTCAATCAAGAATTCTTTGTCACATGCGAATCCGAGAGCATAATCATTCTGTCTTACCGCTGTCAATACAACTTATTGGTCATTTCTCAACTCTTTTGATGCATGTTCAAGTGCATAACCTTCAAGATTTACAGCAGCCAAAACAACATCTTTAGTTCCCTTCAGTTCATTTGAGATATATTCAAATGCAAAGGGATCGCTTGAAATACAATCTCAATATCATTTTTCAAATCATGAGAAGCAAATTTAAGAGAATCACCATAACGATGATGCAAAGAAGAAGACTTTGAACAATCAACAAGAATCATTGGCAGAAAAAGCTCGTGTTGTTGACGTTGAGGAAGCATTTTTATCGTTCAATTTCGAATTAAGGTTTCAAGAAAACCATTTTGAAGATTCATTTGGACCTTCATTAAGGGTTAACATTCGTATGTTTCCTGTAAATGTGGCCAAGCCTGTCGAACGCCGAAAGTAGCTGTAGCGCGAAATGATTGTGTACATGTTAATACTACTACGCCGCCCAAGCGAAATCTGTTTGAACATGAATTGATTGGACGAGTTGATTATATTCTCTAAAAAACGGAAACTGTGACCCTCGCTGTTTGCATGAAATGAGGCATAAATTCCGTCATTTCCATACACTCACACACATATAAAAAAAACACTCCAAACACACCACTAAACACTATACATACCAATCATGTCTCCTCAGGAATGCGTCAAATGCAAACAAGACGATGAGAACACTCCTGCTACTCATCATTGTCCTGTCTGTAATATTCACATTTGTGAATCACACTTGTCTCTCCACAACACGAGCAACAAGACCAAAGACCATGCCTCACAAGTTACACCACTCGGTGAAGACAAGAATTGTGCCAAATGTCAATCCGAAGAAAATGAAACATTGCAAGCCAGTCATCAATGCGTGGAATGTTCATGTAAACTCTGTCATGATCACGCCTCTCTTCATCAAAAGTATCAAAAGTTCAAATCACATCAAGTCAAGTTATTGGGCTTTTCTGAAGTTCCCTTTAGTGGTAAATTTGAATTTTGTGGTTTGTTGGGTTTAGATTCGGACATTGAAAAACCCTTGTCATTTGTTCATGTCAGTGGTCTCCACATCTCCAGAAAACACAAACTCCTTTTTGTGGTGGATTCCAAAGCTGATAAAATCTACTCCTTTGAATTGAGCAAGACTGGTGCCGACTTGTCAAATTCCTTCAAACTCAAAAATTGTATTCAACTTAATTTCTCACCATGTGCCGTCTGTGTCGATGATAGTGATGATACCCTCATCATTACGAGTGAGGAATTAGGAATGGTCACCAAAATGAGCATGGACGGTCAAGAACGAATTTGGAAATTTGGAAAGGAACGTCAACGCATGGGAAGATTTGATGAGGAAGATGTCGCAGAACCCTCTAGTGTTGTGATGGATCCACAGAGTGGAATTGTTTATGTGGCAAGTAGTGCACAACATCGAATTGTCAAGTTGTCAAACAAGGATGGATCATTATTGGGAGAAATTGGTAATATCCAGCAGGCAGGGGATTTAGCCTTTGAAAATCCAACCTCTGTCGATATTGATAAGGTAAGTCATTGGATGTGGAATTACGTAATATGGTTCAATCTTTTCATGTCTGTTTGTGTGATTAGGATGGAAATCTTGTCACGTCTGAATATTTCGGACAAGCTGTCAAAATTATCTCCAAGAAAGGGGTAGAGATTAAAAAATATTCAGGAAAAGGCTCACAACCAGGTCAATTCAATTACCCACGTGTGGCCATTACCGAACAAAGTACTGGAAATATCTACGTTGGAGATCGGTACAACTACCGAATTCAAGTGATCAAACCCAATGGAGCCATTCGAGTGTTTGGAAAGGGAAAGGAAAATGAAACAAAGAAGGGTGACTTTTCAGTCATTGAAAGTCTTGCGATCCATTTGGTGGTGAACTGTTTGTGGCTGAGGGTAAAAGAATTCAAGTTTTCAAATAAACAGTTTGATCGTCATCACTGCTGCTCTCGACTGGAGTGGTCATCAAGGAGTTGTACATAGTCTGTTCCAAGTAAATCCAGCATCTTGAATAACAACATAGTCTTTGTGCTTTCCAAATGCTAAAATTTTGCACAATGATGTCATAGTATTGATTTTACGATCCAAAATTGGAAGTACATTATCCGAAAAATTCATTGTTGTTTTGAGTTAATCATTGCTTGATTCCCTGAGTGTCATTAAGAATAAGGGACAAATCTGAGCTTTTTCTGAAAAGCTTTGAAACGATTGCTCTCGTAGTTTTCACGATTGTCCTCGAGAGATGTATTGATTCTGGAATCCTCATGTTTGCAAAAATTTTTTGAACACTGTGATATCACTGGTCCTGCATCTTTGTACCCTTCTAGTTGAAGTTGACGAACTCAACCGCATACTGCTATTGTTGCTGTTGTTGCGAGAGATTTGTACTGCAATGTGGCGACCTGTTGGTGGCCACTTGTGAAAAGGATGAATTTCTTCAGGTAGTGACGTTGAAATCAAAACAGGCGTGATTATTCCAGTGATATACAAGGCAACTCTAGAGTGGAGTTTCGACACTAAAATGTAGAATTCTACACTTTTATTTTATGACACTTCGATTCTCACAAAAGTTCTCTATCCCACTTACTGGAGAATGTTTAATTTCCGTTGGCGGCTAATTTTGACTCAAGAAGAACAATGTAGTGTTACAGAGATTGAGCACGACTGACCATGTTAGTTTTGAAATACCGCAATTTTCATTCTCATTGTTTACATTTATTAAGTGCCGTGATATCATCGTTCTTGACGCAGACATTTTGTGATTGTTCAGAAAATAACATACACTAAAAAAGAAGAAACCATGTTTTCACATTGTCACCACCATCACATAAACAGTTTAACTCGATTGCTCATCGTGTTGCTGTTCGTTGGTTCATGCATCGTTGGCATGTTTTCTCAATGGAATGAACAGCCAAGTGGACTCTTTGTACATGGGTTTCAATTTTCCACACAATTCACAAGAGTGAATGCGGACAATACAACTGAACGATTAGCATTGATGACCTTCTCTTATTCATCAGCTTCAAACATCCTTAATTGGGACTTTATTTTTGACAAGATTGGCGCATCACTGACCAAGACCAACACAAACAACACGTCGTATATCTTTCAATACTTTAGACTCATCCATTCACATGTAATCAAGAACACAGAGTACGGCAACTCATTGTTTTTGCCTGAAGAGATTTTTCAATCGAGTACAACCAACTCGGATGGAATACCCATTGACTCTGCGAAAATGAAATTGGATTTGAATGGTTGGACACGAGGTCACTTGAAAAGTGCTTCTGACCTTCTCGAGATACCAGAGTTGTATAAGAACAATTATTACCTGCAGTGGTTCTCAATACGATTTAACACATCGCTATTTGAGCAAATGTTGATGTCTAACGATACCTACAGAATACAATTCAACGAAAGCAGCATTGAGAACATTACATCATCAATTTATACTCTCTTTCAAGGTCAACCCAACCCCTCATACACATTCTCAACACTGAAAGTAATCAGAAACGCTCTACTGATTGAGAACATGACGACGAGTTCAGATCCAGTGACAAACATTTGTTCCTCTGTCTCACCAGTGATTGCATTTGCTTGGAGTTCTTGGAAGTTGTGGTTTGTGCTGATATGCCTGATCATCATGCTCGTTCTATTGATACTGTCTGTGTGGAGGCCATATGTGGTGATCATTTGTACTGTGGTTATTTTCAATATCGCTGGAATTCTTACATTGGATCAAACAGTGAACGGATTTGCCAACGGTGGAACATTGGCCATAGCTCTCTTATTTCCAATCGTGAAACCATTGACCCAAAATACTTTGGTGAAAAAAGTTTGCCAAATTGCTCTTTGGATCACCAATTCCTTTCAAGAACAGCAATAGATTTCTTCAACTTGTTTCATACATGATACCCACACTGAGAATGTGTCTCGTCTTTGCCACGATTGGAGCATTTGTGAATAATACTCCAGTAGTTGTGTTAGGATTACCAATTGTGTTAGAATGGACTAAACACAATAAGGTATCTGCGTCAAAGTTTCTCATCACACTCACATACATTACCTCTGGAAGTGGATTTTTGACATTGATTGGAAATTCATCTAATATTGTTGCGAATGGAATCTACACTACCTATGGTTATTCTCCATTGACATTTTATGAATTTTTCTATCTTGGAAGTGTGCTTTGCTTAATAACGATTATTTATTTAATAACCTATGGTTTATGGATTGTACCTGATGAAGTAAGAGGCGTCAATAATGCCCAAAGAGCTTCCATACGATTTGCTAATCGATTCTCTTCGATAAGGCCTCCAATGAAGGATAGACATGAGTTGTTTGTGGCTGTTGTAAGAATGTCAAATCTTGCAAATCAAGAAAAACACACCAAACCTTTCAAATTGTATGTTAACTTGTTGGGAAAGAATGAAGCTCAAGTCATGAAAGTTCTTGGTTTGGAAGGAGTAGAGCTTGTAGAAATAATAAGAACACCCTTAAGTGCAGCTAAAAAAGAAACTTCTAACGAATCATCCACATGCATTTCAACTGTGAATGTGGAGGACAAAGACAAGGAATCGACAACTACCAATGCTGTTGAAAGTCCATTCCATCCACAAACACCTCACCGACAATCCAATCATAGTAAGGACGATTCAACAACCTCAGAAGAAGTAGAGTCTGTCGTTATTGAAATTGCAAAAGAGATGGAACCCACAAACATTCCTCCAAAGGAGCCTTTACAACTTAGAATACGAATTCCAATTCCACAAAATGTAGTAATAGAGAAAGATGATATCTTGATATTTAAAGGGTCTCCAAAATCCATTCTCTTACTTCAGGCTATGACCTTTGAGCAAGATTCATCCATGTACAATGAAAGTACAGAAACAACCAACGTGATCAGTAATCAAGCCCCACGAAAAGAATCAAGCAGCGGAGAGGAATTTAATGAGATACCTCAAGTTGTTATTCAAGAACGAATAGTGAACTCATCACATTCATATTCTTCTGTTGCATCAGATGAGGATTTAAACTCACCAAGCAACATAAGTGTCCACTCTGTCTCCTCAAATGATCGACTCGTAAGCACTCCATCTTTTAGAGAAAATTACGTCCTTGATCAATTACACCAAAATTTGAAAAAGTCTTTACCAACAGAAATCTCCAAAGAAGACAAACAAACAGCAGAAACAAATAAGAAGCAGAAAGATGTGGACAAAATTGATTCCAAATCATTGGAATTCTTTGAGGTTGTTATTGGACCTTCAAATCCATGTGTTGGAGAGGAATACCAAGAATTTGAAAAGAGATATCGAGTGACAGTATTGGCCATCAGAAATTTATATTTTAATTCTGAAACGAATGAACAAGACTTGAAGAAATTGACGGTCAATACTGGAGACACCTTACTAGTGGTTGGAAAAACAAATTTTTATTTCAATTTCCATGAATCTCATAGAGAATTCTACATGATTTCACGTTTCAGCGAAGTTTCTCCTTCATATGACGCATTCAAATCAAAACCTTTTCTTGTAAAGATACCATTTTCAAAGAGAATTTTAGATTTATGGTGGTGGGAGCATTGGATTTTCCTATTCTTTTTTGCAATGATTGCTAGTACTATTGCAGGATTTTCAATGGTGCAATGCAGTTTTATTTGTTTTTGTGTTGTGATTGCATTTGGATTAATTTCTCCCTCTGCTGCTATAGATTCTGTGGACTGGGGTTTAGTTGCCTTGGTTGGTGCATCATTTGGTATAGGCACTGCCATCACTCAAAGTGGTGTTGGGCAAGGAATCACAGAAGTGCTGAAAATTGCGAACATTCCTCCAATTCTATTGCCTGCATTTATTACTGCCATTACCTTAATCGTTGCAAATCATCACTAGCAGTGCTTGTGTTGCCATATGTATTCCAATAGCGATTTCTGTTGCTCAGGCCTATCACCTAAACGCAAGATGTTTTGTGATGTGTGTCATTTATGCCTCTCAGTCATGTTTTGCCTTTCCATTGGGCTTTAGCGGGAATTTGCTTGTCCTTGGTACTGCAGGTTATAGATTCTTGGATTTTGTGAAAGCTGGATTACCCATAACTATTATATATTGGGTTTTCATTAGCGTGTTCACTCCTTTGATTTGGGGCCTGGAAATCCCAAATTTTTAACTTGATTTGGAATTTTTGAGATTACTATCAACACCACAGTTTTCTGAAAGAATACATTCTAAATGATGATCACAGAAGAAATAACCACAAGGAATGAGAATAACTCAAAATTCATCTGAACAAAATTGGTTGATTTGATTGGAGCGGATCCCTCTCTCAGGAGCTTTTTCAGATCAGGTTCTGATGATGTGCCACCGCGTAGGATCAGGCTCCTGATTCTGCCGGGCCCTCGGTATATTCGAGTCCTCAGATAAAGTTTTCAGCTTTATCGTCCTTTCCACAATGAATGCTTGAGGGAGAAAGATGAATTGTTTGTTTAGAGAGGATGGTTTGGATGAAGTCTTTGAAGAAGAGAATGCGCGCTGTTTTGTCATTTGCTTGGTGGACCACTTGAGCAGTGTATTTGTTTTTTTATATGATGTTTTGACTTTTGACACGACATCAATCATGTAGGAAATAAGGCTTGTTAGAATGACAAACAATAGAAAATGGCCAACATCTTCCCCTGCTTGTTTAAAAAAAGGCAAAACCCAAAGCACAGCTAGTGACTAAAAAAATACAAGGGTGATGATTAATCATCGTCCAAAAAATCCATACAATTATACGAATCATTTAAGAATGAAGGAACTTCGAAATTCAAATCTTCAACCATGTGGTCACAAGTCTTTCGATGATTCTCTATAATTTTCACAAACTCCAATTTCAATAAGGGAGCTTTTTTTGAAACGCGAACATGTTCACTATTGAACTGATCTAAGAATGGTGTTTTTGCTATGTCCTTAGTTTTCTTCGAAGAATGCAAAATGGAATCAAAGTAAACTCTTGGTGTGCTTACAGGTGAAGAAAGAGAACCGACCGAGCTAGTGTCCGAGCCTGAAGATTCCTCATTGTCGTGGATCATCATGACTCGCTCAAAAGGACTCGTTGAATGCTGTAAAGGGAGTGAAGGAGTGAAACTGTGGTTCATCAGACTATGTTTTGGAGAATTGAAGTGCGTATGAGGAGTAGAAAGAGAAGATTTTCTTTTTGCGGGAGAGCTCCAGTAGTGTATTCCATTCTGTTGATTGATCATACTATTATTCAATAAACTCTTCTTGTACATTATTGCTGGTAGGGACGATGAAGGTTCTTCAAATTGAGTCGAAATTCGGGAAAGACTCGATGAAAAGAGTCTTCTCTTTGTTCCCATTTCCGGTGTTCGGAGAGGGAGTGGTCGTCTGTGAAGGGCGATTTCATCCTCATCCCCATCATGAGGATGATCATTTTCTCCAGCGTGCATCGCGGTGAAGGATTTTTCAGATTGATCTCTTTGAGGAAATTTTTTGTATATTTCCCTTAATCGCATTAGATTCGATTCAGTGTGTAAAAATTGAAATAATTCTTCTTTGAACACAGTCATGATGGTTCAATGAAAGGAGAATCTACTCCATTTAGTCCATACCACACATCACATTACAGTGGACATCAATCACAGACATTTTCATTCTCGACAAAGAAGTCGAGTGACCTCTTCACAGAGTTCAGTCATTCTCTTTGCATGAAGAATGTTCACAATCATGGCAATCGAGATGCCTCGAGAAGGAACCATCCACAATATGGAACAACATCCACAAGCTCCTCCAGTGTGATACACGAGTTTTTCTTCCTTCCCGTTCAAGCGAATGGTTTTCACAACAAATCCAATTCCATATTGAGTAGGTAATCCTTCATTGGTTTTCTGTGAAATCCACAAAGTTTGGTCAATGAGTTGGCGATATTGTGAAGGAGGAAGTAATTTTTGTAAGCCGTTCGCAAACTTGAGCAGATCTTGACATGTGGATAACATGCCACCTCCAGCCCATTTGTAGCTACAAGTATGAATTCACATACACACGACATTCATGAGTTGGTCAATATTAAGAAACACCAAAGAAATCAAAGGATCATTTAAATTTCCAATTATGATATTGATTCCATTTGAAAAAATGAATTCCATTATTTCGTAAACATTTCAAACATACCTATTGTCTACACTTGGCACATTCAACAATTCATATGCATTTTCCCCAGATGTATCTCTCATGTAGAACGAGCTTCTATTGTAAATAATCTTATCCTTCTCATCAAATGTAGTGTTATTCATCTCAAGTACATCAAATATATGTTTCTTACAAAACGATTTAAAATCTTTTGCATTTTGAAGGAAAATTTTTGTTTCCAGTGTCAATGAAGGATTTTCGGATTGAGCTTTCAAAATATCTTCCATCACAGCACTCATGAGAGTGTAGCCATACGTTGAATAGGAATACTTGTCACCTGGTTTGTTCACCAGTTCGTCCTGTATGAACATTTCACAAGCATCAATGATGGAGCGATAGTTTTTTGTCCAGCTCATGAATTCCTTCTCAACATCGTTGTAATCTCTGACACCACTCAAATGTGAGGCCAATTGTCGTAGAGTAATGGTGTTAAATTTCTCTCCCTTGTAGATGAGTTCAGAAGGAATTTTCTTTTTTGATTCCTCCGATAAATAGTGAAAGATGGGTTTGTCGAGATTGACAAGTCCTTTCTCAATCATTAAGGCAAGTGCCACGCTTGAGATGGGTTTAGAAATGCTGGCAATTCTGAATTTTGTGTTCTCATGGACGGGAATTCTATTTTCAACGTTGGAAAAACCAAAACATTGATTGTAAATGAGTGATCCATTTTGAGAAATTGCAATTTGCATACCAGGACTGGAAACGGTTTCTTTAAAGGACTGAAAGATTAAATCAAGTTGTTGCTTTTGAATGGGGCTTAAAAGAGTCTGTTGTTGTGATGATGATGATGGTGGTAGTGGTTCAATTTTCATTGTTTGTTGGAAATTATCGTCACAACCTTCCTGAGCAGAAGTGATCATCTTTTGATTCATGTTACCCTTCAATAAATACCAAGCCAATCCACTTCCCACAAGTGTACACAGAAGAGCAGCAATTTTCATCAATTTCATAGTATTATGATTGTATTCTGTGTCGAATGAGAAAGTACGCTTGTTGTGATAGGGGATAGGAATTTGATCATTCGAATCGTCATCATTCCGATTTTGGATATTATATTGTTGAAGTGTAAGATTATTTCGATGCATGCACTGTACGGCGTTACTCTTAGAAATTGTTGAAGCAATAATTGCTGCTTGATTTTGCTTCCAAGAGAGCCTGGACGATGCACCCAACCAAGTGTAACCGTGTCGAGGTGAGAAGAAACATGATGATTGTTGAAACAATCTTTTCATTTTTGGTGATTAATCATCTCAGAGCACAGGGTCTTGTCCTCTCTTTTGCTCAAACACATGCGTATTGTTGGTAATATTTGTACATTTCTCAACCATGAGGACTCCCTTCACATCAACATTGCCAATATAGAGTTGTTCTCCATAAACCACCCCAAGCTCTTGTGATTTTCCTTGTTCAAGAGGTGTCGAGCTTTGAAAAACCTCACAAGACCATTCAACTCCTCCACATGAATTTCTCGACATGAGGTACAGGCTTACTTTGACAGGATACGTACATTCAAGATTTTCTAATGTGAAAGTCCACCAATATGCAGAGCTTCTCTCGTCGCAGTCAATCCTTAAGTTGAATAAACCTCCAAATAACAGACAAAAACATTCCATCTCGACACATGACTCCAAACTAAATTCTACATATTCAGATCGTGTCAGTAGAATATCCACATTATTACCTGTTGCCGATGGATAGGGTGTTAATTCTGGACACAACTTTTGTGCCAAAGATTGGGCACTAGATTCTCGAATGGATGACACTTCGGAATGTTGAATCATATCTTTCAATTGTTGCATGAGATTTTTGTAAGGTTGTACCAATGAGTGTGTGAAAATTTCATTCTTGTCAATATCGCTCAATTCTGTTTCAGTGCTTTGATGGAAGTGTTTTTCCAACAATACCAGTTTACATGTGATAGGAACTTTTGGTTGTGAAAAAATGAAATTCAAAAATTCAATAGGAATTGCTGGAATTTCCATCAGATACTCATTTCCATCAGCTACAACAGACAGAGAGTAGAATATTATTTCTTGAATTGGAATTTCTATTCCCAACCTTTCTTTCAAATATATTTTGAAATGTGGTAAGGTGTTTTGCAGAATGTAATTTTGTAATTGTTTCATGTCAAGAAAATCTCCAATCTGTATCAAGTAATATAAATCGTTTACATCAGCATCCTCTACTTCTACATAATTACAGTAAATAAATTGAACAACTTTATCAAACATTTGCTTATCAAATTTAATTCCACTATTTCCCAATGTTTCTTCTGCATGTTTCAAATCTATCATTTGTTTACCATTCTCGTCTTGCTTTGATTCGTTAAATCCCAATGTTCGTTTCATACACATTTTGAAGTAGTTGCACTTGTTCAACACAATTTTATGAAGATGATAATCATGAAATGAAGTTCTGAGAATCACATCCGAAAAATCCTCCTCCTCATCTTCATCATTATGATCACTGCAACCGATATCGGCAACAGAGCTCCAGTAATCTTCATGGGACATGTAGAGATCATCCTCCTCACCTTCTTCATCCCTTTCTTCAGATACCTCCTCTTCTGCTTGTTGATCCAAAGCTATTGCTGCTTCATCATCCTCTTGTTTGTTCTTTTTCATCCTCTGATCGGAGGAGGAGATTGGAGAGGAATTGCCTCTTTTCATTTTTTTCTCGAGTGATTTGAAATGTGGTTAAATTGAATGGAATTGCTCTTATTTTGGGAAATTAATTTGATAGCTTTCAACATTAATGCTTCATCTTCTCGTAAGAAGAACTTTAGAGACACGATGTTTCAAATGCCCATCATCGTCATCCAATTCCAATCTACTCTTTTTCACACAAATATTCATTCGAATTGAAATTCAGAACTGAACTCTTTTTGACTCAGCTTCTCAAAATAATCCATTGTGTTGTCCTGTTCATGTATTTAAATGTTAATTTAATCCAAATAAGCACCAAAATAACATTGTTCCATCCTTTGTTGCAACAATTCATCACTATACTCAAAAACAAATCCATGACATTTGAAAGCTTCCATCACCAATTCAGGATCATCTTGTAACGGTCCTTTCGCAAAGCATAATGAAAATCCATTATTTCTGACTGCTTCTAACAAAATTTCCTCGTTATGGCGAAATGGTGAATCATCGGGTCCAATCACAGCGAGACTATTGATTTTGATGACTTTTAACACAAATTCTCTGTCTTCAACAATTTCTTTTGGAACGTATTTGAAGACATTTCTACATCCGAGCTTTGCCAGTTTCAATAAGAATTCCTTGTCATTAAAAAATTCCTTCGAAGCGTATCTGAAAGCATTATTGTTTTGTTTGACTGCTTCGAATACAATTTCTTGATCTCTTTTCAGCATTTCATCAGCATATTGAAGAGCTAAACCAGTTTGTCTTATAGCTGTCAATACAACTTGTCGATCATTTCTCAACTCGTCTGAAGCATATTCAAGTGCCCATCCATCTTGATTCACAGCAACCAATACCAATTCTTTATCATTGATCAATTCATCTGGCATCCCGTTCAGTGTTAAGGGTTCTTTTGTGACCGCTTGAAATGCAATTTCTCTGTCACTTTTCAAATCATGTGAGGCATAACTAAAAGCCCAACCATCATGTTTGACAGCATTCAAAACAATATCTCGATCATTTTTGAGTTCTTTTGATGCAAATTTCAACAAAAATCCAAATTCTTTCACAAGTTTCATCATGATTTCTTTGTTGGCTTGATCAATAGAGATTAAATTGAATTCTGGAAAGAGTGATTTGATAAGTTTTAACATGAACTTTTCATCTTGGCGTAACTTCCATGATAGACAATGAAGTGCTTTCTTATTTTGTTTGATGGCTTCACATAAGAATTCGCTATCTTCTTCACGTAAATCATAGGGAGCATATTCTAGACATTTTTCATTCCATCGAATGACTTCCAACATAAATACTTTGTCATTTTGAAGTGATGGTGAAGCATAATCGAGTGCAAAAGCTTCATTCTTTATAGCTTCCAATACCACTTCTCTATCATTGCGAGCATAATAACTGGCATATTGTAATTCAATTCCATTCAATTGAACCACTTGCAACACCAACTCTCTGTCCTCTTTCAATTGTGGTGACGTATATTTTAATCCAAATCCATACTTTTTGATGTGATTCAATACAAATTGCTTGTCATTCATGAACTCGATGGGAAAGAAACGTTCATATTTCAATTCTCGATTCA